GTCTCGCTATACTTGATACATCTTACCTTAATATGCATTTTTTCGGTACACATACATGTTTATGTAGACTTCAAAACTTTCCGTCAGCAGATTTTGGCATATTCAAGTACGCGTGAGCAGTATCACAAAAGGTCTGAAACGAGGCTGAAAACGGAGTGTGAGGCTCGCGCGTATTACTCTTACGCCACGTTTGCCAACTTCTTTACTGATTTTGAGAAAAAACCCGATTGTTTTGCAGTCTAACATATTGGATATCTATGACACTGCGTGATCAGATCAGATCAGATCAAGGCAGAATTTGTTCTAGGATAACAGCCTGGGACCAGGCTCTATGGTGGGGAACAGGAGAATTCGTTATCGTGCTTGATTCCTGCTGTATTAGCATTGGACTGGTGTTTATAAAGGACAGACCGGTTTCGAGTTTTTGGGTGCTTCGTTTTCGAGATAGGGTGCTTCGTTTTCGAGATTTAGGGGTCTTCGCTTACGAGTTTTGGGTGCTTCGTTTTCGAGTTTTGAGTGCTTCGTTTTCGAGTTTTGAGTGCTTCGTTTTCGAGTTTTGGGTGCTTCGTTTTCGAGATAGGGTGCTTCGTTTTCGAGATTTGGGTGCTTCGTTTTCGAGTTTTGGGTGCTTCGTGCTTCGGTCTTCGTTTTCGAGTGCTTCGTTTTCGCAACTACCAAAAAATGGTTGCAGGAAAAGCGAGGGGTATCTTTCAGATAAAAAATTAGCCTAAGAAGAAAAAGTACTACTGCTAGACAAAGACTGCGAGGATTCTTTTATTTTTGAGTCAATCAAGAGCTTGGGCGAATGCCACTTGGTGTTCCTGTGGAATAAGCCTCGACTTGAAATAACCGTGTTATGCAACAATATTGGGGAAACTGGACCCTGCTTGGTTCTCTTTCTTTCGAACGTGCAAGCAAAATGGTGGGAAAACTTGAGATAGCGCTTTCAATCCCTTTCTATCCTTAGCCATCTTTGATTCAATTTAGGTTTTATTAACAGTAATCGGCATTTTGGGTCTTTCAGTTAATCTCGCTTAAACTTCTCGCTATTATATTCAGGTTAACATACCAAAACAGCGCCGCACTTTTTGCAAGGCCAAGAAATGTCGAAGACACACTCTACATAAAGTCACGCAGTACAAGACAGGAAAAGCCAGTCTGTACGCTCAGGGTAAGCGTTATAGCTTAATGAATAATAGGAGGATAGTCCATTGTCTGAACTAATTATATGTTTGGTGATTCCATGTTTGTCGAAAGGTTTTTAACTTGAGTAAACTCGTATATATTGCCAGCTTGAAAGGAGTGCATGAGTATTGTCTTGTTATTTTCTATTTTCGTTCAGGAAAACGCCGCTACGATCGTAAGCAGTCAGGTTATGGAGGCCAAACAAAACCTATTTTCCACAAAAAGGTAAACAACTGAAGTGATCACATTGTTTACAATAATCTCAGTTTGCAAATGTTAACTTGATTCTATCTGATCTTGTTGGAATTGGAAGTCAGTCACCAGAGGGGAATAATTTTTGTCGATAGTCAAGGACACGTTCGACTGTAGTTTCACTGTAAATTTGTGTCATTGTCGATTGTGAATTTTTTTTTTGACACTGGTTGTGTTGAAAAAAAGAACAGTGAATTAACAGATCATGCAAGTGACCTTTTGATGCAGTTTCTTTTGATGGTGCAGTCATTGCAAGGTCAATCATACTTGCATGAACCGGAATAATTATCCTGACACATATATGTACCACAGTTCCTGTTAGGGACTTTAAGATCAGACAACACAATCAGCAATGAAAACATAGACAAAACAACCACTTTGCACTTGCAGCACACCTTTTTGTACATTTCGTGGAAGTTTTTGGCTGACTACAACATGATTTTGCTGACTTTTATGACCATTATGACTACTATGGAGGACATAAGCAAGCAACAACAAAATTTTATTCTCTTTCTGAACTTGGATACGGTTCTTAGGAATTCAACTCCAGGAGGGTTTGCCTACACTTGACAAAGTACATGTAACTGGGAAGGAATATTCGAGATGAAGACTAAAAGAATGTAATTTCACTTGATGTTTTCCCTACAAGGATCTTAAGGGCCTTGTTGTCTGTGTTGAGATATGTGTGCATGAGGCTGTGTAGTGCAATATTCCCCTTGTATGGCAAGACCAGTTGAACACAAAAATGCGGTTTAACATGAGTCCTTTACAAATTTAGGCCAAAACTACCAAGAAAATTGTGCTGCGCATGGAATGTACAGAGTGCAAATACAGGAAACAGATAGCCCTGAAAAGATGCAAGCATTTTGAACTGGGTGGAGACAAAAAGAGAAAGGTAAGAACAATATGCTACGATATCTTTAAAATCAAATTAATTTTGAATTTCTTGGTTAGTCATGTATGTGTATCATATGTGCAGTACCTCTCAAAAGTAAAGGATTCAAATCCCTGCGATACGAGATAACGTGTGAGCCTCTCCTCTTCAGAGAAGAGTACTGGTAACAAAAATGAAAAAGCTTATGATGCTTGGGAACAACTCATAAATACCTTACCTGCTTCTAGAACTGTATTTAAGGTATTAGATCTGTTATTGACCGTTCCATTTGAAAATTTATTTTTAAATAATAAAGAATTTTGCAAAGAATAATTACACAGGTCTATCAAGCGAGAGCTGAGCTTTCAAAAAATTGATATCCGAGGTGTCAATTTTCATACTTATGGTGTGATTTCCGATTTATGTTGCAGGCTCAAAACTTAAATAATTACATATTTCTGGCTTTACCTCTATAGCTGGGAATAGAAAAATAATTGGAACTGACTCATAATTAGATCGTTCATTTACCTTTAAATTCCTGGCAGTTGCCAGAAATCTTTTCCGGAGATATAGAGGTGGAATTTTTTTGTAATGCCGTGTGACTTCAGGCCATTGCTAAAAATTCCAAAATGTTCCCTTTTTTGCAGGGAATTTAGTGCATTTTCCCTTAACATTATGTGAATAAACCTGGCATGTTTCAGCAGAGTAGTAATTTTAAATCCTCATCTTTTTACATTAAATTGTTTTCAGTGCGGTCCAGCGAAACTGCAAAATTACCCTTAATTCACTGTAATTTTCATCGCACTGTGCTTGTTGTCATCATCGAGTCTCCATCTTGAGTTCTTGCGAGTAATTGGCTGCTGCAAGTTAGACTTCTAAATTTAATAAATATAAATGAAACATTTTTTAATAACCTTTTTTCTTTTCCTTTTGCAGGGACAAATGATCCAGTTCTAACTGTAATAAAATTTCTTGTAAACCTGTCAAGCCTGTGTTCTTTGTTTGGTTCATTGTGAAATAACAATAATAGCAGGATTTGTTTCAAATTGAAATGTCACTGTTATTCTGGGCAGTAGAAAGAGAAGGGTTCAGGGCGGGGGTACTATGACAAGGAATGAATATTGTCATTGCTTCACCTCTTTCATCTGGGTACTGAACCTATGACAGCCAAGAAATGAAATGAAATATTTCTTCCACTAGTTATAGAAAAACGTTTTTTTTATTTGGATACCTTTTAGCAGCTTTACTAACTTGTTCATTGTAACATCTAGTTCTGGAGTGCTTTGAGCAAAAGCCTATATTTCTTGTTCTATTCTATTTTGTCATGTACATGAAGGTGAATGCGAGTCAGTACTGTATCTTCTGGTTAAAGAAGTCTTTACTTCCGCAAGCTGCATGACATACATGGGTTGGTTTTCCTGAGAACAAACCATCAAATTTTATAGTTACACACAGTCATGGTACCCTACCTTTTGGGTGAGAATGGGGGAAGATATTCTGCAAAAAATGCTATTAAACTTAAACAACAAGATTGCATTGACATTAAGATTTGTATCACAACTAGTCGAAGATCAACCCTTGCCTGTTTTGGGCTTTCAGACAGTTGAGCGTGGGTAAACAATAAAGTCCCAGAGCGAAAAAAAGTGGGGAGAACAGTGAAGAAAGGTTTTCCGCAGTCTTTCCTGCATGTTTGACTGTTTAGTTTGGCTTCCACTATTTTTAACACACACCCCACTATCTGAATGCCTAGATAAACATCACTGACATAAACAACTAGAAATTAAGCAAATGTTTCTGGCTGGTTGCTACTCACCTAAGTTACAGTTACAGCAAAAACCCACGAGTAAGAACCTACTTTTTCCAGGGTTAGCCTAAACAGGTTCTTACATAAATGGTGGTTAACATAAATTTAGGCTATCTAGGTTCTTAATAGGTTCTTAATTTCTTGCAAAAAATTATGTCGTCGCTAAGAAGATTTTAGTGATCTGCACCCTTAAATTTAGATACCTAATGATTGCTTATATGTCAATATGACCATAGTAGAGATCTAATCTCACATGAACTTTAATTTTTTTGCATCAAAACAACTTTATAGACATGACTGTGCTGTAAAACACAATATTATAAACATTTTCTCAATGACCTCAATCAAACAACATATGTGTACTAACTTGCCTTTTGCCAATGCAATTAGTACATATTTTAAAATGAATTTTGACCTTTCTCCAAATTTTAGGCTAAAGAGGTTCTTATATAGATGGGGTCTAAATTGCAAATTTTAGCCTAACAGGTTCTTAAATCTTAGGTTCTTACTCGTGGGTTTTTACTGTAGGGTAAATTTTATATAAAGCATTAATTACTTTCTGCTTGTTTTGAGAATTCTGAAGTGCAACATTTTTATTGCTAAAATTAAGATCTACCTCTCATTCACTTCCATGGGGAGAACTCTGTTGGTTTAAGAACCTTGGAATATGCTCTGGTTTCTAAAGGAAGGCATTCTCGAACTGAAAAATATAAAATACAGAATAAGCTGGAAGTCCTTGTAACTGCCAGGAATTTTAAAAATTTAAGTTCTGGAAAATGTCTCTATTTTAAGAAATAACTACAGTGTAATGGGGATGTTTTCGTTGCTGCAAAAACAACATGATCATGTTGGGAATTGTTCATCAACTAGTTTTGATTTCAAATACCAAGAACATACTGTGTGTGGTGCATCATTTGCTACTCACTAGGAAGGTGACGGAGCAGGATTGATTAAAATGTATGCATGCTCTGCCTACAATAATATTCTAACTCTCATACTCGTAGTTGATGCTAAAACTCTCTGAATCACTTTATTATGAGTCCTACTCCGCTGCCTGACAAACAGTAATGCATCTTGTTAGATATTACCTGCTTCAGTCCATCCCTTAATCTGCTTTGCCTCATTACGAATTCTCACACGGTCATCAAGACTTTTATAAGACCACAACATGATGGCTGAAAAATAGAGAAGAAACTAATAAGCCAAAAAATATTTGTGATAATTCTTATTTCTTGGATAATAATGATAATAAATTATATTATTTCACCTGTGTTTTGAGGACCAAATTCTGTGTACCAGACTCCAACAGGTTCACAGAGTTTGCAGCGGTGAGGAAGTCCTTCAATAATTTTTTTCTCCCACTCCTCCTTTTTACCCAGCACCAACTCGTACATGCGTAGCTCATACACACCTCAACAGAGAAACAGAAAAATACAATCCAGTTGTTGTTGTTTTTGTTTTTTTCACCATCAACAATTTTATAGACAAAAATGCTAATGATCCACTTAAAAGAACATGTGAAAGCATTCACCATTTTCACAATTGCCCACAACCCACCTTGTTTACCCTATGCTCTATTTCAGCCACTCTCCTCTTGAGGGAAGAGCGTGGGCTCATCCTTCTTAACAGCGAGAAAAATTCCAGCAACAAGTCATTTTTGTAAAAGATTTGTGGTTTCTCTTAAGCCACGTGCAAACAGATGCAACATTGTTGGATGTTACATGCTGCCTCTATTAATTGCATGCACACCCTGTTGGAAGTTGTTCTGCAAAGTTTGAAATCGGTCAAAATTTTAACTACATGAAAACCAATGCAACAACTCCCAACATTGTTGGGCCAACAATGTTGGGAGTTGTTGCACCATTTGCATGTAGCTTTATAGACTGACAATAAAACTTCCAACTATGCAAACTTCGGTCCATTGTGAGCCCCAGTCCCTGCCCTCAAAATTAGAATCCACCACTTACCTCCTGTGGTTAGTGGAGGCTTCACTTCATACCATGGTGGTGCAGTCAGTATCCAACTATCCTGTCACCAAAAAAATCTTGAATTTTACCAGGCAAAAAAAAATTACTTTTTGTCTGTTACTTACAGATCTGTTACAATGTTTAGTAAAGCATACATGTGTCCCCTAAACCCTCTTGTATACACACAGAAAAAACTGAAATGTATACTCATAACTTATCCTTGTGCCAAATTAATGATTATTACTTTTAGACATTCTTAGTCTCAGAGAAGAAGTTCTGACCCCATTTCTGGTAAGCCCAGTATTTGCGAAATCCAATTTGTTGTGAAGTGGCTCTCACTTAGTCATTTTTTTTATTCAGTTCGGTACAATATCATAAAATAGCAGTAAAATAAATTACTGGTATCTGAACCGTTGTAATAGGTTATTGTATACTTATTATTTGTACAGCATAAGCAGAGAAATATTAAAAGGTGGTCTTTCAATAAGAAAAAAAATTGACAGTTGGTATCAATTTTTTTTTTGGGGGGGGGGGAGTTCTGTTTACTCAGAGCATAAACAAGTGCAAAGTTTAAGGTTTCAAATTAACCCCCAATGAGTCAAGCCCCTCCTTTGTGGTTTCAAGGCAGAGCTATTCTCAGGCAGACCATTAATCATATTTATACAACAATTACCTGCTTCACCAACATTTTCAGAATTTTCTTTACATAATTATTCATCCAATTTTCATCTTGGGAAAGAGCTTTTCTTGCTTCTTCTCTTTGTGCATAGCTGTCTACAATTTAAAAACCTGGATTAAAAAACACAAGACTCTAGGGAACAATAATACATCACAAAAATGACAGGGTTAATTCTGTCAGCTTTTTGGACTGGGTGTTAAGTTGTTTGTCACCAGCTGACAGTGACAGCAACAGCAGAGAAAGATTTGCTTGGTATACCAACATTATAATAATGTTCTTCAGTTGCACCTGGCCCTGGATTAGCACTACTTGTCCTTTGAACACCTCGCTCGCCCCTTCTCTCTGCCGCAGAGGCCTCCATGTGTTGAGTCTCACCTTTTCCCTCTTCTCATCTTCCCCCGCACGCTTTCTATTTTTTCGATTACTGCTATTTTTACGGGGATGCCCAGCGGGAGCCTCTGCGGAGGAGAGAGGCTCGCCCCCGAATTAGAATAACATTTATATTATTCAGTAAATATATATTTTAATATAAGTAAAGTATAATGAAGAAATCAAATAATTACCATATTCCCAAATGTGTGTGACTTCATTCAGACCTCCAATCTCACTTGTCCAATAACCTTTCAGTTTTGAATTCGAGTCAGACTTGAGGTGAATATAGTCACGTGTTAATTTCATAAAGTCACCTGTTAAGAAATAGATTTGGAAACAATAGATAGTGGAAAGTAAAATATATTAATAATATTACAATTTTTTTATTTGCCTCATTTTTAGTATAAATTTATACAAAAACCACAACTAGTTCCTACATTAACTGACAATAAATTGGGAGCAGGAGCGAAGCACACCAGAGGCATAAATTAATGGAGGAACTCTCCAATGAAAAGATGTGTGAAAAATAATTTAAGACAGATCAGGACTTTTCCTCTTGCTTAGGGGTGTATACTGCAGATTAGTGAAAATCCAATATTTTTATGGAACTGATACAGGTATTTGTTTTGGAGCTGTGCATAAAAGATAATTATATAACTTATATCTATATAAAAATTACTAAGCACTGTCACACTATACTGAAGATAGCTGTCATTGTCAATGTTTTGGGGGCAATTTAAACCATAGGATAGTTCCCATTTGGTTGTCTGTACTAATACAGTCTCCTGTATGGGTCAAATAAAGCCTCTCGAGCCATGCAAGATTACACATTACACGCCGTTACTCCCATTAATACAACAGTAGCTGTTATCCAAACTTCGTTTTTCTAATACTCCCTGTATTACTCTGTATTTTAAGTTCAAGTCGAATAAGTTATGTAAGCCTTGTAGTGTAGTGCAGTGTAGCTTTTTATTTATTTATTCTATTTTCTTTAATTAAGGTAGTTGTTGTAAATTTTGTAATGTTTGTATGTTTCGATCTGTATGTTGTTTTGTACTATACCTGTAAAAAGAAAATAAATAAATAAAATACAAAAAAAAAAATGCAAGATTACACTGAACAAGTTTTCATGTCATGTCTTAGGATGCTAGTTGTAGGCGTCAGCAAAATCTAAATTGTACCGAATCAGACCTCACTTAGGGCCTGTTTATATGGAGGTGGGGGACCCCAGGTATGTGGGGTAACCCGTCTGTTCATACAATCTCTCATATTAATTTGATCACGTTTACATGATAGGTGGGGTGATCATAATTATGAGACATTATATGAACAGGCATATTACCCCACCTAAACGGGTTAACTCACATGCCTGGGGTCCCCACCTCCGTGCAAACAGGCCCTTAGTGACAAAGGTTTGGGGGAGGGGTTGCCGGGGTGGATCCGACAGTGCCAGTTATCAACACCCCTTTCCACCTCCGGACACCCAGCCCCGAAAAACTGAGTGAACTGTGACCTCCTCAAAAATAGCGGGGAAACTTTCACATCGTTTTTTCTTGGCCTTTTTCTTCATTTTTAGTTGAATTGTATTAACCAAAAGTTCTGATCAACGGCATGGATTTGCGATTTTCAGCATCTTCAGGGAGAGGCATGGACCATTAAACAACCAAACAGAAAACAAGGTGAGCAAAGGACAAAGGCGACTGGAGTTTACCCAACCTGATCAGTCCTCCTTCTACAGGGATTTAAGCACACTTATGCCCCACACTGATGGTCTTTCCTTAGGAGTATTTGCAACTTTCCATTAAAAAATGTCCGAGAAATGTCCGGCAGGAGCTGAGTTAGGGGTGGAAATGGTCCCACCCGGTCGCACTGCCTTCTGGATGAACAACAAAGCATTCTTCCCTTACCAAAATACTTGGGCTTTACAGAGTACGTACGCAGCTCGTAAATCGTCATATCGTGATCATGAGATGATTGAGAAGTCTAACTTGACACGGCGGACGTTAAGCTAAAAAAACCGCCTAATGTAAGGTTAATTAGGCGGACGTTTGCGAGGATGGCGAGACAACCTGAAACCACAGGCAGCCCAAGCGCACTACAAGCCATCTTCGGAGACAGTCGGGTGGGTCGGGTAAAAACCGGCGGCGAAACAGTTTTCCACAACGGGCGAGACCAGGGGGCCCCCCTGGGCGAGACCGACATAGCTCGAAATATCAGGTGAGTCGTGCACTTTTAGATGCAAACACGAAATTTGGCACACTGATTGTAGTGACCAATACAAGCATTTTGAGATATGGTGCCAAGCCGGAATTAAGTATAAGTAGGTTAGCCAAGCCGAGTACGCGAATGTTTTTACTCTAGGCGAAAATTAAAGTGTTCTTCGTTCACTTTAAAAAATGGGTCAATTCGTTTAAGGATTACCTATTTAAAGGATTGATAAGGTAAATACATAAAAAGAAAGTGACTAAGTTGGCATCGCGAAAATTACATTTGCCCAAAAATGACTAAGATGGGGTCTATAATTGGCGAGACAACAACAAGAATAGGGTAAGGCCCCTGGAATAGGGTAAGGGCTCCGAGAGACCAGTGGCACATACCCAGCAAAACTTAACCCAAGTACCCTCCCCCCTCCCGGGGTTTCTGCAGAAAAATTATTAAAATGAAGTTCATCGAAGAGAAACGCAAAGGGAATTTTACATCGTAATCCTAACTGTGATATCCCGATGTAAATTCCATAAAACCGTATTTTTCAATGCTTTCTTCCACCTTCCACCTGCATGACCTGCATGCCGTTTTGAACCTCGTCCCAGTCCTCACTCAAAAATCACAAGGAATGCAGGGGGTGCGCACTTTCTGTAGCCTGAATTTCATCCGATTACTTAGAGTCGTCATTACTCCCTCAGTAATTGAGAGGAGAAAACGACTCCAAGCAATCGGATGAATTTCAGGCTACACTTTCTGCAGCTCTACCGCAAAAACAAGAGGCCCTGCCAGGGGGGGCTCCCATATCGCTCGTCTGAATTTTAAAACGTCTCGTGTCGGCGTTTATTAATGCTTCACGTCGCTGTCGGAAATTGAACGAAAATTCTTTGTCTTTGTCTGAATTTTAGAAAAGGGGGATAGCGATGGGTTTTAAAGAAACCATTACAGTTGAGCAATTTCTCTGTTAACCTTTCGCGTACAGAACACCTATACATCGCCATTCACAATTAAGGGTGTGTTCCTTTCGGTGAATCCAGAAACGGATTTGGATCTTAAAACGGATTTCACGTTCCTTTCGGCAAATCCAAATTCGGATTTTTGATCTGGTGAATCCTTTTTGAAAAAGGATTCACATTGGAATTGAAATCCGAAGAATCCGAATCCAGATTAACGGATTAGTCATCTACGCTGTTCCATTCACAGTGGATTCGAAATTAGTCAGATGATCCAGCTGTACTTCCAGTTGGAGTATTCCCGTAGAGTTTCCTAATTGCTGCCATTTGCCGTAAAACATCTGAAAACACTAGAAGATTGTTCATGGTGGTACAGTAAAATGTCCATGTGCTGACCATTTGTCGCTAAAGATTGCTTAAAAACACAAATAAGTAAAAGGGACAAATAACTGCTATCTTTCTACAAACTCGCTCTTGGACGCGATAGGCACTCGATCGTGTTACATAGAAAACCGAGCTACGAAACTGGATCAAACTGAGCCGACAACCTTTAGATAATTTTCAACTTTAACACGCTACTTTCTTGATCTGTTTATGTTCCATCGTCGTTATTCGAACTGCCGACCACAAAATTCTGCACGGTATAATCGCATAATTTGTCAAACAGTAGAAAACATGTTATTTCTTGAGAGGCTCAGGCTGTCATGCATATTGCACGCGTTTGCGAAAGGTTACCAAGGTCACAAATCCAATTTCGGATTTCACGTTCCTTTCGACCGCGAAATCCGGCAAATCTCGGATCAGAAATCCGTTTTTGGATTCGCTTAAAGGAACACTGTCAGCACACCCTAAGAGATCCACGTTCTACATTTTAAGACTAACTGACCTGATAAATCGTACGTGAAGGCCGGTTAACGGTGGTCTACGCTGTGCGGCGTTTAAGTTACCTGGTCCCTGGTCTCTCCACCGTCGTCATCGTCCGACAGAGGTCGACAAGGATATGAGAAGTTCAGAAACAAGCAAAGTATTCACCATTTTCACATAGACCATAATTCACCTTGTTTACCCCCCAAAACTTTGCATAACCATTGTTTTCGACGACTGTAATGCCCTGGAGAATTTGGAAACATTGGTTATGCAAAATTCTGAGGGGGAAAACAAGGTGCGTCATGGCCTATATGAAAGTAGTGATTACAAGAGAAGTAAAGCGAGCGTAAATTAAGCTATTTGACGGACAACTTAACCTACTCCCAAGGTCTCCCAGGAGTTGTGCGGGGTTGCGTAAATGAAGACTACGTGACGGGCCAACGCGACGCGCTCAGGAGGGTCTACTGAAACTCCCTGACGAGAGAATTAGCCAAATCACCGTTCTTTGTCGCATATTCTCGGCTTTGCCGTCACTGTCGCAATTTGGCAGCGGGAGGTTGTCGCTTGTCGCCATTTCATTTTAGGCTCTGTCGCTACTTTTTGGGTCATGTCGCTTGTCGGAATTTACCCTGGCAGGGCCTCAAACAAGTACGGTGACCTTCATCTTTTATTTCATGATTTTAATGACAACAACACTTCCTTTCAATAAGAAAAAATATTGGCAAAATCCATGTTCAGTATTTTGGCCATTCCATGTTCTTCCATGACCAGCGGAGAAGGAACTTGTATCACATACTGTTAGGGCATGGATCAGGGAGGTATTTCGATTAAGATGGAACAAGGGCCTTTGCAAAGAGTGTGGGTATGATTTTTCTGTCTCACAGGAATCTGAACATTCCTTCAAGTCTAAATAACCCTGTTCTAGGCTCCAAGATAGTGGGGAAAACGGAGCGAGAAAAAAGCAACAAAGTTCGAATCATGACTGACTAGTGACAATTTTCTACCGTGCATCAGCTACAGGACGTATCATTTCCATGTCTGCCTCTTCTCTGCGCGAACAGAAACATACTTGAGTATGTCCGTTTTCCGAGTGCTGTGGATTTCTACAGTCTTTTTATCTTTCGATCCAGTTTCATCCTGTTGACCGCATCGCGACAAGATCTATGCCACATACCAAACGACTTGCTGATGTGGAAGCCATTCCATTCCCCACGTCAAAACATTTCCAGTCAACTGCTTTTTCTAATTCCCCTCCTCATAAAATGACGTTGAGTCTCGTTCGAAAGTGAGGTATCCACACTGAGGTTTTTCAGTTGTTTCCTTTTGGTAAATAACACTTTTAACCAGTTTAGAGGTAGCGACCTGCTTCCTGCGTCTTCAGATTAACCTATTTCTCACTTCCTCTTCTTAAAACGACATTTTTCTCTTTTATGTGACGAGAATAGTTTCTTTTCTAGCTGCATCGAGTCGCATGCACATTTCACGAATGAGATAGCGCAAACTCTTACAATTCAAGAGAAAAAAGAGAAAGTATGTGCAGATAAATTCCAAATTACGGCCTGCATTTATATAATGATCAGGAAGAGAGGAGAAAACAATCCGCATCCAGATTTAAAAAAAAAACATCTGTATTGTTATACCTGTATTGGAAATAAAACGTGAATAAAATCTAGAAAATGAGCAAGAAAAAGTGCTTCGTGGGGGGTCTTCAGGTCTGAAAATTTCATTTGCTGCTAACTAGCTGGAATTTGAAAATTTAATCCGGCACCCACAGGAAATGACTAGTCTGGGAATGTAAATATTCCTACAAAGTTTGGTGCAATCGAAGGCCAGCGCTGCTCTCGTGTTCTTCTTTCCTGCAACTCCGACTGTTCGCCGTACCTGTCTGGCTCGTACTAGCCTGTATACAGTCGTTGTTTTATTTTTCTTTTCGTTCTTTTCGAAAACATCGACGAGCGAGAACGAGCGCGAAGCGCGAGAAAATTTTCTTTTCCACCCCACCCCTCCCTCGACCACTACCCACTTGCGCTCGCGGAGAATAAATCCCATCCCGTGCGGTTTATATTTTATCACCCGAGCTCGACGGACTTTCAAGACGAAATAGAGGGTCTGTGAACAGGCTAGGCTCGTACGAGGGAGCTTTCCTCAAGAAGAGTTTTCAGTGAAATTGGGGCCCACAAAACCGAATTTAGTGTCATTTGGGGCACCTTCATTTCCGTTTTGAGGTATTTTTCATTACATAACGCACTTCAAAGTGTCCGTTGTCCGTCTTATAGGGAGTTAATAGTTACAGTAAAATAACTGCAAAACGGCAGGGACCAACACCAGGTGTCCATCTTATAAAGGCCAGTCTCCGTTAAGAAACAGTTGACTGTACTGTAGCTAGAAAATGTTTTATGGTCATTCTTCTTATCCATCATTGTAATATCATGACTAGTGTAGGGTCCTACGCAGACACTCTTTTGGCTTGTTATGTAACCCTCCCCTTCAAATAGTTTGGTGGGTAATGTAACAGTCAAAAAAACCTTTGTGTAGCAGGTTACTGCTATGTATTTACTATAGTACTACTGACTATTGACACCAAAATCATAATACGTCCTCTCATCATTAAAATAGTCACTTTTTTTGTCCTTTTAAAAAGTTAACAGTCATGAGACTGAATAACAGTTCATATGGTAAACTGGTTATGTCCATTTTTCCTCTTCCAGCTGAATAGAGAACCTACTGGAATTTGTACCTAAGTAGAACCCAAGAAACAGCTAGTAGTGTATTTCTTGTTAGAGTTTCAGAACAACATTTACTTGGGATACTTCACATCCCACTTTCACAACAGCTAATTCGTCTTGTTCATATTTTTCTCATCTTGCCATGGAGAGCTTTGAGCAACAGTCTGTATTTCTTGTCCTATCCCATTTTTCTCTTGTTCATGTACGCATCAACAAGTGCATTAATTTTATTTCCAAGGAGAGAACTCTGTTGGAGTGAGAACCTTAGAAAATGCTCTGTTTTCAAAAGGAAGGCAGTCTCTTACTGAAAAATAAAACGAAATTCAGTAATTTAGTAGTAGAAGTGATTGCCAGGATTTTTTACATTTTTCTTTGAAAAAGGAGCCAATGTTAAACAGTATCTTGAGTTTTCAATCATTTTTTTCTCATCTTTAGTCACTACATGAAGCCCGGTGTAACAAAAAAGGAGCAGAGAACCCTTTTTTACCCTTTTCCTCGTTATTAACTACCAGTAACCCCATGTAGTCTTAGAGGACATTCATTTTTGTAAGCCGAGTTCCTGAGATCTTGTAAGTGTGGGTCTTGAAAGTGAACAGGACTCTGTGACGGTGTTCAACATAATATGAAATTATGCCCAAGTATTCTCAACATTTTAAAACAACACAGGGATACTTTTCAGTTTAGAAGGTTATTTTTCTTTAGAAACGGAGCTATTTCTTCCGATAACTGGAGTAAAATCTCGTAAAAGTGATTGGAATTGACAGATTTGGCTACAGACGAGTTTGAGCAATTATGTCCACTCTTACTCAGATGTCAAGAGCCAAAGGAGATGTCAGCACTTGACAAATGCTCTTGGGGGTATGGGTATATATGCTTGGAATTGACTGAGCCATTATAATCAATTTATGTCAATGCAACCATCTCTCACAACAATGAAAACCTTAACAGCCAGCAAGAAAGTTCTCCATTGAAGAGAAATCGAGAGAAGTCACAGGCAAGTGGCACGCAAAAGGAGAAGCGGAAGCAAGGTGCAGAGAAAGAAAGTGGGAGCTCTTCATTTCCTCCCCCCTCACAGCTTTGCCACATTCACTTGCCACTCAAAATTGAGAGGTTGCTCCCAGTCCTGTTCGGTGAATCAGTTACGTTAAGAATTCTGCAGAAAAATTTGAGCCATTTACATACTAAGCAAAGTCTACTATAGCTCCATGTCTCCTTTTTCAACAAAAAATCCTCACATACGCGTGATATAACGATGCCCAAGAGTACCCTCCGATAGTGTCTTGTTTGACCTTGTAACTCTCACCTGCTTCAGTCCACTCCTCCATCTGCTGAGCCTCATTACGAATTCTGATACGGTCATCTAGACTTTGATAAGACCACAACATGATGGCTGAAAATAAGACAAAAAAAAAGGTCAAACACCATCACATTTCTTCTATTTCTTTGATAAAAGACTTAAAATAATAATATCAATATTAACATACCTGTGTTAACAGGACCAAATTCAGTAAACCAAACTCCAACAGGTTCAGAAAGCTTGCAGCGGTCAGGAAGACCTTGAATAATTCTGTGCTCCCACTGTTCTTTTTTACCCAGCACCAGGTCATACACACGAAGCTCATACACACCTTACACAGAGAAAAAAGAAAGTTTTGTAATTTATAAGTAACATCTACTTAGTCAAACAAAGTCAACTGCTACCATTTTCCTTAGGTTCATATGCCTGTACTCCTCCCAGTCTGTATTGATATTAAAAGCCTTGAATTCGGAGAGGGAAAGCACAGACTGGTGTAAAATAATGCATTAGCTTCTCAACAATTCGTATTCAGCACATTTGATTTGAGAACCACGCAGCAGTTAAGAAGCCTACTTTCTATTTGTTTCATATTATGTTTAGGAATTCCCTCAACACAGAAAAAGACTATTAATTATTCTAATAGAAACCATCTACACAAACTCTGAATACCATCAAACCTACTTGGGAAACTGAAATTATTACCCTGTATATGAAAGACTTGACGTTAATTTTATCTTTAGATCTGGCCTTTTGTCGTGTTTACCTGAGAAGTCAAATATGAATAAGGAAACAGGGCTCAAAAACAACTTGAATTCCAGCTTGTCCTTTGGGCAAGCAGCTCTCTCATTTTGCTTGCCCGCTTGCTCATCTTAGTTAATGATTTTATTAAAGGATGACTTGCCTGTACCCTTGCCCATTAGGACAAGTTATTTGCCCAGCCAGAGAATCTACTTGTCCTCAAGACTACTGGTTGGGATTATTTTCCTGCCCTGAGAAAAGCAACATAAATATGCCGGCCCCCCAACACTACCCCCCTACCCCCTCTACCAAAAAAGAAAAAGTCTTTACTACATACCTCCTGTAGAGAGTGGAGGCTTCACTTTATACCATGGGGCTGCATTCATTACCCAGCACTCCTGTCACCAAATTAAATCACATTACTTGTTGTATTAACATGCAACAAATCATTTAAATTTCCTTAGTTATTATAATTAATTACCAACATTTTGCAAAGCATTAAATGTACTTCTGACAAGGGAAACTATAGTAATTCCTTTCTTTGAGGCCTGAAAATGGAGCCCCTCTTCTATTATCTGCAAATTTTTCTTAACATTGTTTAATAATAAAATGTACAACATAATTACCTGCTTGTCCAACATTTTTAGCATTTTCTTTATATAATCATTGATCCAATTTTTGTCCTGGGAAAGTCCTTTTCTTGCTTCCACTCTTTGTGCATAGCTGTCTACAAATAAAAATGTGGTTTATGTTATCGCTGGGCAACAGCATGCAAAGAGCACCTAATTGCATATTGTGTATACAGGTAAAATTGTGGGCTCCAGAAAACATACCCACTCTTTAGAGGGTAATCAAAAAAGTATCCATACTCCCTCATGAAGGTTTATCTAGCTTGAATCCCTCTATTACTCTAAAAGTTAGACCAATTAACCCTTCATAGAGCAATGCTTGTACATGTGTAAATATTTTTTCCCAAAAATTAGAACTTTCCACATTAGCAAGCATCCTGGGGGTCTGAAAAAGTGTCTACTTTGGAGAGATGTCTGCTTGAGGGAGCTTTTAAATAATTAAATATGGTGTTGGTATAACTCTGGGACCATAACCGAGTGTCTACTTGTAGCAGGTGTCCACCACCGGGGGTAATCCCTCACATAACCTATACGGGTATGTGCCGCCCAATGGGGTCGTGATTTTGAAGCTCCTGATTTAGAACGGGGTATCCATTTCAGAGGCGTTTTCTAGAACGGGGTATAATATTTCGAACGCACGAAAGCTCCAGTTTTGTAAGCAGCCATTTGAAATTATTCAAGGACAGATTGCTTTTAAAAATACGGTTAAATGCATGCGTTAACAAGCAAAGTGTTGTACTCTTGTTGCACCCTAGAACGGAGTATAAAAAATTGGCCCATTTCTAGAACGGGGTATCAGTTTTAGGTCGAATTCTAGAACTGGGTATACAAAATTGGCCCATTTCTAGAACGGGGGATCAATTTTAGGGGAAAATACCTAAGTGCCACCCCCGTTAGAAGTGTCTAACAGTAGGGGGTTGACCAAAGTCCATATTTATGAGAGATATATTCACATTATCATATATTTTTTAAGATACAGTATAATAAGTCAAATACCATATTCCCAGATGTGCGTGACTTCATTCACACCTCCAATGTCACTTGTCCAATAACCATTCAGTTTGGAGTTTGAGTCAGACTTGAGGTGAATATTTTCATGTGTTAAATTCATGAAATCACCTGACAGGAAATAGATTTATTGTATGAGAAGGAAGCTACGTTAAAGAAGGATGTATTTTTATGGGAGTAGCTAGCATGTTGGTTTCTGAGATATTATTTCCCCAAGCCTCGCAGCTAAGTTTGAAATTTAATATATCAAAATTGGTCTATATCACACCTTGGTTGAGGAAACATCTCAAACATAGAGCTCATTTTAGATATGAAGGTCATCACCATCCCGCTGGGTGGTACATAACTTGATAATACCCCTACCCCCTTCTTGGAAGGGGGAGCTTCTACACCCCTCACCTCTTCCCTCCCCAAAGTGGGTACTTCCCCAAGGAAAGGTATTTTGCTCTAGCTTCAGTTACGCCACGTAAATAATTCTTGGTGGTTAAAACCGTTGTTCTCTTACCAAAAGCCTTGGGCTTTACATAGTATGTACGCAGCTCGTAAATCTTCGTGTCATGATCATTGGATGATTTAGAAGTCTGAGGTAACATCGTCGACGTTGACAGGTGACTGTGAAGCCAGGATCCAACCACGGCGCCACGCAAACGTAGCAGTCTTCCTGCTCTGTTTCGCAGAATAAGAGCCATTAAACAAATGAACAACTAACAAACCAAAACACAATTTCAGGGGAGGACTTCGCGCCCCAGGAACTCGTCACACAAACTGTCCGCCACACAGCGAACTTTCAGCGGTGTTTCTTAACAATTCAACGCGGGCTCGTCGGCTTCACTCCCGGAGACTGAAACCAAGAAGAAGAGAGGAAGTGCATTCATTTTAGCCGGTTTCGTTTTCGTTGAAAATGGCTCTGTGTTCTAACCCAGAAACTATGACAACAGTCGAAAGTGAACTGGAAATCGTCAAGAAAACACTAAATGAAAAAGTAGAGGGATCAGAGTTAATTTCATGTCACCCTGTTGCTGTAAATGTTAGAATAACGTAAGTGAAACAATGCATACATGTACGTTATATAAAGCTCATCTACTTGGGAATGCTTAGTTTCATTGTTAAATTCAGACTAAAAATTTTAAAACACATAAACTTCTATGAAAAAAAAGGCCTTATTCAATTTACACATTTGATAGTCTGTCAAAGGGCTTTTTCCTAAATAATACTGTAGTTTAAGGCAGGCATTTAACAAATTCAGGAAAGATAATTTATTTATTTCCGGCCACTTTATTCAGGCTGCTTTACTATAAGAAACATTTCTCATGTTAAGTTTCAAATGACTGTCTCTGAGGTCAGGTGGCTTATTTTTTAAATCCTAAAGGCTCAGTTTAAACGTCAAACTTTTCATGTACCAAACGTTTTATCCCTCGATTCCGTGGTACATGAAAAGATTGACGTTTGAATCAATAAGGTGCAGCATATCTAATTTGGGTCAGCCCATGGATTAAGTTTGAGTGGGTCACAAGGGAATTTTGACAGTGGATGACTTTGTTTCAAATGGTCATATTGTGAACTTTTCATGTGCCGAATCTAAGGCATAAATTACCGTATATAATTTCCCTTTTACTAGTAAGCATTGTAGGCCATTGTACGTCATGAAAGTGAATCAAGTTCGACATGTGAATCAACCATCGAACTTAACTCATTTGGGTCAACCCAAACAGGTATTCTGTGTTTTCACTGTCATGCCATCAAAAATAAAAATGCAAACCAGTCAATACAGAAAGTTATCTGGGAAATTAAAGAAGATAGATATACAAAAAGTCTTGCCAAGAATCAGGTCTGTGCAATATTCATATGCAAGATATTCAGAAAAATGTTTTACCCAAACTTATAAGGCTTTGTATGGAGATGCCATGTTCATGTCCCTTTGAGGGACACAAATATCGCTACCGGAATCCAACAGACACATCTGTTTTTTAGTTTTCCTTCTTATGGGTGAATTCATCACTTGAGGAACTCATAAAGATTTTTAAAGTAATATTTATTCTAAGACAAGGAATGTTTACATAGCAAAATCTCAAAAAATAAGTAATGTTTTTAACCCGTATAAGAGCTTTCTCGGCTGCCACCTACCGGTATTAAATGCTGTGTCATGCAAAAGCCTGGAAATTCAAGCATCTTCTATAGCAAAGTGAAGAACCCTTTCCGACCAAAAATTTGTATAAATAAAGGTTTTTAGGTGCTGTAATACCTCATGAAAGTAGAAACTCAGAAGAATCAATAGTTGCTTAGTTTGAATTTTGGTGACATCATTTGAAAACCCCTAAAGGCTAATCAAGTTCTGTACATGGGAAGTTCAACGGTTGTACTGGGCGTAACTCTTCTCTTTATGTTCTTTAGGAGGACGAAATTTAAGAGTGTTGTTGTGTTGCTTCAGTTTCCTGACAAGTATCCCACAAGTGCTATTATTGTGGAGTTGAAAAGTAAAACCTTACCTCCTCGTCTTTTAGCCAAAATGACCGAACTGTGTGACCAAGAAGTCAAAAAATTCCTTGGTAAACCTCAGGTGGGTAGACCAGGAACAAAACAAAAATTATGCATCATTTTCTGCGATTTAAATTTTCTGTATTCATTTGGTATTAAAATTAAGCACCAATAAAGTATAGCATATAATATAATTCAGCTTATTACACTCAGCACAAAGACAATAAATTAATGTGCTTTTAAACTGAATCATATCTAAGCATGGATTTTTTAAAGAATCTGACTTAGAGGCACTGTTACTTGTAAGTGTTAAGTTCTCAGATGTGTCATAGATTGCAGCTGCACTAGAGTGATGATGTCACCATGGGACTGTAGTGGGGTTAGCTTTGTTGATAGAGTGCTGTTCTTTAGAATGGAAGGTCCAGGATTCGATTCTTGGGGTTGAACCAATACTTAATGTTTTAAAATAACTGAATAAAATGGTATTGCAACTGCTTTAAGTAAACAAATAGATCTTTGCTAGGCACAGATGACCATGCTGTAATGGCTCCCTTTGCATCTCCAGTGGGGGATGTAAAAAAAGTCTCCTCATTCAGTACTTTGGGCAAGGAAAAGTGACACTTAAAGTCAAATAAAGGTCACTTAATAATTATTTAAATTTATGGTGGTTTTTTATGGAACAAAAGATTGTTGCTCTATCTTACTCTGTCTTACATTCAGAAAATATTAAATGTTCCATTTTTTACAAAATATTTCTTGTAATTTACTCTATAATTTTATTATTGTTTGCCTTAAGGTCATCCCCATTTTGGTGTTTATGCGCAGATTTCTTGATGAGAATGCTTTGATCGCATGCTCAGATGAATTTCAGTATATTAAATCAAGGCTACTAACAGATGCAGATCAACTTAAAGCTAAACAAAAAGCAGGAATCCTTAGTATTCGTGCCAACCAAGACAAGTAAGTACCTTTTCATACCCATAAAAATTGTTTAGATCACATCTACAAGGAAAGTTCACCCCTTGCTCTGACATCTTTGAAGTTTGGTAGACTAGTGTCCTCTGAGGGGACAGGGGTCAGATATAAATGTTATTTTACTCCTAGCAGAGCTAAATGCAGTTAGAAAGAAACCAGGTGCATAAAACCTGAGCCACATACAGCAAAAACCCTAGCTTTTCCCTTTACCATGTAACATGTAAAAATGTTTTGTTTCAGTAAGTATTCAGCTACTGAACTACCAATGACCAAATAAAAATATTGTCCTGTAGATATTTTCTAGATGTAAAGATTACTGTACCAGATGATTACCATGCCTCTGCAGTTAGGTGAGTGAAAACTGTTTGTTCAATAAGGCACTTGAATATCATATACCGGTAATTATTACGTTTTTCTTTCCATTTCATTTATCAAATAAACGGACTCCAGGTGAATGGCTAGGATTATCAGCTAATGAATTTTAGTGAAGGAATCTAGAAAATCTAGAAACATTGTCATCGCTTATGCCATAAATTGGTTATTTATACGCTTTACCAAGTGAAAATAGCCATTGAATACAGATTTCATGATCAGATTCCAGGGCTCGAAATTAATGCTCGCAAACTCGCAAGATGCAAGTGATTTTGATAATCTATTCATGAGTGAAAAAAAAGTGCATTAGCAAACGTTTGCGAGTTAGAATCATCCATGTCTCTCAAACAAAGGGAAAGAATTTGCTAGTGGTCTCACCAGTTTGCTAGTGGAAAAAAATCTTAATAGCAAAACTTTGCAAGTGCACTAAAAAGCTAACTTCAAGCCCTGGATTCTTTTCAGAGTTACATCATCAAATGGAATTTTTGAGCCCAAAGTGAAGGCATCTCTCTTGCAAATTATCCCCATTGACGGGGATTGATAAGAAGTTTCTGTATTTTCAAGCTTTTAACAGGACAATAAGCTTAGCTATGTCTCGACCTGACAGTGTTACTATTATCACCTGACTGAAGTCAAGATATAAACTGAAGGAAGTAAAGAACTCAAGGTTGTTTTCTTCTACAGGATAGAGCTGAAGGAATCAAACTTTCCAGATAACTTGACACGAGTGTTTATTGGTCAAGCCGTTGACTTAGCAAGGCAATGTGTTGAGGCACCCTTACGGCGTAAACCAAAGTTTGTGATTAATAAAAATATACTAATTACACGGCTGTCACTGAGAGGCGAGGGCTGGGTTTTCCCCCGGTTACTATGAATATGGCCCCCGGCTACTTTCAAAGGAAAGTAGAAGAAAAATAGAACCAAAAAACACCCCTAGCTATTTGATTTCTCCGCCTACTTGTTATATTTACCTGGCAACTTGAAATCTTTGTGACAACCCTGAATAATAAGAAGAACAGTCTAGTATTTACCATTGGCCATGGACGTGCAGTGATAAAACAAATCCTAAAGTCTAACAGGACAACGGAAAATAATTCCAGCAAGCACAAACCAGAACATGTTGCCACTTATAAGCGTGTCCAATATAATTAATTGAACTCTGGAATACCAAGATTACAGGGCTTCTGATATTTCGCGGAAAAAAAAGCAAAATTTCGCGGGATTTTCAGGGGCAAATTCGCGGAAAAATCGGCCGATTTCGCGGGATTTTCGCGGGAAAAAAGTCAAAATTCGCGGAACAATCGGCCGATTTCAGGCGATTTTCGCAGGAGAAAAGTCAAAATTCGCAGGAAAATCGGCCCATTTCGAGGGATTTTAGCGGAAAAGAGTCAATTTTCGAAGGATTTTCGGGGGCAAATAATTTCCTAAGAATTTCTTAGGAAAATCGGCCGATTTCACGAGAAATTTCGGGGGGAAACTTCGCCAAGAAACAATCAACAAAAAACAGCCAATTTCGCTGGGTTTTTTTTGGCAAATTTCGCTATAATCGATCAATTTTGCGTCGATATGACCGGCGCTGGTGAACGTTTTTTTTTAACACGGATAATCATTTGCTCTTTCAACAACAGTTCGCTCGAGAAATAAGCGCATGTTAAAGCTATCAACATTATGGTTAGTGCCCAGTTTTTCGCAACGTTCATCTAAAAACGCCTGGTAGTTTTGGGACGTTGTTTACTCGTTGCAGTGATGACGTTTCAAGCTAAATTTGGACGTTTGGGGTGAATAAAACCGGTCTAATAGCCAAGATAAGTATTAAATATGTTTTGCCGACATGTATTTGGAAATATTTCTGACGGATTTCGCGGTATTTCGCGGTATTTCGCGGTTTTTTGGGAAATTCGCGGGATTTCGCGGAAATACCTGAATTTCGCGGGTCCGCGACCGCGCGAAATATCAGAAGCCCTGCAAGAAGAAGAAGACAGTAAAGTCCATGTGAATTTTTAATCCACTTTTTACAGCATAAGAAGAGTGGACAATAATTGCTTGCAGGATCAGTAGTTACAATCCAAATTCATATGTGATTTAATTCATACTTCTTCATTTGCTCATTTATTTATTGTGAGGGGAACACATTCACCCACAACTATCCTGCGGGCAGAGGTTTCTTTCTGGCATGGCTTTTAGCTTTATAAATGGTTGGCATCGCTTGTCAGTCACGGAGGGTGCGTAGGGGCGTAAAGAAACCAACTATGCGACTAACAACGATGTGAACGACTTTACGAATGCTAAAAGGCCATTCCAGAAAGAAACCTCTGCTCGCCGGGTAACCCACAACTGACCTGCTCCAAACGTCAATGGCTTTATAACTCAGTTGGTTAAAGTGCTGCATTGGTAACATACAGTTCGTGGGTTTTGGTAGTTGTTTCTAAACTTGTTGGCACAATTTCGATGATCATTACTTCATTTAAAATCATTTGTTGGTAATTGACACAGATTAGCTAGCAAATCAGTAACAATCAAAAGCAGTGAAATTTAAGTCAGAATCCAGGGTGTGAGCATTAATTTTTTTCTCCTCAGAGACCCGCCATTTGAACCCAAGCCCTCTTTAAAGTTGGTTTGTGACTTCCTTGTCAATCAGTGCGTCAGACATTGCCCTCTACAGACATGTCCAATTTGTCAACAGAGAGCCTTGCCGGATGATCCAAAGGTATTGTTTAAGATTGTTTTGGAGGAGCTGTGTTCCGAAATTTATCAAAATTCAAACAATTCGAACAGCCACCAAATTGAGTAAAGCTAAAAATGATAAAAAGATGGTATAAATAACATAACAAATACATAAGGAGATGGTCAAACCTGAAGTAGGTTGAAATGGATTGAAATTGTGGGTATTGAAAACTTGTTAGCCTAACAGTTTTTCAAAGTTAATTTTTGTTGTTCGTAAGGTTTGACATAATGCTTGGGAGACATATTCGCTTGACACGTTAGCTGGCATTTTGCTATTCAAAAGTAATTTGTCAAGTTACATAGCAAATAAGGATACACAATTGGTATTATTAACATAATGAACTAGACAACCATGGCTCAGCCCTTTTAAGCTCTTTTAGATTGTCTTCCTGAGAGATCAAGCATGGCTAAGGACAAATTTAAAAAGTGCCTTATAGTTTTTTCTAAGAGGTTTTGTTTTTTAGCTCACACACCTACCCCCGAACCCCTAGCCTGCGGTGCAGCGGCCCACGTATCCCATATAGTGTGGATATAAGGTTTAAAGTGGTTTACAAGGTTTAAAGTGTCTGCGCGCAGGCTACCGAACCCCTAGCCTGCGAACACAGAAGTATTTTCGGTTGATGTGGAGAGAAGCCAAGGGCACCCAACGACAATTTTCGGAAGAATATCTGTTCGGAAGACGATTTGAGATCTAGAATTTTCGAAACATTTGTTGTAAAATTTCTTGCTTGCCTGCCTCCCCTAGGATTTTCGAACATCCAAAAAATGGTATATTTGCCTATTTTTAACGGATTTTTACCCTAAAAAGGTCACCTAGAATTTTCGGAAACCTTTTTTCTGGCTGAAATTTTCGAAAAGGTAAGCTTTGATCCCTATAATTTTCGGATCACTAGACTTTCGGCTAGGAAATCCGAACAGATGAAAAATTTTTAGGGGATAAAAATGTGCCTATATCTACCGTTTAAATACTAAAATACGTTTAACAATGCTATGTTTAAGTGGTTTTGAACTATATTCTCGTTGGGTGCCCCTGAGAAGCTACGACCGGAAATTCGTCTGTGTTCACAGGCTGCCGAACCCCCAGTTTGTTGTAGCCTGTGTAGCCGTCATTTCCATTTCCCTTATATTGAGCCAAGCGGGGCAAGCATGACAGACGTGCAAGGGCTAAAAGGAGCAAAAAAATAGGAGGGGGGCTGGGAAGTTTCCTTTCCTTCCCCGCCCCTCCTCCCGCTCCTTTTATTTTCAGGGACCTTACGATCCGACAACGGCGACGTCCATGAAAAGGTCTTTGAAAAATAGACTTCGCAGCCTTTTAAACTTTTTTCGCGATTATCCCAATTCGCCTCGTTACTTAAAAGAAGGGAATTTTGGTGTTGGAGCTGAAGAGAGGGGACTGCGCCCGAATTCAGACAGAGATTGTAAATTTATTGCCTTGTCGTTCCCGTTCTCAAGTAAACTTAAAATTTGGTCATTTCACGTCGTAGTTGTGCAGGGACAGGAAAGAAATGTACAAAAAAGTGTGATGCACGTGCAAAGTTGTTGTTTTACTCATTAAACCTATTGCTTTTTTGACATGATTCTCCATGCCGTCGCCGTCCGTAATTTCGTAAGTTCCCTTTCGTTACCAAGGCTGGCATGTCTCGTTTGTCCTGCTTGGCTCGAAGGAAGCTGAAACGACTGCTACGCAGGCTAAGTTTGCTGACACAACAACACCGTTGTTTAACATGCATCTGAGTTGCTATTGACAGTATTCAAACAGTTGTTGTGTTATTGAACTCTACAGGAAGCAGTTACAGATCCAACAGACCTGAAATATGTTGAGCGTGTTTACTGCAATCATCTCTTTCACTATGGATGTCTTGATAAATACATGAAAACCCCACCTTTTCAAGGTATGAACCTTTAAGCTAGCCTGCCTAATCATTCCAAATTCCTAAGTTAGAACTGGTTTCACTTTGTGTGACTGAACCAAAGTAGCTTGCGAATACAGTCGCCAGGGACGTTTCTCGATACGTCTGTTTGGTTGAAGAGCGGGGAGAAACAGCTCTATTCGCAGGCCAGAGCCCAAGAGAAAAAACGTCTGTTGTTTTAGCGTTTGCAGGGGTCGTATTTGGAGATTCAAATAAGACATGATATTGGGTAGACTGCGAGCAATCTCTTATTTTTGTTTTGAGTCAAGAAAGACGACCACTCGCGGTCTACATATTGGGCAAATCGAGAAACGATAACGCAAAAGCGTGCTGAAAGGACTGGACACGACTTTCGGTGACCATTTTGCCCCTCTGCCATTGGTCAATTCGGTGTTAAGCTGTGTGCGCCCCGTCGTCACTTTCGTCGATGCAGTGGGGAAGAAGGTCTCCCTGCCAGTCAAATCAACTTTAGTGTATATGAGAATGAAGTTGACCCCATTGCCCGAGTCAAGAGCTGACAAATGCGCTCGGGCATACTTCGATAGTGTCGCCTCGACCGGCTGGCGAGTCAAACTGTTTACATGCTGCTAGAAGGGTGATGGAGAGGTTTCCTTTACCGGTCATATACCACAGGTCACGACAAAAATAACAACATAATTATAAGTAATTTCCCCTCCACCAAAAACAACATTTTGGATAACGTTTAGGGCTAGGAGACACTTCTGGGCTTGTTTATTTATCTGTAGCGTGGTGACCTGTATTCTGACCTGTGGAATATGAACTGTAAAAAATACCTGCCGAAGGATGACTCAGCTAAGCAGGTCACCCTTCAGGCCGAGCCAACTTTTTGTTTCTGATGTAAACAGTTCTTCAATTTTTGTTCAGCCTGCGTGGCCGGCGTTGAAAGGAGAAGGGGAAGCGGGAATTTGGGGGCGCGCGAGGGAGAGTTTCTCCCTAGCGCGCCCCACACGCTCTCTCGCGCGCCCAAATTCCCCCTTCCCCTTCCCCTTTCAACGCCGGCCACGCAGGAAGTTTTGTTAGGAAATGTAGGAAAAATTTGACTCACCCAGGTAGGCGAGTGATCCTTCTACCCGGGACAAGACAAGTGTTCTCCATATAAATAGGACCTAATGAGACTAGAGCACATTTCATGGCTTTGGCTTCAGTATAAGTTTGTTTTCTTTACTAACAAAAGGGGATTTTGAACACTTATGTTTTCCGTTTCCCAGGCGGAAAGAAATGTCCGGCTTGTAAACAAAGGATATATCATGAGCGTTGGAAGATTACGCCTAAACTCGCAGAGGAAAGATGGGCACACCACGAGGCAAAGAAAAGAGAACTCTCAGAAGTTGTGGACTTTTTAGGAGACTGTCTTTGATATCAATTATTATTCTCAATAATTATTCAAGTTAAAAATAAAGCAGTTGTTTTAACTGTACCCCACGCACAGCTGACGTGCTAGGAACTTAGTACCGTATTTATTCGATTAACCGCCCTGGGCGCTTATTAAATTTTTGGACATTGAGAATGGGCGCTTATTCGGGGTAGGCGCTTATTCGAGGCTGGGCGCTTATTACATTTTCACCATTTTCAGCAAGTGTAGTATGTTTATTTTGCAACAATACAATAAATGGTAATAATAAAACGCGAAGATGTAACAAAGCAAGGTTTCTGTAAAATACCCTGAAGAAAACTCCGTCTTCGGGCAAGTCTGTTATTAGTACTTATTTAATGATTTTTGGGTGGGAGGGACAGAAAGGGAGTGGGGGTGGGGTGGGCGCTTATTTGAGTTTGAGTTTGAGTTTGAGGCGGAGGGAGGCGGGGTGGGGGTGGGCGCTAATTCGAGGCTGGGCGCTTATTAAATTTTTCTGCCTTCAGGATGGGCGCTTATTCGAGGTGGGCACTAATTCGAGGTTGGGCGCTTATTCGAATAAATACGGTACACCGCTTTCAGTTGGTTTCCTTCTCGAATCTTAGGGCCTGTTTTCCTTTGGGTTTGGGGACCCAAGGTTGATGAGGTAACCCTATTTGGTGGGGTAACCCGTCTGTCCATGTAATCTATCATTTTAATTTGATCACGTTTGCATGATAGGTGGAGTGACTCGCCGCATTTTACTTCACCCATCTGGGGTCCTCCAACTCTGTGTAAAGAAGCCCTTAGAAAAATACCTAAGTAACGCCGAACGACGTGCTGAAAACGAGACGAGGTTAGGGTCGAAAGTCTCTCGTACCCAGATCTCTCGTGGACCAAGAAATCTGGGAACGAGATTAGAAGACCTCTTCTGATAACCCCATTTTGCTCGATTACTATTTCTCGGTATCTAAACCAAAAATCACAGATTTCTACAGCCGAGAAGTTACCACAAGCTTTAGGAACAAGGCCCTAAGTTTCCATTTGAAAGATGGTTGAACAGCTTTTGTAATTAAATGAACAGAATCTCTCAAATTGTTAAAAGATACAATTTATTCTATCTGCTATTAACAATATCTCTCTTTCCTCTGTATATCTCCATTGTCTATTTTCGAATCCCACTGACACAGTCTCTTGGTATTCCAAAAACTAGAAAACCGGCTAACGCAATTTTTTAAAAATATATCTTAAGTCTTATACACTAGCACGATTCTCAGACAGACGGACGACAGATTTCAGACCCTCTGAGAATTGGGCTACTTTCCCACTTGATATTGACCCTTAAATCGCTGCTAAAAGAGTTTGGCCAGAGGACGTGGCTCCATCTCTGTTGGGCGATGTTAAAAGCTCAGCTACCTCCACAATGATTTCCCCAAGTACGGTTCCGAAAACGGGAATCCCGCTCCGATTTTCCATTGGGCAATTTATTCAATCGGAAGCTCCTCGCCTCTCTACGAAGATTTCCCGAAGAAGTCTACCTCTATACCGCCAACATGTCTCGGTAAACTACAGTCCCGAGGGGATCTTGTAGAATGTGATCGTGGATGTGAATAAAAAGTGGGATATAAGTCAAGAAGTCCAGGAAGTCTAAAGCAGTTGTCTTGCCGAGGACTTTCAATGTTTGTTCTCTTTGTTCCGCCGATAAACCACCAGCCGTAAGCCCAAGCATAAGTTCCTCAAGCGAAATGGTCTTCTTGGCTTCGTCAACATAGCATAAGAAGAGCCGCTAAAATAATGAAGAGATAAAAACGTACAGTGTGTTATGAAGAGTAGTGGGCATTATATCTCACTTCTTGGGGGGAAGGGGGAGGGGGTTGCACCCCCCCTCCCTCCAGTTGCTCAAAAGGTGGATAACGCTATCCACCAGTGATAACTCTCTATCCATTGGATAACGCAATCGATTTCCATAATACTTATTTGTCGGAGAGTAATTTATCCAGTGGATAGCACTATCCAACGTTGGAACAACCGGGGCCAGAACAAGACAGTCTGAGCGCACTCGATTAAGTCGACACACTATTTTTCATAAACAGCCTACAACAACAATATTTTAGAAGGGTAAAATCCTGAACCTTTGTACTAGTAAATAGAATAGTCTTAACTACACTGCAAAACAGTCGTTTTTTTCTCAAAATCGGTTTTTGAAGGCGCGAGGCACCGGCGGAAGGTTTAATAGAGTCTCACAAGCGAGAAGCGCCCGAGTCTCACGCGCCCATAGTTCGCCAAAGTACGGACTGTATTAACTGGTATTGGACTCAAAGTTATAACTCTAACAAACAAATCCTCTTAAACTTCAATTACCTTTGACTTTTGCAGCTTGAAGTCAAGCTCTCTGAAATCCAACTTGGCTAAAAGGATTTTTGCAAACTCACTGTTAAGAAAGGTAATGAATCACATTAGTGAAATAAATGAGAGAAATTTACGGTAAATGATAAATCTCCGTAAACTTGACGTACTCTAAAACTGCCACGCGTTGAGAAAATGCAGCAACAACGGAAAACAACTTGAAATCTGCTCCAGCGTCCAGACTGCAGTCACAGAGCTCTAGAACCTAAAAAACAAAATGGAGCATGATGGGATGAAAGTGTCGAGGTACCAGTAGAACCCCGGTAACTAGACCTCTGAAGGGAAACAAAATCCAGTTTGAGTTACAGAGGGTTCGAGTCAAGGGGGTCGACGAAACATTCTGTTTGCCTTCTTAATGACTGATAGCTATTGATTTTTTAAAACCTTCTGTGTATACCGGTACAGAGCAAATTTAACTTATTTCATCAGAAAGGGTAACATAATTGCACCAATTAAAATCAAATCATAATGTTAGTTTTAATGTTTTTACAGATTATACAAAAAAAGGGGCTGATGGATGCATCCGAGTGGAGTTCTAAATTCGAGTTATCGGGGTAAATGTCTGTGACATCTTGATCAAGGGAAAGGAAATTTAGAGCGAGTAAGCGAAGAATTCGAGTTATAAAAAGTCGAGTTAGGGCCTCTTCATATGAGCCCGGTTGACCGGGCTGGCTCGGTTACCGGGATGAATTTTGCCTTGGGTTCATATGAGAAATTTTAGCCCGGTTTCCGAGAGGAGAAAAGGTCAAAGATCCTGAGAACGAGTTCTGGCGCCAAATTTGGGAAACAAAACAAACATGGCGAAACACAAAAATTTTAACTTTCGGGCCTGTCTTAGCATCGGTAACTCTTAAAGCTGTATCACTGCAGTTAAATGGGATACTTATGATGTGGAAAATACAGCAGGCAATGCAAGACGATGCCATCCGGACCGCCAGAATTCATCCCGCCGTTCATCCCGGTAACCGGGATGAAGTGTTCATATGGCAAAATTTCCAGCCCGCTTACCGAGATCTCGGGAACCGAGCCAGCCCGCCCTCTCATATGAACACATCGAAAATTTTACAAAGGATTTAGAGGTGAGGCGAGATCTCGGAAACCGGGCCAGCCCGGTCAACCGGGCTCATATGAAGAGGCCCTTAGGGCAAAAAATGTTTGAAAAGTAAGGTCAAATGGTAGAAAATATGTAAAGAAGGGGTGACAACTGCAAAAAAAAAAAAAAAAAAAAGTTAAAAGTGTCCAAAAACATCCTTCAAATAGATGACTAGAGAAAAACAAAATGAGGATAAAAACCAGAGAAACTCGGAAGTGACGCAAGAGAGAATATTGAATCAAAAGGCCAATACAACCACAGTAAAAACAATACCTGCGAGAAGTTAATATTTACTTCAATTCTTAGAATAAATTTCCTCTAGAAAACCGTTAAAACCGTCAAAAGCCCAAACAATTCACCACCAACCTTCAAAATCGTACCCTGCGAGCAGAGGTTTCTTTCTTGCATGGCTTCTAGCGTTTAAGAAGTCGTTCGCGTGCTCGTCTGTCGCGTAGCTGGTTTGTTTACGCCCCGTTTCTAACAAACCAACTACGCGACAGACAAGCCACCCCAACGACTTCGTAAACGCTAAAAGCCATGCGAGAGAAACCTCTGCTCGCAGAGTATCAAAATCGAAAAGATTTACCGTCAAAGTTCCCCCCTATCCCAAATAAGACCCTCTTTTCAAGATCGTGTCACAGTAGTAGTCAGTGATCCGTACCAATGTTTAAATTGGAGACAATGAGTCAGCTGTCCTATTATGGCTCTTGGTATTGTCTTAAAGTATGGTTTTACAGCGTCTCTTTGCATTTTAAAAGGTCAACGAGGAAGATGGCGGCTAAGAATCTACTTTCGTACGCTGATCGCGATTTAAGGATTACAAAAGAGAACCTGTACATGGTCCTTGCTCTTTGGATGGAAATGTTTCCTCTTGGTTCTGACGAAGCTAACTCAGATGGTTCGTTTAAAAAAGTTGGAGCGGTGCTTGTGTTGCCCAATGATATGATCTATGCAGTGGACTGTTCAAGAAACGGCGTCCACGGCGTAGCTCGACTATTAATGGCCCATCCTGATGTTCTACAAGATTGCAAAGTCTTTGTTTCTAGAAAGCCATGTTCCTTGTGCACAAAGCTTTTGGTCCAGTCTAAAATCAAGAGGGTCTTTTACTTCCCGATTGAACCAGAATACATAGACCGAAAGGATCGTAAAGCCGAAATGCAACGCGTCGATAACTTGTTTAAAGTGAGTCCAATCGGTCAGACTGTGTTTGCACCCAGAGCTGGAAAAGAAGTACTCGCGAATACGGAGAAAAAATATCCAGACACTCCGCAGAACATCAGAGATCAGATAAAGGATCAGCTTATGGACGCCTATTGGAACGAAAAATGGACGGCGAAAGCAGGAGAGAATTTGCCTTGGCCTGCGTTCGACGACGAAAACATGACAACGCCGGTCAAAGACGATTTTGAGGGGATGATGGAATGGATGGCCACAATTTTAGTTGGTTCGGAGAAAGGATACAAATTTAAAGCCCACTCCAAGATTTCTTCCCAGGATAAAGACTCGTCATTTAACCCGGAAGAGAATGATGACGATGAACGGCAAGCATCACACCTGATCACTTTGGCAAAGTTCCTAGCTGAGCGCACAGATGATCCAAGAAAAGGAGTTGGAGCAGTCATAATGAACGAAGAAAGGGAGATTGTGGCTCTCGGATGGAACGGATTCCCTACAAAGGCGCTTTATGGTGAGTTTCCCAGAGCCTCAGACAAGGATAAAGACGTGCAACAGAAGAAATACCCATACATCATCCACGCCGAACAGAACGCGCTCCTCATGCGAAACACCAAGAAAATCAAAGGCGCTACATTGTTTGTCACGAAAACGCCTTGCAACGATTGCACCCTGCTGATTGAGATGCTCGGGATCACAACATTTGTCCTCGGAGAAAAGATGCAAAAAGGCAACAAAGAAGATGCAAGTGGGGAAATAAACTATACTAAATTCGCAGACAAAGTGGAGAGCAACGTCTTCATTTGCTTTGAAATGGAAAGTGGTAGCATTCCCGCAACAAAGAAACGAGACTTAAGTAATATATAAATGTAACATTTCATTCAATATCTGACCTAGACTCTAGTCCCCACCAGGGATAGTAGGGCAACCCGCGACTCTGTCACCCCCGCGCGGGAATCTCCCCGCCGCGTTCGCCTTTTCTTGGGGTGATTTTCATTTTGTACTATCCCTGAGGGTGGGGACTAATGGAATAAATCTGAAAAAAACAGCCCAGACGCGGAAATCTGTTTGAATTGGAATTTTGTAAGGGGATATAATGGGGTAAATGAAATACATCCTAAATTCTGACTTACTTGTTTGTGTTATGCATTTTACGGTCTATTTCCTTCTGGAGCCATTTAGAAGCCGTTTTGGCAATTTTTCGATTATATTTCGTATTTCGTATTGTAAGTACAACTGGTAACGCGTCGTTTCAATAAAAAAAAAACTAATTACAACTCGACTGAATAAACTTGTATCGAAACGACCGGTAACAAACAGTACAACTACAACCAGAAATTATGAAATATACTTATTATCAATTACTAACAAATTAAACATTCGGAAATTTCTTTCCTTTATTTTTATTCTTAAAAGGATATTTTAAACCGCGAAATATTTAACAAAAAGACCCCAATTTTCACTGCAAAGATTTGATTTAAACCAACTGGAAACTGAGAATTGACGAAATATCTTGAATGAAAAACGGTCTGTTAAAAGCAGGTTCTAACTTCAAAAACTTTTTTTCATTTTAATGTTCTTTGCATTGTGCTTGTAGGAAGTAAATTCTCTGCAAATACTATACAACAGTTTCTAGAGAGACAGACAGAGGATACTAGGATACTGTCCATAAGTACCTCTTCTTTGCTATCTCACGACTACACCCGAAGAAAGGTTTAGTATCCAGAAACTTATCACTCCTTATGAGTTTCTGTGAAAACCAAATAAAATCATCCCACAAACAATTTACACGATAAAGTTTGTTTGTACACTGAAAATGTTCTGTCTTATCGCCTAAGCCGTGTGAAGAGGAGCAAACATCAGGCAAGGCGTGAAAAGTACTTACTCGGTAAATATAACTGATATGGGAGTCCGATAGTAAGTTGGAATTGACGCTTTCCAGGGCTTCTAAAACTTCTTCAGGAAACAAAAATCCATCCTCATCCTCGTCGAACTAAACAAATTAGAAAAGCAAAATTGGCGTAAACTTACCCAAATCAGGTGGTCAAACTGGTGTAAATTCCCAACGGACAAAACACAAAAGAGCGCACTCAGACCTTTTAAAAATGGTGAAAGAGAAGGTGGAGTTTGTATGTCACTGGAGATATGTTTAGATTTCTGGGTACCTAACCACCGAGCCCTCCCCTAAGTCAACATTAACACTTACTCCTCACTTTGGGCAAAATTGTGACTTAGGGGAGGGGTAGGCGGTCGCTCACCCAGAAACCTCTATTGATCCGAGGTGGAATAGGCGCGATGAAGTCTGAAGCAGTCACCGTCGTTGTTGTTTAAGCTCCCTAATATGGCAGAATATTGGGGCGCACTGTTCCCATACACTTACAGTCAAATCAGGTCAAGCGTTCCCGTCGCTAACGAACTAATAAATTCATTAACGGAAAAATGATTTCGTTTATTGATTCAATAATCCATTCATAAAATAAACTATCCAATATTCATATTAATTTTAGCCTCGACTCCATAATCGAATGTTGATTCGATTACTGTTTTTAGAAAAACTACACTTTTTTTCTCCTTTTTTTCTTAGAGTCGAGTTCGGGCGAGTTCTGACTTTCAAACCCAAACAAACTGTTACATGTACGTCATTTTGTTTCCAGTATTCACTGCAACGGACCTGACCTCTTAGGAAACACGATAGTGAAACTAAGGTCAGTGTATGTGCGGTGATTGGTGGATTTCGATCCCCGGCCTTTGTCAGTTTCTTTGTATTTGCGGTCTGTCTCTTCTAGCTGTTATTTTGATTAAAGGCAATTACAAACGCAGTCGTAAACGGCAGGAAAAGGGAAGCAAAGACGATTGAACTCAACAGACAAGAATAAAGAACAGGTAGATTTTGTATATAAACCAAATCAACATTTAATTATTGAATCGAGGTCCAATTTGATTGTTCGATTATTTATTTTATGAATGGATTATTGAATCAACAAACGAAATCATTTTTCCATTAATGAATTCATTAGTTTGCTAGTGACGGGAACGCTTGACCTGGTTTGACTGTAAGGAGGAAAAAAGCACACAAGCGCGAATCGTGTGAGACTTATTACTGTAGGAAATTAAAGACTTACGGTCTTGAAGATCCGCCGATAATAATTAGATTGCCCTTCACTTATTATGCAGTACTTGGTCAGAAAATCATCTACAACAGATAAACACCACAGTGAGATTACCTTATTAGACAGATTTAGTAAAGACAACGCGACGGCAGTGACGACGGCGCGCGCAGATCAAAGTAACACCTTGACCAATGGCAGAGCAGCAAATTGGGCACCGGAAGTCGCGTTTAGTTCTTTTCCCGCGCTTTACCATCGTCAACAGACGTCCCCGTTCTGTTGCTAACTAGTATTGTTCATTAGTATTGTCGCACAAGCCAAAGCCCACTCACCTAATTCATTGCGTGCACTGTAATTGTCATGTAAAGGACTCTGTGCTTGAACCTCTCTCTTTGGTTTCTCCATAGCCGCCGCGAGTTTCCTTCTTCTATCCTCAGCAACTTGCTGACGTAACAATTCATTGCGGATACTGTCATCGGTCTGTGCACGGCGCCTGCGAGGTTTAACAGGTTCTTCAGGTTTTCTAACCGGGAACATACTGAAGCTTCGCTTAGGTGGAGCTGGTATCCGAATGGCACTCTCTGAAGAGCAAATTACGATTTGGTAAAAATTTATTATTCGTGGCTTTTAGAAAGTGATCGTAATCTAAGGTAGGCACGTGCATTAATGACATACAAAGACTCTCCCAATAAAAAAGTAACTACAATAGTACAATGAATCTGGGGAAGGGACCAACTTGAGGAATTTTTAATAAGGCCCCTTTCATATGGAGACAATTTGTCAGGGAAGAGGGTCACCCTACCAGTTGAGCCAACTTTAGCGAGCGTTCATTTGAGAAAAATGTTGACCCCCTTTGCCCGAACCAACGGCGCTCGCGCATGCTCTGATTGTCTCGCCTTGATCGAGTTGACCCTGCTGAGCCTTAGCTGTATATGAAGAAAAGTAAATCTGGTTAGAAGGGTGACCTTACCATCAAAAGAGGATGACCCAGATAGACGGATCATCCTTCTTAGTTGAGCCAACGATTTGTTTCTCATGTTAACGAGTCGTCAAGTTTTGTAAGAAAATCTATGAAAAGTTGGTTCGTCCAGGGTAGCTCGGGTAGGCAAGTAGCCCTTCTACCCGGAGCAACTTTTCTCCATAAAAACGGGACCTAACTGGTGGTTGCTATTTCAAGAGCATCCATTGACAGGTCCATCGGCAAGAATTTCAGAAAACGGAGCTTCGTAAGGGTGATCATTAAAACAACTAACTCATAAACTTTGAGTAGACAGAGTTATTTAAAAAGTACGAAACAAATAAAACACGGATAGCGATGATAAACACTTCGGTTAATCAACAATCAACTTTTCATAATAAACTTGGCGCTGGTTTACCACGTTTATCTCCACTGCTTGTTTTTTATCTTCAATCAAGCTACTAAGACGTAAACTAATGCCAAAAGTTTGATAAGCCGCCTCGGTTGTCTTCTGTATAGTATAAAGTGCACACTATGGTGTCTTAATCAAATAACGCATTTTTGCAATCAAGTGATTTTTTTGGCCGACAACTAAGACACCGTGAACGAAAAAAAAACAATAGCTTTAAATCGCAAAACGTCAATTCTCCAGGAAAGTTGGCCATCGCCGTCGTCCTTTCTTAAGAACCCAAAGATGAGGGACGCAACGTGAAGACCCAGTTTGCACAAGTTTAGACTACAAAGTACTCCTCGGCTCTGGACGGTAGCACAGAGAGTACAAGGCATACCTGGTCTCTTAGGGATTTCAGGGAGGGAGGGTGACTTGATTTGTGCCTCTGCTTCTTCTTCTTCTTCTTCTTGTTCTTCCTGAGACGAGCCTTCACCTTCTTCCTCGATTTCCTCCAACAGAGCGACACTGGTAACGAGGGATTGCTTTGTCTTCTTTTCTTTAATTTTCTTCTTCTTCTTCTTCTTTTTCTTTTTTTCTTCGTTTTCTTCTGACTTGTCTTGCTTTGATTTCTTGGACTTTCGCTTAGCTTTCGAAGTTTCAGATTGCTATCGAAAAAAAAAGGCATTACAATCACCTTAAAAAACTTTCCGTGAATAAACCTTATTCACGATACCCGCCATCTTTGCACGCGCTTTAGCATTGATGGGATAAAAACAATGTCACATGGTATTTCAGGGGTGGGGAGGGAGTGCAAACAAGTGACAAAGTACAGTATAAGTCATCGCGGTCGAGTTTGTTTATTCTCTGAAAGCGAGACGACGAGTTAGGTTTTGCAAAATATACAGTTGGAGTTTCGACAAGTTTTTCGTCATTATTGCTTGCTGTGATGGCATCTACGGCCGCTACTGCATCAAAAAAGTAACGAGATCACTTCCACCCATAACTTTCCATAATTGTTTTTAATATAAAACGTTGGTTTTTTTTTTCATTTTTTGTCTAGAATTTAAAAAAACTGACCCTAAGAAACCACGTGACATTGCTTTTATCCCATCAGCCCTAAACTGACAAAGATGGCGCTCAATGATTCTTTGCAATCACGCATTTAGGTCTTGCGACTTTAAATAATGAGTAACTTGTCTGTTCAAGAGTGTCTAATCATACCAGAAGTCGCCAGCCTCAAATATGTGCTCAGGACCGAGTCAAACGACGAACTTTGTATGTATCAGATCTAATGCCAATGAGCAAAATCTATTGTTTTCGCTTATTAACATTAAAGTCGACTCACGTGAAGTTCGACGTTTGACTCGGGTCTAATTTAGGGCTTTGAAATTTAATCAAACGGTCAAAATCACGGGTAACAAATGTTCGAGTAGAGAGACTTAGAATCACGTTTACAGCAAAGACAATGTCAGATTTAAGTTTACAGTTTCTCAAATAAGGAAATGAGCAGATAAAAACTGTCCAAAATAATTCTTACGGATGAAAATGGAATAAAACCACATTTTTTTGCGCACTAGATAAAATGAACAGTAAACGACAAAAAAAAAGTGCCACTTTATCAAGTTTCCTAAACCTCTCGACTATCAGAATAATTTCGCTTGTGGTGACTATTGAGGCTTTTAAATTGTCCAAGCCAACTGATAAACCCTTCAACCGAGAAAAATCTGCCCTTTTTAACAGACAACGATTCCAAGCATGCATGATCTGTATATCCTGATATTGCCTGCAGTGAACCCATAGGCTATAGGAAACATGGGTTTCGACAAAATAGAGGGTACATTTTTGTTTAATAAAGTTGAATTACTCACACTGTGAAAGAACTGACCATAAAGGACAAAAGACTACTTCAAAGTAAGTAATTCAACTTTATCAAACAAAAATTTAACCTATATTTGGTCGAAAGTAATGTTTCCTAAAGCGCGTAATTAACCTACGCGTCACAGAAGTTACCCAAATTTTAAATGGCCCAGACCACGGATTCTATTGAACATAATGCCCCACTAAAATTGGGTGACCATCTTTTGTTGTTATTAACAACTTAAAAACAAACCTTTTCTCCTTGGACTGTGAGACCGACCATTGATGAAGTACTTTGAGACACCACTGCAACTAACAAATTAGTCACAAAAGGTACGTTAACACCACAGAAAATAAAACTCTCTTCAGATAAAATCCCAGACTCGTTTTCCCTTCCATTAATCAGGTGTATCTCGTTAACAAAAGATATAAAGACCTTTAAGATTAGCCTGCAAAACTCCGGGGGAGGGGTAATCCCTCTAATTAAACAATATTTAAACTTCTTCCATCAGAGCCACTACAACACGGCGTACTATACTCCAGTGAATAGGGAGCTTAAGCAGTGACGTCGGCAACGGCAGCGAAAACGTCTCCCAAAGAGTGAATTCCCGCTGTTTCAAAATTTATCGCCCTTACTCAACTCTTTTAATTTGTCAAATGTTGGCGATTTTTTTCAGGAGTTGAATTCTAAAGGTTTGCATCTAAGTTCACAAAAAGAAAAAGAAAATTGTTGTGGGGTGTTCACGTCCTCCATAAAAGGTGAAATTAGGAAATTTCACGTCGTGGTCGTGCAGTGACGGCAAAGAAATGTACAAAAAAGCACGACGCACGTGCAAAGTTATTGTTTTGCCAATCTCAACCTGTTGCTTTTTTGCCGTTCTCTTTGCCGTTGCCGTCGTCGTAGCTTAGGACCAGTTTACATGGAGGTGGGGGACCCTAGGTAGGTGAGGCAAAATATAGCGGGTCACCCCACCTATCATGTAAGCGTGATCAAATTAAAATGAGAGATTATATGGACAAACGGGTTACCCCAGCTAAGCGGGTTACCTCACCTACCTGGGGTTCCCCCACCTCCATGTAAACAGGCCCTTAAGCTCCCTAATAACTTGGCAAGTTTAAGTGAATTAGTATAACACAATATGATTTGCATCAAATCGAGTTCCCATTTGTTTCTTCCTCGTTTTACAAGTTTTCACCCTGTAGCTGGCGGTCCAAGAACGATTTACAAAGGGGGATCGTTCCTAAGAGTTGTAATTAACTCATCGTCTTTTGGCTTGATCAACTGATCAAAATGACTCAACATTTTTTCCTTTAATATGCCCACCCAGTTATCAGCGAGCCTGGCTGATATGCCAACGTCGAACTTAGCCGATCAAGAAAAAAATGTTAAAACTTATTACTACTAGAAACGACCCCTTAGCCTGTGCCAGGCTTTCGGTCACTGCAAACAAGCAAACAAAGCAGGGAAGCGGCGAAAAAGCGAGCGAGCGAGCGAGCGAGCGAGCGAAAAACGGCGGAAAGACAGAAGGGGCAAGCCTGTAAGCATATTTTTAAATAACTCAGTCCGCACAGTACACCAATCCCCCCACCCCCCCGCCCCAAACTTCCCCCCTCCTTTGGCACTTCCAGAAAAACTGTTTCTTGTGTCAAAATGTTAAATGTCAAAATGTGCAGTGTAGGAGGGTTTCACACACTCTTCATGTTTGTTTGACTCTGCGTTCGCGAAGCGCGAAGCGATTGACGTCAATGTTGACGTTAACAGTAACAATTGACCAATCATAGGGTATACCAGGAGCTGGCATACCGAAATGAAGTATTGAAAACAATGTTTACAGGCAGGCTCCACTTTACCGTCTTTTCCCAGCCCCCATGCGGTTGTCACGTACTCGTTCTCGATGTATTTGAAACAGGCTAGAAGTGAGTTTGCAACATTGCTTTGTCCATACCTTTACTTTGAATCTGTGAAGCAGTCTCCACAACAGAAACAACAGTATCTTCCTCCCAAACATCTTGCTCGTCAAGCTCTTCTTCAGTTTCACACACAAACTGCTCAACTTCCTCTTCTTCTTTCTCCTCCACGATCGTTTCATGCTCTCTTAGGCCCTCCTCGGTTTCGGTGGATATAGACGTCGGGGGTGGTGTTACGCTCGTTAGATCGCATTCTTGAAAAAAAGTTATGAACACAGTGAAGTTACTGGTTGTCATTTCACTTAAATTATAACAAACTTTTGACTACTTTAATTTACTGCAGCATTTGTTGCCTCGTGAGCAATCTTTAGTGTATTCAGGCATGAACAAGAGACGTAAGAAAAAAATGCAGAGCTGTTATAACTATTCTCTTTTTTCATCCCTCGGCCGTCTCAAGGAGGAAGAGAATCCTTTAACTAAACTTCTGTAAAACTTTTTCTCCCCTGTGTAATTACACACATAAACTAAGTTCTTTTAAATTGTACTTCTCAGCCTTAACAGAATTTTCCTACTTTGAAATGAAAGCTTTAAAAGGACAAATGCACGATGACGTCATTTGCGAAAACTACCAGAATTCTTCAGTTTGTTCTTTTCTTGTGCAAATTAGGTATTGTTTCTTAAACCTCGGCGGGATTGACGAGTTTATATAAGAAAGCAAAAACGAACTTAAGTCAAACGACTTCATCGTCAGAATAGCCTAATTACCTGTCAACACCAACTAACATTTTAGTATTTTATTCGGCCTCTAACGGATAGAAACAAGTTCATCACCTCCAAACACAGCTCAGTGGAGGAAATTTTTGAGTAAGACGCCTTTTGAAACAAGCATAACAAATGCCTAACTTACATTTCTAAGGACCTTTTGGAAACAGATTAGGTATGCGTTTCTGTTAAGTGGGCTAGCGTGACAAAAGCAAGATGAAAAAGAACTTTAAGCCGATAAACGCAATGCTCACCTACAGCTTCTCCGTAAACTTCTACCCTCAAAGCGATACTGTTTTTCCACGACTGCGGTAGAAATCGCACAAATCTCGCTTCAAAAGGGTATAAAATGCTGTTGATAACGACTGCATTGTTGTCCTTGTTTCCGTTAAAAACCTGCCACCAAATTGAAAACATAAGATAAGTAGTACATCAAGCAAGTCAGTTGTAGGTTTAATTTACACGATACTCGAGTCGCCGTATTATTATCGTCGCACATCGCATGCGACAAAGGTGCGTCGTGTAAATCCGGGAGGATCGGTGTGATGAGAAAATAACCCTTAACCCTTAATAGCTTTCTTTGGAGGCGTGTGTGGCCGAGCGATTACCACCTCGAATTCCGGATCTGGAGATCCGGGGTTCAAGCCTCGCCCGTCACGTTGTTTCCTTAGGCAAGGAACTTTACTGCACTTTGTCTCTCTTCACCCAGGAGTATAAATGGGTACCAGCGACATACTGCTGGGGGGTAATCCTGCGATGGACAAGTATCCCGTCCAAGGGGGAGTATAAATACTCCTACGCATGCTTCATGCTATAAGGAAACAGGGATAAGCTCCGGTCATTTAAGCCTTTGGCTTGTCAGTGCGCCTTTACCGTTTTTTACCTTAATAGTTTTTGAGGTTTGTGACAACCAGAATACTTTGTTTAGTGTTTATCACTAGCGTAGTGTACGAGGAATGTGTTGTTTACTACGCTTGTTATATATTTTTCTTTTAAACAATGTTTTTTTTATCGTTATGCATATGTTTGATGTCCAAGCTGGCCAAACCCGAGTCAGCTTCTACTGATCCACACAAGACCGGCAGCCGCTCAGTGGGAGGGGAAGGCAATTGGGCAGACAGACGCAGTTGGGGGAAAGAAAGGGAACAACTAAGATACTTCACATTTTATCTTTTCTTTCCTTCATCGTTAAAATTCCCCTACGCAGACGAGCTTGTATCTGCTTAATGAAAACGGAATTTCAGTTTCTAAGCTTCATTTATAGATCGTTCCCGAATTTTAAAAACCTTCACTTTTAGGGCAAAAACTTAACTGAAAAAATGGAATGATAACAGATAATCAGTTTCATATCAAAAACTTGCACTTACTCATATTCTGAAAAAGAGGCTAAGGGCAACTCAGAAATGAACCAAAACCGGGGGCAACTCAAAATATAGACTCGACATTGTTAACCCTGTTAGAGCTCGAGCTCAGAAAACGATTAAAACATTCATTTACTTAGTCGTTAAACTTTTGCGATCAGTTTATCATTTACTTGAATTTAATCATTGAATAATAAAGATGTGAAAAGATTTTCCCATTTTCATAGTTAAAACACCGTTAAAGCTCGTTTAAAACTCATCATAATGTAATTTATATTTATTTGTTACAATTATGATTTATCTAGTTCTTGAATACTTGCCATTATTATTGTTGCGTTTTACAGGTGTTTAGAGTTACAGTTTATGAACCAAACACTGCAAATAAGAACAAAACATGTATTTTTAAACATGTTTTAATAAAAGAAGGGTTAGGCATGATTATAACTGACAAACAACCGTATTTATCGGCCAAAATCACACCGATGTGCGGCGTCTTTCAAGCCTAATAAAAGTCAATTCGTGCTTGTTTACAGAACAATACCGAATGGTCTGTTTCGTACTTTGATAGCAAGAAGAACTAGCACTAATTTGGAAATAAGAAATAAATCACAATTAGTTGTATTTCTTGTATTTATACAGTCATATACTTTTTATTTCTTACACTTTTTGGAACTTTTGCAAAGCGCAATTGAGCATTGATATGGTTGATTCAATGGAGGTCGCTTTGGGCATTGAGCAATTGCACACTAGAAAGCTCTTTGTTTGGCGGTCACTCAAGCAGTGAGTTCCGTATGCCCAAATGGTCAATGACTAGTTACCTTAACAACGCCATTTTCAATGTAAGGTTGCCATTGTGAGCCATCTGTACTGAAAGCCAGTGTGTACGACTCCACCCAGCACCTGTCTTTCTTATGTACTTTGGCCTTGCTAGGGGTGGGGTAACCCTGAGTGGACACCTATGAAGTGAGAAGCAAATACAATTCACCATGTTAAGAACGAGTGAAAAATTGGGAACGAAATGCGACCACAAAGCTTCCTGGGATCATTTGGAGGGACAGTATGGAGGTCAACAAAGATGGCCAAGTGCTCTGTTCCAAACTGCCATAATAGTCTCAGAAATTTACGGAACAAGACGGCAGTATGAATTCTAATTTTCTTACATCTTTAACTCAACAATAAACAACAATAATCTCAACAATAATCCGTTTCGCATAAAAATTATTGCACACTAATTAATTACGGCTGGTAGGGATTCACATGATGAGTTTCTAATGGATTATAAAGGACAAAAAAAATTATCATATGATCCATACAAGTCAGATTAGAAACACAAGATAAACTATAACACAAACCTGAGTAACTTTTGTTAGAGCTCCCAGATCGACCTCTAAATATTGTTTCTTGTCACTGACTTTTGGTTTCCAGGCGCCGGCGTTCTTCCCCTGTCTGGTGTTATTCAGCCGCGCCTGGCTAGGGACGTGGTAACGATCTAGCACAGATGACGCTCGCATTGCATTATTGGGTATAACACCATTGCCAACGCCCAATGCCACCGGGACAAACGCGGACATAAATGAAGCTGTGAATTTAAGCAATACGATGTCGTTAAAAAAGCAAGAACACCAACCCGGGTCCACTAAGGAGGCAGCACGCAAGCAAGCTCTCGTCATTCGTGTTGGTGTTTCGTGCCGGATTTCATTTGTGTTTCTGCGCAAGAAGAAAAACTCTTAAGGCTACAAAAGCGATCGCTTACAAGAGGTTAAAAAAGATGGAAAATTATAAAACTCTCAACACAAAAAGTGGTCGCGGTCGCTTTTGAGAGGTGTTTGTTTACGAGAAGTTCTAACCAGAGGGTTTTGACTGGGAAAATGGTTTGAGGTTTTTTCATATCTTAAAAAGAGTGCATTTACAGCAGGATGCAAAGTTCTAAACAAAGTATGTAAAAGGGGTACCATTTTTCAATGGAAAATATGCGAAAGGCACCTTTTCTGTCATGCACCTTCACAACTTGAGCGCGAACTTATAATATCCTGAAGAAATATCACGGAGCCCAAGGTTCCTTATTTTCTTCCTGATTTGCTTCAAACAAAGGTGATAATTACTATAGTTCTGACTGAGCCACAAAAGCCTGGAGTCTTTAATTTGGATATCATTATACCTGTGTAATCTGCATCTCCTATGGAGGCGTTATCAGACCCGTATTCACCAGCCACTGGAGGTACAAGATAGTTCATTTGTTTCTCCTTTTCTTCGTTGGTCCTTTCTTTTTCCTGGTCAACTTTCAATTTGCTTTGTTTTTCTTCCACTTTTCCTTCATTTTCTTTCTCTTCCAAATTTTTCTCACTTTCCTCCTTTCTCAGTCTTTCTTTATTTTCTTTCCCGTCAACTTTTTCTTCCATTCCTTTACCTTCAAAATTCTCTGAGTCTTTTGTGATGTCAGCATTGCTTTGGTCATCCAAATGTTTCTCAAGTGTCTCTCTCTGTTCGGAGGCTAACGTGCTCGGCTCATCCATCGTATTATTAACCATTTGAGACTTTTGCGTGAGTTCGTTGTTTACACTTTTAGTTGGTTCAGTCGGCGCCACATGCACAAGATCTTCTTCTGCGACAGTTTCATTTTTATCTAGTTCTAAATGTTCCTCCTCTAATGAGCCATTTTGATTTGACCCTTCTAAAGCCTTACCTTCTGAATCATTTCCTTCGTTATCTTGCAAGGTGACGTTTATATCAGCGCCGACAACATCGTACTCCTTAGAAATGCAACCATTAAGAGATTGTGTTTCAGTCCCATTTTTAAGAAACAACGTCTCGCTTTCCTCACCTCCTTCTAGCAACATCATCTCTTTGAGGGATAATTCTTGAGGCGAAAGCCTTTCAGGAATTTCAAGTCTATCTCCTCTACTTCCTTGAGAATCACTATCGCTATCTTCATTTTGTTTACCGCGTTGAGAGCCACCTGGAATGTTTACTAAATGTGGCAGCCTTCTCTCCACATCTGAGCACTGAGATTGTGGACGTGTCTGAACCTCGTAGTACGTGACAATTATTTTAGGAAGTCTAAAACGTTTCTTTCGTAAAATCTCCTCCCTTCTTTTCTCGCTTTCAATGCGGAGCAATCTTTCACGTTCGATTCTTTCCTCCCTTTTCTTTTTTATCATTTCATCTGGATCAGAGTAACCATCTGTTTACACAAAGGAAGGGAAAAAACGGTTCACTTTACTTACTTAAAGTTAACCCTTCTTCAAATAACACCTAAAGTCTCCTAGGTCCCTGAAATATTGCTCCATGCTTGCCTAGTCCCTAGGCCTCATTTTTCGGCGCGGCCAAAGCGTTTCACGTAGGCCAGAATTTCAAAAAGCAACGCACGCATGCGCATTCTGTTTTTGTCTAGGCGTTTCCCGCCCGTTCGCCTCGGATACGTCACCGAAGTGAATTGACCGAGAGTAAACGGAAAAAACGCCGTACAGGGACTAGGTAAACTCCATGCCATCTGTCGTTATCCGGATGCTTGCAATTTACTCGTGCTTGGATCCGCTACAGACTAACATCCAATTCAAGCGTGTGATATAACAGTGGCCTGAGCCGGAGCGTCCTGTGCTCTATATGTATCAAGTCGCCTTTTTCTGAGCCACTAATCTATATACAGTGGATCGGAACCGCGAAATAACGAAGTGCCAAGGTACTGGCAAAATTTGTTCGCTATAACGAGGTTTCGTTGTATCGAGTTTCTTTTCCATATGTTTTACTATTACTGGGGTAAAGAAAATCGTTCGTTCTAAAGAGGACTTCATTATATAGAGGTTGGTTATATCAAGGTTCCACTGTAAACTGAATCTCGAGGGCCTGTCTAGATGAGGCGGCCAAAACGGGCAGTGGCCTGCTTGACCGCGTGCTGGCTCGAATCGCACCTTATTTCCTCATAAATGTTTCTCTGTGTTTAAATGAGAAGGCGGGTTGGCCTTCTTGCCCGCCTTCTCGTATAAACAAAACAAAACTGCTATGAGGATATAGAACGAGGACCGACCCAGCTATAGCTTCATAATTCAAACTGTCCAAAGGGACCCTTCCCCTATTTCGCTTTCCTGCTTTTCTCGCCCTTCCCTCCCTTTTTTGTGCGCCGGTCCCTGCGCCCGTACCCAGTGTAACAAAACAATGTCAGCTTCAAAGAAATCAAGAGTTCCTGGATCGCGATCAAGCCCCATAACAATTCCAAAATTACCTCGACTTCTCCTAAAGCTGTTTAATCTACTTTCATGTTCCTGCCCAGCTGCTTTCGCTTTTTCTGTCCACTGTTCCCAAACATCACGAATCTGCTGAACTTTTTCTATAATTCGAAAGTGACGCTGAAATTAAGAAAAAATAATCTGTCTTCATTCTTGGCAATTACTTGAAAATCGCTTCAACGTTAGTTACATCTACTCTGATTATTTATCACACTGCCCTTTCTTTTCCTTACTTGCAGCACTGGTTAAAATAAAAACAACCCTGTTCGGTTGTAAGAATTGTGTTCCCGCTCTGTGGTGTTTTTAAAACTTAACCCATTTATTCATATACTCTTCTTTCTACTAAATTACCACGGGGCTGAGCATTAAACGCAACCTTAGATGTAAAACGCTTAGTTGCTTCCAAAGTCATTACTACAGGTTACTATAACTGCAGCTTCCAAAGTTGTATCTACAAGTTGTCAGTTTTTTCACTTCTTGTTATCGGCATTCATTACGAGAACTTTCTCGCTGTCTAAAAATTGGTTCATTTTCGCGCGCGAATTTTTCACGTTTGGCAATTAAAGATTACAAACACATGCTTCCTTTACTACGTTGGTTTTCTTTGATTTTGTTAGTTGAAATTAGATAAATTTACAGTAACAAAAAAAGACCTTGTTTGGGACTGGTACCAAGAGCGTACTAGTCGGACGTGTTCACGTTCACTCCCGGCTTCTTACTAAATTTCTGCTAAATCTTTTAACTTTTTCTCAACTATGACCGGAACCGCTGAGAAACTAAGGAAAGAAAACCAAGCGTAAGCTGTAAACTTTCCTTAGTTAATAGCCTTAGTCTGAATTTCATATTTTGCACGCATTGTCCCGCTTCGCATACCCTTGCTAGCTGCGGGCAATACTTCTGTAATTTTATTTGCTTATTAATAAAGTGTCGTTGTTTTGTTTTGTTTTTTAACAAGACACAAACCTCTTGCTTCTTCAATTCCTCCTCGGTTTTGAACCTTTGCTTTTGGCGTCGAAGGGCTGATAATGTCCGTTCATGGGAACATCTTGGAACGTGCGGACAGGGGTCCTTTTTCAAAAAAAAAGGCATGGAAAACGCAAATTAATATTGCACATAAAGAAAACAGTTCTCTGAAGGACATATGGGGACTATACAAAGGATTATCTTTGTTGGTCTGAGGAACGACGCTTTCATGAAGAGAAGGACACATTACAGATATTGTTCGCACCATGTTCCACTCAATGTAACATTAAGCTAACATTACAAGTACAGAAAATGAGTACCAATATTATATACAATCGACTTATATATGCATTATTTTCTGGTCTTTTTCGTGTTTGTAGATGTGGTGGTTCAGTTAAAGTCCTTCAGATCCTGTTTCAAGTTCTACTTACATCTACACGTAAAGTTAGTTTTCGGATACGGAAATAATGACATGAGTTTGAAACAAAGGAAAATAGATTATGAACCGAGGATAAAATTTCATTACCAAGAACATGTCGCTAGTACGACGTAGAAGCCCAACATTTCTTGTGAAGGTCTCGTAGTTGTTACACTTCTGCAAGTAGAAATTACATTACATTTATAGATCATGTTCAACTGGGTAATACATATACACTCCACATAAAAAGAAAGAATTAGTTATTGGCATATGAACCCTTTTTTTTAATTTCTGATAACTGTTTAGGTGAGAAACATATTTTAAGCATTTTTGCCCTAAGCTGAATATACAGTGCAAACATGAGGTAATGAGTTGAACAAAACATTTTCGTTCATTAAAATATAGCTTACAGTTCAGCTTTAAAAAAAAGCATGAAAAAAAGCTTGATACCACAATACCGTAGCCCCCAATGTCCCCCTCAGTTGGTCATAACAGTATTACAACTCCACCCATCTTTTCTATAATATTATTATGCTCCTACCTAGCATGCCCCACAGATGAAAATTAATTTCTGGGTTAAGTTCCTCTGCGAAACAGCACCAAAAATTAAAATCCCTGTTCCACCTAAGTACCAGGATTTGAGTACGAGCCATGATTGGCCTAATAAAATAGCCATTGTTGATTATTTGAAATGTACTTCTGGTAATTTGTTGAGTCCGTAGCAGGGCCAGAACAAAGATATTGGTGCTAGCTTTACAGATGTTACTCACTGGGTTACGTCACATCAGGGTGTGGAAGGGTGTTTTTTGAGATCCAGGATTTGACTAAAATAGTCTGCGGGATTTGGGAAAACACAAAATATCTTAACGGGAAATGGGATCTGACTGCTACCCCAAAAACAGGATTCACAAAAATTTGGGCACAGTATGTGGGAAATTTTTTTGCCTGTCAGTCAGGAATTCGAGAAATCGTACATTTTAGTGGCAACTGTGAATCAAGTTCGGTGGTGTCCCTTGTCCTATCTTGTCTCCCTCTTCATTTCTTGTGCTCTTTTCCTTCCACTTTGTCATACTAAGATATGAGAGGCTATATCACTTCTGCAAATGGCCTTAAAACACGCATAAATTCAGAATATCAATAAAAGGGGCCAATCTGCATCTTACATTTATTAGCTTTTGCAGCAATTAGTCTTTTTTCACTTAAAAATTTTGGAAACAAAAAAAGGGGATTTGGGAAAGTGACGAAAAAAGTGCAGAATGCGGGATTATCCTGGAAAAGGAGCAGGAATGTTGGATCAGGGCCTCCACCCCGTCTAGACCCTGTTACATCTGTGGTGCAGGCTAGCTCCTACCTTTCTGTTTGTCAACCAAACTCCCAAGGGCTCAACCCATACAGGAAGACAGGATTGATTCTGGGTTCTTGGAGACGGTTTTAGAACTTTGCTTGGAGATGGTGTGGGGAGAGGAGTACGAAATTGTGAGGTTTGATTATCTCCAAAATAGATGCTGCTGTGTCCTTCAAACTGAAAAGTATTCTCACGTGAATATACCTAAGAAACAAAAAACAGAAGGCATTAGAGTAAAATCAAATGAAGTTAAATTTAATTGAAAAATTTTGAGGTTGAATCAGATGCAGAATTTAATGTTGACAACTTATTAACATTAAATAAAATAATATATTTTATCAATTTCACCAACTGTCACTCAGCTTGAACCTCTTCATTGGTGCTAATAGCATTTCAAATCTATCATCGGGACAACCCTTTCTGATGTAAATTTGGTGTTCATTCAGACATTAAACCTCACACAACTTACTATCGCCAAAGGCTTGATTGTAGGCTAAGCTGAATAATGGTGGGTAAAGTCCTTATGAGACTGCAAATTAGGCAAGGAGAGAAGGGATGGGGATGTGATATCATTGGTATTTACGGGAGTAAAAAAGCCTTCAATAGCAAAATCTTAATGATAATTAAAATTACTTTAAATAGCTCTTATTTCACTGTCTGTTTTTAGAATGGGGTCAAATAAAACTTGATTAGCCATGCCCAGATTGGTGTTATTTGAGGGTTTAATAATATCCAACTTTCTGAGAAGCATCCCTGAACAGCCCCCCCTCTCCATGGGAATGGCAGTCTCTTGAATTTATTAGCATGCAACACCCTTCCCAGCTCTGTTTCAGTGGTCGTGAACCAAGAAAAGGCATCTACTCTTGTGGGCTATCACACTTTATCTAAACCATCAGGGACTGTGAACAGTAAATAGTTAAGTTACCCTGGGGTGTGATCATCTCTCTAGAAGCTAGTCCTTTCACATAACGCTAAACATCAGGCTTTCACGTACCGGTAATTAAGAAAGGGACTTAAAATTTCAATCATCATTTCTAGAAATTTGTTGCCTTATAATTAAGTTGGTATATTACTTTTTGCATGTTTTCTCATACACTAATCGTATGATGCAATTTTTACTTTCCTTAGCAACAAAAACTATTACAAGAATTTTCTAGAAAACTTCAGTAAAGAGCATTTTTAACACAGTGTTTTACTAACAAAGTTGTGATCAAGTGGGGATAAAATATATTCTTTTGTACAGAAAAATCTCAGCTATTTATTCGTAAGAATCCTGCCGATGGATCAGGTAGGTGTTCTATGTAAATGTTATGAGGTTGTCATGCTAACATTCCCATGTTTTAAAATAGCCACCAAATGTCTATTATAAGTCATCTAAAAATATATGTGGATGATTATCTGTGGGAAATACTAATTAACTTTTGTGACGAAACGTATGAATCTTTACCAAATTATTTTCATAATTAGCAGATACAGGAATATTGGTATGTACCAGAGACTCTTTAATCAAAAAATAATAAATTAAGTACATGTAAAAAAAAAACTAGATGTTGCACACATGTATCAGCTTGTAATATCAAAATAAAGACAGACACCTTTAATTTGGGAATTGCACTAAGAGTGTCTGTCTTATAGAGGCTGGGACTAACTCTAGATGTCAATTTTACTGAGGTGTCTGTCTTATAGGGGTGCCTGTTAAGAGAGAGTCGACTGTATAACAGAACTATTGGTTTGAGTAATGACTTCTTATGGCATTTACAAATGAAAATAATATTGCAGAAATGGAAATAATAATAAGATAATATAAATAAATACATTTGCATGCGCTTTTTGTAATATGGTGTCTATAATATCCTTTTAAATCAATCTCCAGAAACACAGAATAAGGAACTTCAAAAAAGACTGTCCTATAATATAGACATCTATATATAGGGTTCTAAATTCAAAAAGAACTTCGCAGTTGTCTAAACCTAAGACTGGTTGGCTAGCAGTACGCACCTCAAACCGACACCAATCCCGACACAGACAGCAAATTCACAAGAAAATTGCGCGCATACAAAGTATGTTGACGAGCAAAACGCCAACATAAAGCTTCAAATACGATTTAAATAGATCAAGAACCTGTTGGAAACGCAATATAATTCATTACCAGTCCATCAAAGATCCATGCTTAATTGTTGCTAATTGCTTTTATTTGCTATTGCGCTGTTGACTAACACTTCACTTACTCACCGATCTGTTGACATTTTTCCCACTTCTTGTTTGCTCGTCGCTACTCTGTGCTGTTTTCGGCAAAGCTTCGTGCAAACTTAACCTATAGTTCTTCTTTTCTGGAGAAACAGGGCTCTCAGACTCTCTGAGCTGAAGATAAGGAAGTGCCTGCATTTTGCCGCACAACGTAATCGCCGATCAAAGTCATATTTAACATTTTGTTTAATTTGCATGTCTGGTTCAACGCTGTCGGTTGCTAGTGTCCATTTCAGGCGCGGTTACCTAATGGAATGTGCTGTTCATGTCAGAGAAAATATGTTCATGATATTTAAATATGGAAATTGATACTTCCTTTGGGTCAACTGCGGCAATATTAGGTTGTTTGTTGCTGCTAAAAATGTCGCGTGAGGTAAAAAGCGGCGGAGAGACGACGTAATCGTTTTCTTACCATGAGCTAGCAGCGGGTGTTTTGATGTGTGCGGGCGGGAAAGGACGACAAGTCAATATTTGTTTTTAATATTACGACGAATCTGAAAAGTCATGTTGAACTCAGCGGCATCAGCTCTTGTTAACATAGACCCAGCTGGGACAACCAGAGATGAAACAATTGGCCGAAATTTAGCAAGCGAGTACAGCAATATTCACGGAAAATCTGAAAGCGTAAGAGAGCAACTTCAGTCTTTGAATATGGTCAACAGAGAGGATATGAACGACAGGGTAAAAATGGGCAGTCAATCTAAGACGAAAGAAGATGGATCTGCTAAGCGTTCTCAACCTGTAGGAAATGTCACACAACGGAAGGAGACAAGTCCAGGGACAGAGAAGAACAAGAGAATTCTTCCGATGACACCAGGAACTACAAGTACAGCAAGTAGTACTGCGATGACCCCCAAGTCACTCTATTCAACGCCAAGTCAGCTGGCCCCCTCGACAGTATCTTCGTCTGAAAAAACAATCTCAAAGCGCTCAAGTACTTCTTCCTTGAGCAGCGCTAGTAACACATCGTCTGTATCATCCGAGGGGCCCGAAGACGAACTTCGCTTAACTGACACGAAGCAAACTCACATAGTTGTGTACAAGTTCGTTGCAAGACATGATGATGAAATTAATTTAGAAATTGGCGATGCAGTTCATGTGGACAAGAAGTGCGAAGATTTGTGGTTTGAAGGGATTAACCTACGAACTGGCAAGGCTGGGATATTTCCCTCACGTTATGTTTCTGATATTCTACAGCAGACTTCTATTCAAGGCAAGCATTGATGTCTCTTCAGTCACGGTGTTTCCGACTTTAAATCCTCTTATTTCACCCTTTTATTTTTGTTCAATTATTTAACATAGTTGTTCCAAGATGTGGTTGGGGGGTGGGGGGTGTGGTTGGGTAGTTGGGAGAGGAGGTAGGTAACAATCATGAAAACACAAACACTGAGTGCAAATTTCACCACAAAAATGGCCTTCCTTTTCCTCTTCTTGGGTTCTCGTTGTGGGGTCATTGTGTCATGTGAAAAGAAAATGTAGTGCAACCTGTATAAGCACGAGGTGATCATAATAGAGAGAAGAAGTTGGTACATCACATTGCAACACATTTTCTGGATTACAACAAACTGTAAAGCCGTAGCCTGTGTACAGACGTCCCCACTCCCTCAGGAAAAATTGGGAGAGGATACGCCTGTGAATCGCCGTCTTTAATCGTGTTCCGGTAGACATTTGCGTAAGTTATTTTCTTGCTCTTTCGCTGACAGTTGAAAAGCCACAGGTAGGTTGACAAATAGCTCTGGCGTCTGTGCACAGGCTAGCCAAACATCTTCACGCAATGTCCACCCAAAAATCCAGATATAAGATCTCTGATTACAGTCAAGCCAGGTCAAGTGTACCTCCCAAGATCCATTAATGTATTTATTATTCGAAATTAAGTTAAACCGTTGGTAGTTGTAGATTTCAGATTCATCTCTGTGTGCATTTTTGCATGTGTAATGAGCCGTGAATTCACACGCGATTTAGTTACGAAATTTCTACGAGCTCAGTTTCCCTGAATTTGGTGTAAATGTCTTCTCAAAGACATCTCCATCAGTCTTACATTAAATCCATTAAGACATTAATTTTAATCCATTCAAAGATTTTCAATCCGACCAAATTCAGAGAAGTTCTCTTAAAATATTCACTGCTCATTGCGCATAAAGGAATGCCAATTTAAATTTGACACCAGTTACGGGAACAACAAACGCATTCATTTTTCAAATAATCAATTCATTAATAGAATCTTTTTGGGGTAAGCTTGACCTGCCTTGGCTGTTAAAGTTCGATTTTGTATGCCTTCTCTTTTATTTACAATACCGACCGGTACAGACAGACACATCCGCAACTGGTCCAGCAAACATCGGTGGTCTTAACTTCTCATGCCTTTTCGAGAGAGCCGAAATACAAATTCCGGTAAACAAATATGAATGATCATAAAGGCTGAGCTTTTCCCTGGGGAATCTATTCTGAGGTTCATTCACCAATCACAACACCGGAAATTATTTGTGTTATGGTATTAACATTACAACCAATCAGAGGCTGTCCCCCACATTCGGGAGAAACAGGAACACAAAATATCATCAGCAATTCACAGACGTCTCCTCTCCTGATTTTTCCTGAGGGAGTGGGGATGTATGTACACAGGCTAAAGCCGCAAATGTGGTTGCCGTGCCGATCAGTGAAGAGCCAAAATTGACCTTTTTACCGATACAGCGGCCATATTGAATTAATTCGATTTAGGGAGTATTATAGGATGCCCAGGGGGCATGAGCACATTTCGTTTGTATTTTCGAGCGCTTTTCAGGACATTTTTTCTTAAAGTTTTCTTAGGATAAGATTGTAATGGAAAAAAAGACTTTGTGCCATGTTTGGATGTAAAAATGATTGCCTTTTTTCCGAGGAATGTGCAGTGAAAGATTATATTTCTAATACTAAACTAGAAAAAGGGGATCATTATTACATCCAAACATGGCACAAGGATCTTTTTTCCCATTACAATCTATTCTAAGAAAAAATGTCGCGAAAAGTGCTCGAAAATACAAACAAAATGTGCTCCTGCCCCCTGGGCATCCTATAATACTCCTTAAATCGAATTAATTCAATACGGCCGCCGTATCAGTAAAAAGGTCTATTGATTAACTGGGGAAAGAACTGCGACAATTCTAAACATACATTTGAATATTTCTAATTCAGAGTTAAATATGTTGCTATGGCAATGGCAACAAGAATGTTAAAAAAACTGTAGGTTAAGATTGGCAAAACAACATCTTTACACCTGCGGCACACTTTGTTGTACATTTCTTTGCTGTCACTGCACGACTACGACATGAATTGCCTAATTTCATGTTTTATCATCCATGTTTACATACAACAATAAATTTCTCTTTCTTCCCTTATAGTATTTAATAGACAAAGTGTGAGAATTGAGATAATCACGCTGAATTTTCAAAGAATGCGAAGTGGCTTTTTGGGTGACATTTTCGCTGCTGTGGTCTTCATGGTATTTTTTGTTGAGATCCAGAAATTTTGCCACCATGGTAACATGATGTCACACTTCTCCTCGCTATTATGCCTGGTCAATAAAAACATTGGTTCCAGCTTCACTCATGTGAAGGTGCCTCTCCACAATTTTGATACAAACAAATTCAAGTTTTAAGAACAATTTTTGCCCCAAGGTTTTATTAAACCGAAAAATTTAACAGAGTTCTACAAACTGTAGAGAACTAGGGTTTCAAAAGTGACTGCTTGACCCTTTAAGCCCTAAGAGTGATCAGAATCAAATTCTCCTTGTAATACCAATGCTTTGTTAAGCAGAGTGGTTATGAGAAGTACAGATGTGATCACACAAGATAATTTGATATTTTATCAACTTCTCCCCAGTACTTCTGTAGGAAATAAACAGGGGCAACAAATGAGAATTCAAATTTTGATCTCAGGGTTTAAAGGGTTAATTGGCATATAAAACTGCAAATATCCATATACAGTGGGTACTGATGAAAATAGTTGCTGGAGAAAATCTTTTATTTGTAAACCTTTTCATCCCAATAACAGGGTGTTCATGAGGCATCAGCAATCGAAGAATTCTCTGTTTACTTATACGCATAATTCTCTGGCAAATGTCCGGTAGCCTGTGACTATTTTACATTTAGACGTGGAGCCTTTTACAAAATATTCTCCTGTAACGTTACACCTTTCTCCCGCTACTATTATTCTTAATGAAAACCTTGCAATAATAATAATAGTTCCAGGTAATTCATAATAATTGCAGACCTACGGAAGTCCCCTGTGCATTTTTAGATCAAAATTGAGACTGTCAGGTCTATTAGACACCCTGACATTTCAATTTGGCTGGAGAATGGGATCCCCCTCTTACCTGGCGGTCGATTCTCCACTGCTCTGTGGTACAGAATCCAGATTGATATCTATCATTATCCAGTGTGCTTTATGAATCCCCTGTCTATATGCCACAGTTAATATTTGGACAGCTAACGATATGTTCCATGTGCATCTCTTTTTAAATATAGATAATTCAAATGGAGCACAAGTAAACCAGTTCAGTGTCAGGTAAAAGACGTGATAACATTTTTAAAAATAAAATTACATTAATCAGCTGTTTTGCAACATTGTGGCCAATATCAGTCATATCATTTTTATAATATCTGGATATTCCATCATGAAGGTGATCCTTACCACTGATATTGGTCATTAAAAGTTTTTTTAGGCAAGAGGAGGTTATTGTTTAGTTAAATGGGACAAGAAAGAAAAATTATTTTACAAAAACAATTACATAACAGTGTATCATACACAACAACACATGTAAAATAATTTACAGGTAGAGATCATGATTAGTGGATAAGTGAAATTAGTTTAAGCTCAATAATTATGGCTTTTAACTCCATGTTATTGTAGGTTTCTTGGGTCAGTGGAGGTGAATGGATTTAAAGGAAATGAGATCATATGTGATGCTATGAGACAGGTACTTGATTCTTGTAATTTATTTACAACTTTTTTAGAAGGAATTTTGTACCGAAAGTCAGATGATACAAAGGGAGCATGTAAAATACCCTCTCTCTTTGAGTTTCTAGCAGTGTAGAGAATTATTCAGTCTAGAAGTTAGCCTGTTCCAGGTCCCAGTTGTTTGAAAATAGTGGATAACACTATTATTATCCAGTAAATAATAAAATTGATTTCCCTAGTATTAATTTTATCTGCAGGATAGTGATTTATGTGGTGTATAGTGCTCTCCAAGATTTAAACAACCAGAGCTAGGTGTTCAGAAAGCGGAGTATAGAAAAAATAAAGCAAGTGAAAAAAAGAGGGGGATTGGGGAGTAGTGGCAAAGGAAAGGTTCCTTTGCTGCCTTCCCCAGTCTCCTCTCATCTTTTGTTGTTATTGTTGTTGTTGTTGTTTTTTTTTTTTTTTTTTTTCAGTTGGGGGGGGAAGGTGGGCTTGCTTTATGAGTTGCCTGCACTCCACTATCTGAATGCCTAGAACAGGCTTTCAGGAAGAAGAAACTACGTGTTAATAAATTGTAAGTCACCGGTACCAATCTTAATTCAAAAAAGCAAGGCTGACCAAATTTGCTCATAAATTGAAATAACCTTGCTTTTTATAGATTGTGAAGCAGCATCAACTGACTTCAACAGCCAGACCACCTGCTTGTATACTGGATGTAACTGAAAGAGGAATTAGGATCACTGAACACCCTGTGGCAGGGCAGAGAAGGGTAATGGAATCAAGCATGACTGTATAAATTCTTAGTATTAGACATTCTTCTCCTTCTTGCCTTTATTTTTTCCCCTCCCAAATTAAGTGGCCAAATTCAAATTTTGACAAAATTTCCAAATTCCATTTTCTAAAATGCTTAACAGTGAAAGTTCTACCAAAGATGTTTCATCGGAGGGGGGGTTCTCTGGCACAGTTTACGGACCATAAAACAACTAATCACTAATCACAGATAACAAACTTTCATTTCAGTTTTTGTGTCACATAATCAGCATGTAAGGTAAAGTTTTTTATCTTAACTCTAATTAGGTAAAGAAAAAAGTGGCAAAAGAGTGTCTAAAAAAAAACAACTTGAAAGTGGCAAAAAGGAAAAGCAAGACTGCAAATAGCAACTTACAAGAATTCATCATTCTCATTTGTTGCTTTATTTATCTCCCGGAAGTCTCAAAACTGAAAATCAGGGAAAAATAAGTAATAAAAGTTTTTCTTGGGACTCAGACAACCTTTGGGTCAAGGGTTCACAAAGAATAATTTATTGAATTCACAATTCACAAAAAATAAAATCAAGTAATTACGTATCACGAAAATATACCTGTACAGATGTACGACCCAGTTCTAATTTGATTGGTCACACCATAGGATTTTGACCACAGAGTCAAAAGTTAGAACTACATAACTATCCTCCATCTTTCACTCCAGGAATGAAAAGGTAGCTAAAGGTTAATTATCCGGATTAATTTTAATATTATTTTATCAATAATTTTTTCGAACCTCCCCACAACGGCCCAAAAAGTTCCCATTCATGAGAGCTTCGCTTTTGACCAACAGCTAAGTCTATAATTTTATTAGCTGAGTTTTGCCACACACCAGCTCAATATATACGACATGCATTTAGCTTTGGATTGAGATGGAGTTTCTCCTTCTTGTCAATTATTGTTTCAGGATTCAGCATCCAGCAAAAAATCAAGAAAAGGCAAATTAGGAAAAATATTTGAGAAAGAGTCAAAGGTTTGTAATTAATTACTCCACATAACCTTGACATTGTTTTATTTAGTTATGGCCACGCACATTCTCAGTTAAATGTTTTAATTTGCCTTAGTTTTAATTGGCTGGTTCTTCAGGCATGTAACTGAGTTGTCTCTGGAACTTAACAATAGAATGCCTGGGATTTCTTAGTCTTCATTCCCCATCATTTTTAAGGTAGCAAGTCTTGAACAAAGATTTTTTCTGCCTTTTCATTTTTCTTTCCATCAGGTCATCCTTATTTTTCCCCGTTTAGCGTTGTTCGACTTTCCCAAATTTTTCGCATTTTTCAAAAAAACTTCTTTGACGTCAACCAAGTTGGGTGATGTTTGCTGGCTCCTTGGCATTGAGGCGGCATTGACTCCTGCTGTAATCCTTTCGATTTTTTCTACCTTTTTTTCTCTTCATCTGACCGACGGATCCCAGATCAGGAAACACATTCGACGCTAAACTAAAAAAGGAAGCATGGCCTATGGTGGGAGGGGATAGGAACGACTCAATTTCACGAAAATGTGGGGGATTTCTCGTGACAATGCCGCTTTTACCTTCGCCGGCTGCTCTTAATTCTAGCTCAGTAACTCCAGACGTACTTAACTATGTATTGATAGTATATCCCCTAATTGCCCACTACGTCTTTCATTCATTCTAGGAACCACCAAAATCACACTACTTTGCGCTGAAGAATGTTACGTTTTGTGGTTGTCATCCCCATAATGCAAGGTAATTAGTTTTAAACATTTTTAATGTACACACAGACTTGTAGAAGCGTCTAATCTAAACAGCTTTTGTCATCGTGTCTTTTTAAGACAACCTAATCGAGATAGTATGATGCATAAAAGTTTCTTCCAGAAGGGTGATTACGTTTATCAGAACAAAATATTTAGTTTTAAAACTACCGCAATAAAAAAACCTGCATCAGCATGACCTCAGTTGAGCACTTTTGTTTGCTTGGTTACTGAAATTTTCCTTTGTTCCGCCGGCAATTTCCCACAAGCCTGCTAGAAAGCTTTCCTTTTCGAGTGGTAAGCGAAGCAAGCCTGTGGGGAACACGCGATGTGAGCGGCGTGGCTTTCGCGTGCCGCTCACGCGTGACTTCTCGCGACTACCCCAAATGGGAGATTGTTAGCGGGCTAATTTGTCTCCTTTTCATCGATCTTTACAATCTTTTTCGGATGTTTCCAGATTTTTCGCTTTTATTACAAAACATCCTGAGGATCATCGATTTGCATGTCACGTGTTCATGTCGGAGTTCTCCACTGAGCCAGTCGCTAGTGCTATTGGGTAAGTGAATATTTTCAATACTTATAATAACGAAACTTTGCCAATATTTCTGCACGGTGTGAAGTCACCTGCCGATTCGAATTCACCCCAGTAACTGTGGTAATATAACTACCAAATCGTGGTTTGAAATGATGTGACAAAGGACGATGTCCATCATTTAAAAGGAAATTGAAAATTAAGGCAATTGAGTCGCTTCATTGATAATGGCGATAATGAAGTGATTATGGTACTGAAGATCATGACTATGATGGCAATTTTGATCATGATGATGATGATGATGATGATGACCATGATTATCACCGTGAGTCAAAGTATTAATACTATTAACTGTCTAGGCTACGAATCAGACGGTCAAATCACTTGAAACCAAGGTTTGGTCACTGGTACCTCGCTTTTCTACCGATGCAATGCATTATCTTTTAGAAAGTAATTACCTCTTTTTTGGTTCTTATTGATTTCTTATTGTATGATTCATCCTGTTGTGTCATAGGCGCGCTTTCAAGAAGTTTTACGCTGATTTTCTCGACTATCAAGCTCCTGTAGAGGACTTCTACATTGAATGACAACTCGTCTTACTTGTAATAACATAGCTAGGAAGCTGACAAGATAGAGAAACTTAAATTGAAGTGGAAAGTAATATTGCGGATTCTTAATTTTGCATTTCTATGCTCTCTGATTGACTGAAACTTGTCGTCCTTATCTTGACAAATCAGAAGTTAAACAGATACCAATTGCGGCTTGCCATTCCCGTTTCCCGCGCTTCGATCCGGCTGCAGGTTTCGTTTTGACTCCTGATTGGTTCACTACAAAGTATGTGTATGTTTTGATTCGCCACAATGAGCGTCGGCTTTGTTTAAAAGTTATCAAGGGAAAACATTTTATTATATAAACACCAATGAAATACCAGGTAAACTTTCGCGCGAAAACATGATATCTTCACACGTGAAAATAACATGTTATTTTAACATGTGAAAATATCACCGTTGCTATGGCTACATAATAAATCGCCCCTTTCGCAGCAAAAAAAAATATTTAAGTGAACTGGTGTGGAATTTCATTGCTGTCTATATAGTAAATAGAACATTACATATGTAAAATACATACATCTTATTCGATTTTTTTTTTGGTCGATAAACTCATGAACGGGCAGATATTTTACTACCTTGAGTTCCGGAGGATATTTTTTCTTATCGCTACTGATGGTTCGTGGCGAAGCCGCGTCACCGAGGCGCGAAGCGCCGAGAGAAAAAAATAACGTCTCGGGAGCCTTATCAGACCGTAAGCACGGTTTATTTCATATTAGATATTTTGGGAACGGACCTCTGGAGCCAGGGTAATATTTTCCTAGTTGTGTGGTATGTTTTCGAAACCGGAGGAGGGAGGAAAATGCCAGTAAAGAGTATAATATCTGCGCATATTAACTACCAAGACATTCAATGGAAGTAATATAATTCCGCTTCATTAAAACACAACATACTTTGTTCATCCAGTCCCGCCGTTGTTTGCCTCGTCTCTCTTGGGGAAAAACGCGTCAAACAGGGATTTTCCTCTCCCCTAGTGGATTTCGTTGAATAAATACTGTGGAATATTGTGCGTTTCCTCCTTTCCTTATGTGGCCAAATGACTCAACGGTAGGTTGATAAATACCTTAATCGCCGCCTTTATTTGTATAAATCACTAGGCAATAAAAATATGGATAGGAAAGAAATTCAAAGGTACAGAAATGTTATTTCTTTCAAAAGCGGGAACAATCCGCGTCATGATGAATGAGTATTTTTCTAAAACAATGATGAATGTCAAGAGAGAGGATCCTCTTTTGTGAAGATATACTTTATAAAAAAAAATAAACAGCAATAACATACACTATGAATAATTCATGAATGATTTTTTAAAATAGCTTAGTAACAGCAAAGCTTTTCTGTGTTGCCAACCATTTGCCGGCGATCTTAGTTTAAATTATTTCGAAATATTTGGCACATTAAATTGATTTTGTTATTTGTAGTATTCGATGCTTGTATTCGATGCTTGTTTGTTCCTATGTACTACTAATTTTGCTCGTTTTGCAACGCTTTTTCTTTTGAATGAATGGTGTTTTGTAAGCTGTTATTTTCCGATAGGTGGAGCTTGTTGTTCGAAACCCCGATTAGACTTATCGTCCATTTGGCGGAATTTCGAAATCAGAGATGTGAAAAGTTCCTAGTCCAGGGTAAAAAACACCCGTTGTTCAAGCGCCGATTAGTGTTTCGATTACTTTACTCCGAAAGGACGATTGCAGCTTTAAATCTCTCCGGGAAAATATATAGAGAACATGGAGATCATGGAACGTAAGCTCACAAAAAATTTAATCGCTGATTAATCTTTGATTAGCGCTGGGTTTAGAACAACCCGTAAAACAAGAGATATATGCATAATTCATCTAAGGAACTCCACCAACGTGATTGATCTGGTTTCGGCTCCTGGTTTGTAAGAGCATCATGTGACACACAAATAACTTACACGTTGATATGTTGTATACTCACTATCTGTCTTCTCATTGGCTAAGATCCTGCAGGTGATTTTGAAAATCTGCTAGTAGAGGTAGACCTGAGCGCGCAATGCATGATTTCAATGAGCAATTCAATTTCAACTGTGTGCCGTGCGACGGGACACAGTTTCTTCAAAACAATAGAGAGGTTAAGCATCACATTTACGTCAAACGGCAAACGCGAATTTCTACCACGTGACCAAGTTTCCTCTTTACTTGTTGTTTACTGTTTATTATTTCTACACCTAAATTTTGATATATATACTTTATACTCGTTTTGCCATCTCCGCCCGCAAATAGCAAGAGCTAGACGAGGCGGGCGGAGAGGAAAGGTTACAGCAGTCATAAATATTAAATCACAAGAAACTGGGACGATTATATTGCAAAGTAAACTAAATAAACTATGTGGATAAATAAGAATTACAGAAAAACAAGCTAGAGTTACAAAATATATAGTGTTACAGAATGGAATTACAAGACAAATTTACTAGTAAAAGAACCTATCAATTATCAGTGTATTAAGTCGTGGCTGCAGAATTTGCGATTTTTTGTAGCAGAATGGGCACTTCAACATAATCATCCACTGCTCCCATTATCGAGAGCAATAAGTCAGTAGTTTCACGCAATTTTTCATCCGTAAGAATTGTTTTGAGCCGTTTTTATCTGCTCGTTTTCTATATTGAGAAATTCTCAACTTGAATCTGACGTTTGCCGCATACGTGAAGCTTTAAAAAACTCTCTAATTCACGTTAAATCGTAGGCTCAGTCAGTATACAGCCATGGGTGTCTCGATGCGCCCGCGGTACTCTCGAGCCCGACTAGCGGAACTGCAACCAGTACTGAAGTCAAACTTCAAGTCTTATTACACTGAATTGTTGTTGTTGTTTTTTTAATTCCATGACGTTACGCCACCATTTCGGAAGCAAGTAAAGATTAGCCCCGTCGTCCTCTCACTTGGAAGCTCGCTCTCCTCTCATCTTTGACTCGCCACCAACCTCTCTCAGTTTCATCATCTCGGGTGGCGATAGAGCAAATACGCCTGCTCTGGAGGCTATAGTTTCAACGATCTGGATTTGTTCAATTCAGTTGAAATAAACACACATATAATTTAATACAGCTTGGTTCTCTTTCATCACCTCTCTTGCTTTGATTCATTATTTTCGGCCTTTTGTTTCTTGTCTTTCTTCGTTTCGAGGAGTGTCACACAAGACGTTCGTTTATGACTGAAGGCCTTAAGATGGCGTGACCACTACAAAACGTCCTTGGGTATTGTGACCAGGACGCGTGTAACCAAATGTTGTATAAAACAATCAGTTCTCTGTAGCTTTAATTCTTCACCCATTAAAGTGTATTTCTTCACATGTTCATATTTTAGAATTCTGTACTCTGTTCTACACTTAAAGGATTCATCGACATCAATTCGCGTAAAAATTCGATGATCTACACTCAATCCACACAGTTGATCAGCTGCACGACTTCGAACGACTACACAGTTCTAAGAATCTCGTGCAAGGCTCAGTTTTCAGATCACGTGACGAGTTTTCCCGCCACAATGACGAAATAATTTCTAACAACGCGTACGAAATATTCTTTTGAGACCTAAAAAGAAACTAAAATTCCACCCTTGCTTATATAACGGCCGGAAGAGGACGGAGGCCAATCAATTTTAAAATTTGTTTTTCTCGAAAAAGATGTTCAGGCTAATGTTTGCACCTATACATAAAGGCTTTACTGAGAAATTTTGCACCCCTGCATAAAGAGTATAGTACTGTAGAAGCTATATCTAACAAGACGCGTGAAACGTTTCACGTACCTGTTACTGTTAAGGATTTAGACGCGTGAAATTTTTTTATAAACAACTAAGACTTTTTTTGATAAATTTTTCACTGTAAAAATTGTTTATTTACATAATAGTTAAGTGGAAAATTGTTGCTTTACAACATGTGATCTCACGTTCTTTATCAATATTTAGCTTTCTGTTTAGACAGATCGTGCCTTGAATAAACGGTCAGGCCAATCAACGGGTTGATTGTACTCGATGTATACTAATGTTCGCACTATTGTCTCTTTCTATTGTGTGAAGTTTATTAAGTCATTGTGTAAGAGCTAGGATTTTGTGGTCAGAAATAAGAAGTTTTAAAACATATTGGGAGGCGCTGTCGGTTGATTAAGTTCTTCAAGGAAAACCCTTTCTTGGTTGAAATAAGTGATTAAGCCGGAAACCACTCAGCGATAAAAAATTCAAACGTTTTGCAGTCTAGTGGTTTTCAGGCCGGAGGCTGGTGTCAAATGATTTAAAATGGTTTCCATTATTAGTAAATAATGAAATAAGGCTTATTCGTAAGTGGCCGATCAGCGTTTTAAACTGTAAGTTTCTTTTCAATTAAGTAAACGCATACTAAATAAATTCATTTTGTCAAACAGATGAACTATATTGGACAAAGCTCAATGATCGCGCGGATTGTTGCTGCAATAGAGTTTTGGGGTCATTTTGCTTGCGAGTTCTAAAATAGTGTGTTCTCTGTGATGAATTCTGGCTCCAGCGAATCATGATTTTAGCAAACATGGCGGTACAGCTTTTTCGCCAATTAAAAGCCACTGTTCCCCCAAAAATGAACGGATTGACAAGACTGTTAAAGTATTCTAATGCATTTGCAAACACCAAAGTGTCTTCAAAATGTGTCCATCGTCCTCCTTGACCAAAGTCATGCCACAGCCACATAACGTTGTAAGGGAGTAAACAGATCGCAAATGCCACGGCGCCAAATAAAAACGTTTTCACGATCACAACGTTGCTTCTGGATCGCTTTCTTACTAGTGCCTGAAACTGTCTATTGCCAGGACCTTGTTGTTTGCTAAATTTCCTCATCGTTCTATCGTCCGAATGTAGTCTGCATCCAATACACGCATAAGCAGGAGCAATCACGCCTAGAGGTGTCGCGTAGAAGAGCAAGAACACGCCAACGGTAAACATCTTTGGATGGTACTCGTTATGCCACGATTCACGACACACACCATCTTTATGTTCGAGTATAACAATGTAAGGTGCTACAAGGGCAACAGATAAACACCAAACCGCACAAATAACAATCTTCACAACGTTCTGAGAAAGCATTGTTTTGAAAGGGGTCAAAATAGCTCTGTATCGCTCAATAGCCATACACGTTAGAGTTCCCACAGACACTGCAATAAGAACAGTTTGGAAAGGCCACACAACTTTGCACATGAAAGCGCCGAAAGGCCAGCGTTGAAATAAAATCACAGCAACATCCAGCGGGATTCCAACTGCACAGGTCATAAGATCAGTAAAGGCGAGATTAAAGATCAGATACTCGCTAGCATTCCGTGGCTGTTTTTTCCTTATCATAGTGCCACACAAAGCTAAATTTGCAATTGTTCCAAAGATTGTTATAGCAGCGTAGAATGTGACTTGAACAATAGCCAATGTTTCGCTAGAAGGTAAACTTTCCTTTGTTGTTGTGTTTGAGTCGTTCATTTGATGTCAGTAAGGTACAGAAGATATCAAGCTATGACTGAACGGACTGAAGCAAGCAGATGCTTCCAATTAGATAAACTAAACACTAGACGATTTGGAAACGTGACTGAACTTCTTATTCATGAATAATTTTCAGTTTAAATTTGTTGGCCAATTGAATGAACCTTGGGAAAAAAAACCGCGAGGTAAATTAATCAAAAATGCAAACCATGCTGAGGGAATAACTCTAGTTTAGCTGTCTCATTATGCAACAATTCATCCTAGTTGACAACATTATCTTTGTTGACGTTTTTCGCCCTTTTTCCTATAAATGTTCAATGCCGTGAAACAAAGCTGACGTAAGGGGGTGTAGCAAAATTGAGTGGAATTAACACCAACCATTGTACTTGCTTATCGCAAAACCACACGAACCACAAATAGCTAAAATGGCTTTAGTGACTAGCAGGAAAATTAAAGGCTCTAATTCAGGTTTTTTCCCGTCCAACAGGGTGCTCTACACTTTAAAATACAACATTTAGGGGGCTTAGCTAATTCCATGTAAGCCCCGAGGCGACGTAAGGTGCTCACCTCGTTTCGATTTGTATTATTCTTACCGTAAGGCTTAAGGCAAAGCAGCGCTTAAGCTCGTTTAGCTCACTTTCTTTGCATCATTTGCGACAAAAAAGCTGAAATGAGTGGCGAAGCTAAGACCTTGCGTTTGAGAGTTTTTTCTTGCTCCCTCTCAGTTTCCATTTGCAGGTGACAGGAGCGGAATATTTCGTTTCGTATATTTTCTAAGTCTTGCTGAGAAGGGAAAAAAGGCGTTTTAATTGTTCAGTATGCTCGAAGTTTTGCATATTTATAAAAATATCCTACTGAGTAAAATCTAGTACATGACTGTACTTGTTTAGGAGAACGTGTTTAAAAACTCACATTACCCTTTTACTTTTCTGGGTTAACTTTTCGAACACTGTATCAGCTTTTGTTGTCTCTCGTCATCGTCTGTTTCCGTAAGCTAACCTTAATATCTATGCTGAAAAACGTCCCCCCAAGGGTACTCTCAACGTATATGTGCGTTGGCGAAAGGACGCTTTTATTCAGGATATGGGAGTGCGCATGCGTTATCAACTTTATTGGGCTGTTGTTTAAGTGCTGTTGTAATTTACCAAAGCTATTAACCACATTGCCTGTGAACTACAACCAGTAGTCTCTCTTGCCACCAGCGTTAGCCAGGAAATGACGGAGGAAAGTCACTTTGTATTTTAGTTTGAAGCTATATTTTTTGCTTTTATTTTATTTCAAACTCATTTATTTCATTATAAACTCACTCATGTGTTATAAGCAACTAAGCTAGTAATAGAACAAAAACCTGCAATCTGATGCAAGTATATTGCCGGTAGTTTGGACTTGGACTTGCCACAAGTTTACCTCTGTCACGAGTTTCACAGCAGAAAAGTTGTTTTAATTGTAACTTTTTTACATAGTTTGGATGCTATATAGCTAGATTTCCTCTTAGCATTATTGATTTTTGTATATTTTTTTATTTTTTATTTTCATATCTTCGTATAACTTTTATTTTATTATATTTATTTATTTTATTTTATTATCATTATTTTTTTCCGTTTCGATATGTACTGTGTTTATAGTAATTTGGCACGTTCATCAAGTTCTGTTGAAATTTATTTGTCAGTGAAACTGCTGAGTAAATAAAAGACTTCTTGTTCGTCCCCTTGTGAATTACTGTTACAAACATTCCAGTTCCAAACGGTCGGCGCCGTTCTGGCTTCTGATTGGTGCCAGAAAACTTGTGTTTTTCTGGCACCAATCAGAAACCAGAACGGCGGCGACCGTTTGGAACTGGTCTGGTAAGACATTGTCCCCAGGGGCTCTTCTCGCCGTTCTTTACTTTTCTTCGTTCCATATATATTTTTCCGCCCGTTTAGACTTTCCCTCGCCCCAACTATCTGCCCCTGGGTTTCCGAGGATGTAAGAGGACCATCTCAGAGTAAAGCCTAACTTCTAAATTCTAGTGAGCACCCACCCATTCTTTGCTGTCAGGTTTTTAGTTACGTCTGAAAACAGGGCAGGGCAGAGGATTGGAAAACGCCCCATTCAAAACAGGAGAATACAATTTCGTACATCGCCTGAGTTGTTAATTCTTATCAGTCACTAATGGGGGTCTTAAATATATAAAAATTCAGCACGACAGCGACTCTTAAAGGACAAAAACATGTTTATTCATTTTTTTTGTTTGTGTCCTCTAAGACTCGCCATCATGCTGAATTGTTTTAGAACTTTTCGCTTAACACTGTCACTACTCTAAAGCAGTAATCAGTGAAACATTGTAGTGGTGATTGACCTTAAACAAATAAAAAAAGCTTAAAAACAATATCGTAATCCCTCGTAATTATCGCACTGACGCAAAGTACGGGTACCCAACGACGGTTTTCTGTAAAATATCTGTTCGGAGAAGCAAATATTGCCTAGAATTTTCTTTTATTTGAGGACAGCTAAAAATTTCTAGATGACCGTTCCATTCATGTACAATTTTCGGAAATAAATTCCTTACGATTTTCTAAAGTAAGTTTAATTTTTCACATTTCACTCCCTAGGTTAGGCTAACCTCACACATTTCCAGCTAAAAACTCCCTCACCCCTTAAAACTAGCAATAGTTGTTGCCTGACGAACAAGCAATGGTAGAGTGTTCCACATGTCCACGATCCTATTGAAAAAACTAAACTTAAATGTATTAGTTCTAGCATAATTCTTTTTAAGAGTACATTCATCTTTTCCCCTTAAAGGATACCGAACAGAATCTGAGAAAAACTGTACATATGTAGATAAATCAATATTTATACAGCCATCCGGGGCTTTATACAGGAATAATACGTCAAATAAAAATCGCCGTTGTTCTAAGGACAACAAATTGAGGTTTTTTCTCCGTTGTTCGTAATCATCATGGTCTTCAAAATAAACTTACTATAGTTGCCCTTCGCTGAATTCGCTCCAACTTAGAAACATTTCTAGATGTGTGTGGTGACCACACAACACTGCAACACTCTAGCTGTGATCTGACCAGGGCAAGATACAGAGTTCTCAATGTGGAAACATCTTGAAATCCTTTACAGGTCCCTTAGACCTAGGATCTTGTTGGCCTTATTCGATATTTTATAAATATGAGTGCTCCAAGACAGATTGCAGATTACATTAGTTTACATTTCTTCACGTCAAACTGCCTAAGGTTTTGTTGACTCCATGAATATAAATTGTCGAGATCTGGGCCGGGTTGTTCGAAGCTGGGTTAAGGTAACCCACTCGGATATGAGAGCTTAAAAAGCAAATTCAGTTTATTCTCTTTGCCTACAATTTGATGACTGGATACTCTAAAAAGAAAAGAGAAAATTATCCGACAGTGTGCTTTTGATAAAAAGAAAAAGAAACCTGGGTTTAAATTTAACCCCGGGTTAGCGCTAACCAGCGTTCGAACAACTGGGCCCTGACTGAAATACGGAATGATCAGCTGGACAGTTAATAATCCTGGATGTTTTGCAGTCGTCAGCATATAATGACACACAGTTTCCAGGCATTACTACTTCAGGCAAATCACCAATGAAAATTAAAAAGAAAAAAGGGCCCAATAAGGAGCCCTGATGTACGCCCGATGGAATAGCACACCATGTACAATTTATTCCTTCTATGACAACTCTCTGTTCTCGGTCGGTGAGATAATCCTTACACCAATTCAAAGCGCACCGGAGATACCAAAATTACACATTTTTTTGCAGCAGGATATTATGTGCCACTCTGTCAAAAGCCTTTGCAAAGTCCAGGAAAACAACGTCCACCTGATTGCCCTCACCCAAGGCCTTTGACCATTGATGTTGTGACAGAACTGAGTAAAATCATATTATAACTTAGATATCTATTTTGCATTTCATCACGTTTGTCAAGATCAGTACATTTACAAAGTTTATCAAACCAAAGTAATACTCGTGTTGACGTAAGGCATGTAAGTGATTGAGCTTATTTGAAGCAAGCGTAAATTGAAGGGAAGGCCTTGACGGGAGTAGCAGAAGTCACGTAGAACGAAAGAAGCCCTGACTAATATAGTAGACGTAGGTTTAGAAGGTCTATACAACTTTGACGTCTCCACTATGAGGACGACTAACTGGTCCCGGCTATCTCTTCTCCTTGTGCTCCACGCTCAGCTCATGCTTCACCTTCCCCCGTAACGTATCAAAATGACGCCTGCTCTAAAAAGGACAATTATCACCTGCTCACTTTGCGGTGTCAGACGAGAATACTTCATTGAGATCCTAGGTAAATACATTTATGTACAGCTGTGACGGTAGTTATCAACTTGAACATGTTTCCTCTCAGTTTACAAGTTCTTTGTTTCCGTTGCACCTTCGCCATCTTTCAAACTGCTCTTATCAAATGCACCTGCGATACAAATAAAAAAACTAATCATGAAGGTTCCCTTTTGTATGTATTCTTTGCACGATTTATTTTAGCCACCGATCAACATGCTTCTGATGCTCGTTGCGCTAAATGTTTTACCTAAATATCTGGCACAGATTTTTTCAAAGTCAAACAAATAACAAAACCTTTACATTTTGAGGAATCATTTATATGCTAAAAATTCAGTTAAGTCGTATTGTATCACTTTCAGCTTAAATGTGATTCGTATAATATTTGCACCGCATACCTATTGTTCCGAAGGCAACCGCGACTGCCTGGCCCCGGTTGTTCAAACGTTGGATAGCGCTATACATCGGATAAATCACTATCCAGCCGATAAGTATTACGGAAATCAATTACGCTATCCACTGGATAGTGATTTATCCGGTGGATAGCGCTATCCAACGTTTGAACAACCGGGGCCAGGACAATAGGCATGCCGAATAATGAGAGTAAGCGACGTCAACCGCCACCAGGGGAGGTAGGAAGGGCGAAACTTTTAAGTCACTTCCACTGAACTCCGTTGAACTAGCCAAGAGGCGGGAAAAAACTAAGCAATTCTAACCAAGGGCCGCAATGCATCATGCCACGAGCGCGCAGGCCAAACAACACGAAATTTAAAAGAGTTTCTTACTTAATTCAGGCGTCAACGGCCAATTATGTAGGCAGTGGGAATATTTTACTTTAGTATATACTAAAACAGTGGATAGTGTTTTTCGCGCGCTCTGATTGGCTACTCAATCAGTGAATATCCTGCACTATTCACTGATTCACCTCCAGTTCCTCGGAGCAAGCGACGCCAAACTTGCGTAAGTTGCAAGCAAAATGCCTTCCCGGTTTACTGCCGTAAACAAACAAAGAAATTTCACAACAAATCAAGCAAGCTGTTTCCGAAATACACGAAGAAGGTGATGAAGTTCGGATTGGAAGTTTTAACAGGTAAAGCTTTGTCTTTTTGACACGAATTTATCGATAAAACCGGTGAAAAAGTTTTTTGTTTACAAATGCAAATTAAGCTTAAGTCTTGCTTACTTTATTTAGTTGTTCATAAATAAGCTTAAAACTAAATTTAATAATCTTTTTTTATAGAATGATTTTAAATACAAAAAGAATTCACAACTCCTTTTGAAGAAATTTCCCCGCAAAAGCTAAACAAATGCCTTCAAAAGTTTTAGTTGTCGGCAAGAAAAAGCGACGGCCGCGGCCGCCCTGTCATTACGCGCCAAAATTGTAATCATTGGCTACAGCATTTGAGTTAAAAATCGTCATTTTTGTGCTCAATTATCACACTGTTTTAGTATATACTAAAACAATTATTCACCTCAGTGTCGGTGGCTAGTCGTGGATATTTACCTCACTGCTTCGCAGTTCGGTAAATATCCAGGACTAGCCACCTCCACTTCGGTGAATAATTGTTATTTATTTCAAATTCCTTCGATTCGTTTGCTGTTTGTATACTGATCAGATTATAGCTTGAAGCAGGAGATTGATATCAAGCCAACCATGCTATCCCTTGCCGCCCGAGCAGCCCAAGCAGCCTGTGCAATGGTACAAAATCGCGACCACGAAGAGAACAAAAGCAAAACGTATTGTAAAACCCAATCGAATCCAATGAAATACTTTCTTGGGGCATATTAAATCTTTCGACTTCTCCGCGGAACAAGTATCAAGGCGATTGATGACAAAAAACCTCCTTTTAAAAACACACGACCCCCAGGGAATCTTCCCGTCTGCTTTAAAACTCTCACCCACCGGTAATTAGTACGTATACCCTCTGCGATGTCTTTGGTTCCCTGACGATGAATCTTTTTAAGACTAAAAATACTAGCAGCGTTTTTTTTAGCCTGTTCCAGGCTTTCAGATAGTAGGGATGAAGCGGTGAAAGGCGTGCGGAGCGACTCAGTTGCGGGGCCTGGAACAGGAAACATTTTTTCTTTCATCAGGTACACCCTCAAGAAAAAGAGTGTTTAACACTTACTTCTCTTCTCTATGATTTATTGCCCCCGCAGGGATTTCGCCCAGAAGGCGAAATCCCGAGGAGGCACTCTAGTAACTCGCGCGTATTTTAAGGAAAGTACTTACAATTGAAATATACAGTCAGTATGCCAGAAAAAATCTCGATTTGCTTGAACAGGGGCCGCGAGGAATCGGTAGGTAATGATGACGTTTCTATTGTTTGCGCCCGCAAGTACGAAATGGTTAGGATGACGTAAAGACAGGAAATCCCAAAGGACTGCTTAGGTAGATTTTGTGACATCTATTGTGCAGTCGTACTTTGAAACCCTTTTGCGTTACGTGTTATCAGTGACATTCTGTGGAGCAGTTGTTTTGATAGTTATGGACCAAAAGACACCCGTTAAGCGCAGATGAAGTTATAAGGTGCGTATAACTGTGTATATATAAACACTTGGAGAGTTTGCCAGGCACGAGTTCACAAATCTTTGATTGGAAACCTTACCAGACACTCTTTCTCTATCTTTGACCGGAATAAGACTCAGCCCCAAACAAGCAAGACAAGTAAATCAACGGCTAGCTTCTCACTAGCAGAACGATGGGCGATTACAGAAATTCACCGACAATCAAATTCTGTGCTCACTTATTCCCTGCTCACAGATGTCCTTCCGCTATAAAGTTTAAAAGAAGACTAGAATGCGCGAGCGTGAATTGATCAAACGTCCTTTTGATTTCTAAGGCTCACTTTCCGGCAAATAAAATGAACTGAATGTAAAAAGTGAAAGAGAAATAGCGAAAAATTCAACTTCTAATTAAATATTTTCTTATGGTTTAGAATAAACTTTTCTCGAAACAGAAAATTATTTTGATCAAAGCTGTGTAAATCGAACTGGAACTGTGCATGAAACCTTGCCGGTTTCCTGTATTTATCTCACCTGTTGTATGAAATCATGTGTGAAAATCTTCATTATGAATCGGTATATTTCAAAGAGAAACATTTTCTACATTTTCATTTTAGTTAGTTAGAGATTCAAGCATGCTTTACGAAATATTTCATAAAAATCGGAAAATAATTAAATTCGGCCTTCTCTCCAGGTTCCTCACTTCCATGAACAGGGTTGGAAAAGACAATAAACAAAAAAACTAAGAAAACTCAGTATAACTCCTTTTATAATATTTTTCAAAATGATGCGTAGTGTCACGAACATCAATTTCACAAATTTTGACTAAGATAACTGAAAAACCTAAAAATGATATCAAATACAAACCTTTGAATGTCACATTATCTCCAATCAGCATAAAGGGTGCCCACTGCATGATGTCAGAAAAGCGAGTCTCTCTCATCGACTTCATGGCCTGATGAAGAGATTCACTGGCACTTTCACCATGAACAAGGTGCTCGTAAAAACGATTCATAAACCACATGGTAGCTTTGTCATCTACAGCCCACAGCGCCGCCAGCACGGCGCGTGCACCAGATGCTAGAAATGCTCGAGCGATTCCAACAATTCCCTCAGATCTAATCTGACCACTTGCACTATGACAGCAGCTAAGGACAACCAGCTTGGCTGTTAGTCGAACTTGTGAAATTTCAGCCATCGTCAATAAGTAGTCTTCTTCGTGTGGAGTTCCGCAGGAGCTTACAGGGGAAAGAGCTATTTCTCCACGTTCGGCACAGCCATGAGCAGCGAAGTGAATGAGACTTACTGAATGCATGCTTTCCAGGACTGCCTGCTTAGTTACATCCTTTCCAAGCAACGGCTGAACACCGAGCAGTCGCCCAATCATCTCTGCTTCCTTTCTCGCCCAAGGCAGTGGGATTAAATGTAGAATGTTTCCTTGGTAGTATACATCACTAACGTCTGGCTCCCCTACGATCAGTGCACCGGTTTTACTATGGTAGTCTGCTGGACTGAGCTGAATCAACCTAAGAGTCGTCAGGGAAGGGACAATGCGAATCCTGAAAGTATCCGATAAATACTTTCCATTACCATCCTTTAAAGCAGCAAAAGGAATAGGATACAACAAGTTATCCGGTATAATAATGATTTCTGATTCTTGGAGTAAGTCAGCTACAGGAGCGACTATCATGTTGTAACCATCAGCAAGGGTTAAAGGTTTAGAGTCGTGATTTTCGTCTTCCTCTTCTTCGATAAGACGCAAAGATTCGAAGCTGTCACTCTGAGATTGTTTGCATGATAGCGGGGAACTTACACATGAAAATAATGATCGATCTTCGCATTGGTCTTGACGTAATTCAAGAGAGCCACCAAATGTCTGATTTCCAAACACTTTATCTGCACTTTCATTGAGTCTCGTTTGTCGAAAAACTATCATTTTGTTTGGCTTGAGGATCCAAAAGTACATATCATCACCGATGCAGGAAACATAAAGACAAGAACTAAGTGCATTTTTGTTCATAATGTTCTCAATACCAATCCATGACTGTGGGTTGACTGATACCCCTTTTTCCACAGAGTACTTATCTGAAAGTACGTCTGTCAGTGCTCTGGATCGTCCAAGCTCGGCAACGTAAAGAGCTTCATAATAGCTCTTTGTAGCAATTAAAAACCTACAAAGACAAAGGTAAGGGGTCACATGCCCATCAAAAAAAGAAATTTTGAATTGATCTTTCACTCTAAAAAACTCATGCATTTCTTCGCACTTGTGAATGCTTTCATGCAGATTTCGCAGAACTTCAGTTATGCTTCCTCCTACCACTAACTCGTTCACAGCAATGGTAAGGTGGCTGTTAAACTGCAGTTCAATGTCCCCTATTTCATAACTTATCTTAAGTGCTCTATTAGCAAATTCTCGACTCTTTGCAGTAAGTTGAAATTCTCGACAAAGTTTTCCCAGATTTAAGTATACAGCTCCAACACCAGCTTTGTCTCCGATTTCTTGTTTGATCACTAGTGCTTTTTGAAGGTATTCTTCAGCCTTGGTATATTGACCAACAGATTTAAACACAGTTCCTAGATGTCCGTAATCTGTTGCTTCTCCTTCTTTGTCACCGATTTCTTTCCTGATCACTAGTGCTTTATGAAGGTATTCTTCAGCCTTGGTATATTGACCAACAGATTTAAACACAGTTCCTAGATTTCCGTAATCTGCTGCTTCTCCTTCTTTGTCACCGATTTCTTTACTGATCACTAGTGCTTTTTGAAGGTATTCTTCAGCCTTGGTATATTGACCAACAGATTTAAACACACTTCCTAGATTTCCGTAAGTAGATGCTTCTCCTCGTTTGTCACCGATTTCTTTCCTGATCACTAGTGCTTTTTGAAGGTATTCTTCAGCCTTGGTATATTGACCAACAAAAAGAAACACAGTTCCTAGATTTCCGTAAGCACATGCTTCTCCTCTTTTGTCACCGATTACTTTCCTGATCGCTAGTGCTTTATGAAGGTATTCTTCAGCCTTGGTATATTGACCAACAGAAAGAAACACAGTACCTAGATTTCCGTAATCTGCTGCTTCTCCTTCTTTGTCACCGACTTCTTTCCTGATCACTAGTGCTTTATGAAGGTATTCTTCAGCCTTGGTATATTGACCAACAGAAAGAAACACAGTACCTAGATTTCCGTAATCTGCTGCTTCTCCTTGTTTGTCACCGATTTCTTTCCTGATCACTAGCGCTTTTTGAAGGTATTCTTCAGCCTTGGTATATTGACCAAGATATTTAAACACAGTTCCTAGATTTCCGTAATCTGCTGCTTCTCCTCCTTTGTCACCGATTTCTTTCCTGATCACTAGTGCTTTTTGAAGGTAATCTTCAGCCTTGGTATATTGACCAACAGAAAGAAACACAGTTCCTAGGTTTCCGTAATCTGCTGCTTCTCCTTGTTTGTCACCGATTTCTTTCCTGATAACTAGTGCTTTATGAAGGTATTCTTCAGCCTTGGTATATTGACCAACAGAAAGAAACACATTTCCTAGATTTCCGTAATCTGTTGCTTCTCCGTCTTTGTCACCGATTTCTTTCCTGATCACTAGTGCTTTTTGAAGGTATTCTTCAGCCTTGGTATATTGACCAACAGATTTAAACACAGTTCCTAGATTTCCGTAATCTACTGCTTCTCCTTGTTTGTCACCGATTTCTTTACTGATCACTAGTGCTTTTTGAAGGTATTCTTCAGCCTTGGTATATTGACCAACAGATGTAAACACAGTTCCTAGATTTCCGTAATCTGCTGCTGCTCCTTCCTTGTCACCGATTTTTTTCCTGATCACTAGTGCTTTTTGAATGTACTCTTCAGCCTTGGTATATTGACCAACAGATTCAAACACAGTTCCTAGATTTCCGTAAGAAGATGCTTCTCCTTCTTTGTCACCGATTTCTTTACTGATCACTAGTGCTTTTTGAAGGTATTCTTCAGCCTTGGTATATTGACCAACAGATTTAAACACAGTTCCTAGATTTCTGTAATCTGATGCTTCTCCTTCTTTGTCACCGATTTCTTTCCTGATCACTAGTGCTTTTTGAAGGTATTCTTCAGCCATGGTATATTGACCAACAGAAAGAAACACGGTTCCTAGATTCCCGTAACATGTTCCAACTCTGCGATTATTTCCAGCCTGAAGCATGATGCTGAGTGCCTTCTCGTAAAACTGTTTTGCTTCCTCGTATTTGCTTGTTTGATAGTAGATGTTCGCTAGTTTAAGTAATGTCATCCCTTCTACTTCTTTTTGGCCACTATTGTGTAGTGTCACTAGAAGCTTTTTACCACATTCTATCGCACGGGTGTGATCGTACACACGAGTATAGCCATCAAGAAGTATACGATAAAATTTGATAACAATTGGTGTGGTAAGTTCTTTCATTGTCTCTAGGGCTTTACCGTTAAGGAGCACCAAACATTCGTTAAATATGTGTACTGCTTTTATAATACGCCCAGTGTTGAAAAGGAAAGTTGCAACGACTTGACCAAGACGAATGGTCTGTAGAATCTCCGTGACGTTGTCCATGACGCTTTTTTCTTAACCTTGAGAAAAAAATATGTTAAGAGTAAGAACTCTAACGTCTAACGGCTAACGTCTTTTTAACTGAACAGTTAAACTTCTTATGCAAGGTAATCAAGCTTTTATGTAAGATTTACCATAACATTCGCATGGGCAGTTTGCTGTTGGGGATAATGCGAAGAATAAGACGATTGTCATATTTGTCTTCATCTTTATCCCAAGTGGTAAACTTCCCGTGCGAATGTGGTTGCAAGTCTAAAAAGCTTGAATAAATTACCAAATCAAGGGTTTTCATTGCAGCTGAAAAATGGATGGTTGGAAGTAATGCAGTTGATGGCCTTATTTCTCTTCAAAACGGGAACCTGCGACGCTAAAAACTCTTGAGAGTTTTTCGTAGATGCTATATTTTGCTTTGTTAAGATTTGTTTCCAAAAGAGAGGGACAAATACAAAGTAAGTTTGATGAATAGAAATTCTTTAATATATACCGCGCACTCAGCATAAAGTTGTTCTTCCTTTAGTGCTAACTATGTTCGCCGTAAGTTTCTGATTACTCAGTTTCTTGCCAAAAAGCTTTGGGTAGGAATGTCCTTTCAGATAGGAGATAGTATGTCGGCACTCTTCTTTTATTTGTGCGTCAACTTTCACAAATAAGTTAGCGTAGCATTTTAAGGTTAAATTTGACCAGCATTTTGTGCAGCGAGTTCTACGGTCACGGTTGCCGTCAAACTTGCAGATGTAAAACTAGAGAGCTCTGACGCTTGTTTGCTGAAGTTAGGGAAAAATCTGTCGTAGGATTTCTAAGTTATATACCTTTTTCGTAAAAATGCGGTTTTAAATATATGCCAATATCTCAAAGGTTTTTATACTCTACAAGAAAATAAATAACATTTTATTAAATTTCCATTATTATTTATTAAGGATGCCAAAACTCATAGAAATCGGTTGAATCTTTTATCTGAAAAACGCAAATCAAAAACAACCAGCACGAATATAAATAGGTTCGGGCCAACTTAAGTAATGTTTAATAAACTCGCAGCACGTGTTTTATCGGGTCTAAAATCGCTTGCCATCGGCTTGTGATTTTAAACCCGATAAAACACTGGTGCTCTTTTATTAAACATTACTTAAAGGATTTTCGTCCATATTCACAAAGTCTCTTTAAAGATTTATTTCTTTCTGTTTAATGTAACACTCATTTTTGGAAGTCTAAATTTCGGAATAGGATAAGGAAGACTCGTCCGACGAAAACAGGAACTTTGAGAATTTCGCACACAAGTTCATCTCAAAGTCTCATTGGCGAAAGGACAAATAAGCGGCGACGCTTCGAGAACGCAAAGCGGCTTCTGCGGAAGCCTCAAGTACAAACTTGAGAGAAATAGAGTACTAAGGAAAGTTACCGTACAAGGTTTGGTTTCTTGGAATCCTAGAGCTTACAGTTATTTTTAATGAGACCAAGAGTTTTTGCTTTTGTTGGTATCTGTATAATTGAATCTGTGCGTGATCGAGTGTTGCGTTTCTCCTAACTTCTGTGTCAAAACAAGCACGATTGATGTTAGCATTAGCGAGTTTCACAGCTCGCTTTGATTTCTCCGGCCGTATTTTACTGAAAAAATTTTACTGAAAGTGTTCTGAATACGTACACTGTAAATGTGCGGAGGTAAAGTAAGTATACAGCTGAGCATACGAAGTATATGTGAGATATTGGATACCGTCCGATAGCAATATAATACGTGTTGGTTAGAGCACTGCACCGGTATCGCATCCCGGCAAGCCTGAATTTTTCGTTTTTGTCAGGCCTTCTTTCCGCAACTGCATAAATTGCGTCTTTAACAGCGAGGATCTTCTCCACATCAGTTTACAATAACGTAAACTCTTTAAAGTTCAACACTTGGACAGAGAAATCTGTCAGGATCTTTTTTTCAAGTCATAACTAGACAGTGAAGAAAGTGAGCTCGAAAAACGTCTTTTCTTGGCTGCAGAGTTGGTGTGCAGTGGCCAGCTCTGACAAAGCAAGCCAGAAGTTCAAATTCTTAGCGGCCAAACAAGGCCTGGTTATCCAGTGGAGATTACAGTGGAACATCGATACAACGAAGGGCCAAGGGATTAGTAAAACGTGTTCCACTGAGCCGGGTCATCGCTAGTCTGCTACACAGCCGTTCTTATTGTCGTCACGCAACGCTCCTCCCCACAAAGGGGGGGGGGAGCGTTGCGTGACGATACTTAAAACGGCTGTGTGGCAGACTAGGTCATCGCCAAAAACTCGATAGATTTACTGCTTGAAATATAAATGTTGGTAAGCCAATTTATAACATTCATACACGTTATGATTTAGTACCGCTCAGGGACTCTACTCGCAGCACTTCAGAATTAGAATTTGTCTTTAGCAATAAGCAAAAGAAGCCCTCGTTCGAAGACCTGGTTTGAATCCTAGCTCGAAGCCATGCTCGAGTTTTCGCTCTGTATTTGGCATGGGTATACTCAAGTTTATGCCACGAAAACAGTTGAATTCTACGCGATAATGATCTGATAGCTCTCTGGCAAATATTGCTTGCGTTCTACATTCGCTTTCCTTTTCAGAATAGACGAATCTGCCAACTCTTTTCCAAACTTTTTTCATTTTGTCAGCAATCATTTATGGTTTATACTTTCCAGGTTACTGACTACTGATTCAGGAAAAAAACAAATAATCTCTACCAATCGTGTTCTAATCATCTCACACACATTAATGATTTTATACATTTAAAAGCAAAGTAACCATAGGCGTACGGGTAATTTCCTGCCAGGGGAGGCGGTAAACCATTTGCCCAAAAACTTCTCGCAAGTTGCCTAAATTTCTACGAAACAACATAGGCCGTACTGGCATATGAAGGTGGCTCGATACAGTTTTTAAGGGTCAATACCTCCCAAGTTCGAGCTTAAACTACGTCGCCATAAGCAAACATTTGGAAAAATTGCCACCACAGTTGTATTGGATAAAGATGAAAATTTGTCATGGTCAGGGTTGCAATGACATCGGAGTTGTCAAAGCAACGAAATGACGCCATTACCTATTTTACTTGCAGCAATACTTCTCGGCACTGGGAACTTTTCTTACAAAATCATTCACGGGAACGTTCTTCTCCAGTACGGTCGCCTCGATGTTCTTCAAGTTAAAGCGGAATCAGTAAATGCGTTATCGAGATATTTTGGGATGAAGTTTTTATCGTTAGAAATACGGTAAAACAGGAAAATCTTGATGTTTGGCCGTTATTTGTAGCAAACGAAGCACTTTTGACCATGCAATTTCACCTTATAGTGGTTTAAAAAACGTGTGAAAGATCGTGGAGATAGCTCCGGCCAATTGCTAGAAAGAAGGACTTGATTAGTATGTATCGAGGCGCTCTTGTTAGTGGTTTTGTAAACAATTCGGTCTACTTTAACAAATTAGCAAATAATTTTTAAACCGCTCGATAGATTTTTTTTTTTAAAAAAAATAAGATTCTTCTCGTAATATAAAATGAGAATTAGTCAGCCAATTCTTCATTTTCAGACCCATTGCTGATGCTATCTGCCATACAGTGTTCTACGAGCGAAGATGACTCTAGAAAGTTATGCAGAAGTTTATTCTAATCAATTCACGACTGGAAATAGCCCATTCCAGCCAGTGCAGTGCCGAACACCAAAAAAACGCAAATACAGTCAACTCTCGCCTTGCGGACACCTCGCTATAACAGACACCCCGATAAAACGGACAGCAGCTAACTCCCAGGAAAAAACAAATTACAGACGTTTGACTGAAATAAACTCCCGCTATTACGAACTCTCGCTAATGAGGACACTAACAAGAGGTCCCTACGGTGTCCGCTATAAAGGGAGTTGACAGTATGTAAATCAACATATGATACCCTTCCCTAATAACCAGAAGTTCATCATGTGCTAGGCAACCACAGTCTGGTGTGAATGTAACTGGAATATTACGCCGACTTCAGGCAGGTTAAAATTTAAAAAAACATGAAAAATAACAAAATAAGAATAAAAATGGAAAAAAAAAACATGAAAAATAAAAAATATATATAACAATAATAATAATAGTAAATTAAAAACATGAAAACTTAGTTAAAAACTGGCTTTGCCCAAATTTTCTCTTGCTGCTCCAAAAAAATGGGGGGCTGCAGCCCCCTCCCCACCCCCCCTTTCTGAAAAGGATAAGCTCTTCTTCAAGCAAATATGTAGTTCTTACCTTTTTGGGTGAGAAAAAAATATATCCCCTTCCTTAACTAGTCGAAGACAAGCCGGCAAAGTACTTACCTCCGGCGAGTGAAGTTTGTCACGCCTGACGTGCTAGAAAACCACAGTGGGCTGTTTTGCTCTGAAAGATCAGTAAAATAAAGCAGTCCCTTGTTGAATATGGATGTCGAGCTACTTCGTTGACACTGCTAACAAGGAATATTAAAGGCTCGCATACCGCCACGGTAAAGAAAAGCTACATAAAATATAAATATAACTGAAACTAAAGAAAAATTATGTGATATGCTACCGCTTCACACACGAAGCGGAACTTATAAGATCTCGGCGAATGCAAGAAAGACAAAACCATCTTACCCCCATATTAAATAGTATATAGAGGATATTACACGGTGGCGAGAAGATATGAATTTTATGTTCGAGTGGCAAGAACAATATCTCACGAGTGAGCGAAGCGAACGAGTGAGATATTGTTCTTGCCACGAGAACATAAAATTCATATCTTCGAGCCAACGTGTAATGTTCTTTTTATTATATGGAGAAACCAATTCAACAAAAGCAAAAGGCGGGAATCGTGACGTCATTGAACGATACGACACTCACAAAGGTGACATACGGAAAATACGCCACTCGGGTCCCGGATGAAGTGGCGTATGGAATCTACGAGTGGTTTAGTTCCCAGTAAAACACTCTCCTCCATATAATAAATCAAATATAGGTAACACGAAAAGCGATTCATAATGCTGGCATACAATGTACCCTAAACTGCCAGGAAAAGAGAGATACAAGAGATCAAAGTAGATCATTCTTTGAACAGAAAAAATCAACCAACTGTATAACCGACAAAACGTTGCATGAATAAAATTAAAAAGTAGGGAAAAAAACCGTCACTTTATGTTGCTCAACCTGTAAAACATTCTCGACCCAGAGCTCTTCTTCTGTAGAGGAGAGAGATCAAGAGCTCAGGGGAACCCTGGAGCAAGATTGTCTCTGATTGGTTTCAGCAAGAGCCATGATAATCCTATTATGGCTCTTGGTTTCAGCAAAAAACAATAAAAGTGTTTCTGATTGGTCCATTCGAGTTTGCACGAGAGCGGTTGAACGTGTGGCGTGTGAGCGGGTTTTCCCTTAGAATTGTTGAAGTAAACAAGACTGGCCGATTCTTTATTTCAGCGATTCAAAAACAACATTTGCACAACTAATTAGCTACATATCGAAAATTGAACCAGAAAAAGATTTGAATGTGAAAAAATAAAATAAAAATACACCGACATCTTTGCCAGCTATAATTTAAGAAGCATGACACATTACTGATTTTTCTTTGACTTCCACATATCGTATTCACTCGAAGTAGCGGAGTATGAATGAAAACTTGAGCTTCTTGTCGTAAATTGCCCAAAAACAGACTTGCAAAAAAAAAAAAAACTGAAAAAGTAAATCGTTCCCTAAAGTGATACGTGTACAATGCGACTAGATATTTATAGTTGTCTTCTTTTCCCACGATATCGCATTTCAAAGCAGCTTCGCTGAAGTGTTAATGTTCATGAACAAACATAAATAAAACAGGGGCACCCAACGGCAATTTTCGGAAAAATATCTGTTCGGAAGACGAATTTAGAACTTTCAGAACATTTGTTGTGAAATTTCTTGCTTGCCTGCCTCTCCTAGGATTTTCGAACATCTACAAAATGGTATAATTACCCATTTTAAACGGATATTTACCCTAAAAAAGGTCACCTAGAATTTTCGGGAGCCTTTTCCTGGCTGAAATTTTCGAAAAGGTAAGTTTTGATCCCTATAATTTTCGGATCACCAGACTTTCAGCTAGGAAATCCGAACAGATGAAAAGTTTTTAGGGGATAAAAATATGCCTATATCTACCGTTTAAATACTAAAATACGTTCGACAATGCTATGTTAAATGATTTTGAACTATATCCTCGTTGGGTGCCCCTGATAAAAGGACGCTAAATTCATATTTTGGAAAGATTTATTGGAATTTCGATACGTTTATCTTAACAAGCCATTCGGGTTTCACTTTATACCGCCTCGTGAAGTAGTCCACAGAAATACTTAATCAGCTGTCAAGCAGATGCGAACTTCAAGTCTCAAATCTGTGACTGGGAACGTTTAACGGTATTTCTTAGTAGCTACCACAAGAGCCTTGGATCCTTGAAAATTCTTCAAGGCCGTTAACTGAATTTCTTCAGTTGTAATACCGAAGTAGCACAAGACTTACGCGATGAAGTAGATATAAAAGAAGCAAAAAGTTTTGGTTGGATCAAAGAGCATGCGCTGTGAGGCCCAAATAGCCAGATTTTGGCTTCTCCAGCGCTAACCTGAGATCAGGCCCAATTTGAGCGGTTCTCATACATTCTCTCTAACGGCTACCGCTCGCCATGCCCGCCGGAATGTTATTTACAAAGCGAAACGAAAATAGAGCCTGATCTCAGGTTACTCCGGCGCAGAGTTTCCCATAGCTCACGCGCACGCGGCATTCCCAAACCCGTAAGCACTGGGGTCGAGAATGTCTGTAAAATGGGTGAACTCAAAAGATTCACAATTATCAGTGAGAATAAATAACGGTTTTTGTGTCTTCCGACACTTTAAGTTCAAAATATCGCTATGAAACCGTAAACCCAAACAAGCTTATGTAAGAGACGTCAAACTAAAAAGGACAGTATCTCCTTACTGCGCATGCCCCAAACTTTGATTTTCGGACAGGATGTCGCGAAATCAAAAGAAGCGAGGAGAGTAGGAGAACCTTGAAAAATGCGTTTGCATCGCGCTTGGCCGAGTTCAGTACTACACTAAAACGTCTCAGGATTACAGATCAATGATATATTGTTCCCGTTAAGTTTCGATTTGGACGAAATCGGGATTTTTTGGCGTTACTTTTATTGCCATTGGCTGGAGGACCAAAAGATGGGAAGCGCTTTAATGCCGATTGAAGGATTTCTTCTGCCAGCTTCCATACAAGCTCAGATAATTTTGAAAGGAATACGCAGAAATGAAACAGTAACAATAAAGACTGTAAGAAAGAAACCATTGAGACATCGATGTGACTGAGGAGATCTTGTGAAACAAGAACCCATATAAAATGGGGGTAAATTGGTCTGCTTGCTTGCGTGACAATTTGCTTCCCGGACATGACATGACAGGCCGAAAGCAGAGCTGTTGGTCCAGACTGATACTTTTCGCGTATTACTTTTTTCTAGAATAGGGTATCATTTTTCAGGAAACTGATCAGTTGGTTGAAGATTTTATCTAGACTAGGGATTGTGGTATAAGGTTTTGTTTTGGCTAGACTACTGTGCTAGTGACCTCAGTAGTTTAGTGGAAAACAGCTACTCTAGGATAGGGGGCATTTGGGGAGGTTACTCTAGTATAGGGTAGCAATATTCAGCTGACCTAGCTCTGGTATAGGTTAAGGGGTCCAGAGTCTTAGCGGCACATCCCCACCCAGAAATTCCTAAAGTACCCCCCCCCCCCCGGAAAAAAAACTAGTGCAACGAATTCATAATACAGTTTTTGACTAACCTTTGCGATGATTCATAGCGTTGAGATTGCATTTTTATTTAAATCTTTCAAATGTTTGAGGCCAGAACGCGAGCAAATCAGGCAAATATCACTGGACTTGGAACAATTGACCTCTGTTTTCAAAGCAAGCGGAACGAGATTTTCGGGTCGCGAGGCGGCCCTGCTAGCGATAAAATCGCGATGAGTCTTCGTGCCACTCGCCAAATTTTAAATAAGACGAAAGACTTCTTCGAAAGTCTAAAATATTACTTGAAAATGTAAACAACAAAACTCCGTCGGCGGTGCGGTCCGGAAAGAAATCTTGTCGAGTCAATACATGTATGACAGTTCTATTGTCTTTTGAAGAAAAAAACAGATGACGCTCGCGCGAGCGCATAATCGGTACACTGTCCCTTTAAGCGGGTAATGCTTTGCAATGCTTTAAAGTAGCCATTGTCCTTGCAATCAAGTTCTCAAAATCTTTGTTGCTGTAGAGTCTGCCAGTATTTAGAAATCGCAACGAACGAACCCTACTACCGATCATCAACAAGAAATCGTTTCGCTTTCCGAGAAGAAGGAAAGACCGGAAACAAACAACTCTCTCTATAATTTCCTCATTGGCATCTCAAGAACTGACACTGAATATTCGAATCTTAAACTAAGAAATGAAAATGGCTAGATCAATGTACTCACCAAGAAATCTGTCTCACCAGCTGATCGAGAAGAAGAAGTACCAAAAGGAAAATGAAAATTGAAAACTCTGGGACTGTCCCTGCAGTAACGAATAAAGCCCCTTGTTTCACTCAACTAAACAGGGACTGCCATTGGTTGATTCTTGGTCACGTGGCCTTGACTAAACTCAAATGTATCCCGATCGTGATATATTTAGCAATGTACCCCGCTCGGGCTACATTACAGCACGTGATCAAAGCATGGTGGAAAGTGGCGTGACACTTGGCGAGAAAAACACCGCCATGTCCTGCCAATTTTCGTTTTCGTAAATGGACACAATAACACAAACACGAAACCTCAAGCTAATTAAAAAGCACCGATATCTAAAGTTATCCCAGAAATTCCCAGAAGAAAAACAGCAGCTATTCGAGGAAAAAGATGCAGATAATATAAGGAAAGTACTTTGTAAATTATTCATTCGGTGGTTTTGAAAATTTGATTTGTCTTGATAGAAGTACCGAGTCGACTGTTTTGGTTCGCTCCGGTTATTCTTTCGTTGCTGTTGAAGTGAAAGTCTAGAAATATAACAGACTGGGAAACCAGTTTGTTTCGTTTGAGGCTAGAACGCGAGCAAATCAGGCAAATATCACTGGACTTGGAACAATTGACCTCTGTTTTTAAAGCACGCCGCAAGCGGAAGGAGATTTTCGAGTCGCGAGGCGGCCCTGCTAGCGATAAAATCGCGATGAGTCTTCGTGCCACTCGCCAAATTTTAAATAAGACGAAAGACTTCTTCGAAAGTCTAAAATATTACTTGAAAATGTAAACAACAAAACTCCGTCGGCGGTGCGGTCCGGAAAGAAATCTTCTCGAGTCAATACATGTATGACAGTTCTATTGTATTTTGAAGAAAAAAACAGATGACGCTCGCGCGAGCGCATAATCGGTACACTGTCCCTTTAAGCGGATAATGCTTTGCAATGCTTTAAAGTAGCCATTGTCCTTGCAATCAAGTTCTCAAAATCTTTGCTGATGTAGAGTCTGCCAGTATTTAGAAATCGCAACGAAAGAACCCTACTACCGATCATCAACAAGAAATCGTTTCGCTTTCTGAGAAGAAGGAAAGACCGGAAACAAACAACTCTCTCTATAATTTCCTCGTTGGCATCTCAAGAACTGACACTGAATATTCGAATCTTAAACTAAGAAATGAAAATGGCTAGATCAATGTACTCACCAAGAAATCTGTCTCACCAGCTGATCGAGAAGAAGAAGTACCAAAAGGAAAATGAAAATTGAAAACTCTGGGACTGTCCCTGCAGTAACGAATAAAGCCCCTTGTTTCACTCAACTAAACAGGGACTGCCATTGGTTGATTCTTGGTCCCGTGGCCTTGACTAAACTCAAATGTATCCCGATCGTGATATATTTAGCAATGTACCCCGCTCGGGCTACATTACAGCACGTGATCAAAGCATGGTGGAAAGTGGCGTGACACTTGGCGAGAAAAACACCGCCATGTCCTGCCAATTTTCGTTTTCGTAAATGGACACAATAACACAAACACGAAACCTCAAGCTAATTAAAAAGCACCGATATCTAAAGTTATCCCAGAAATTCCCAGAAGAAAAACAGCAGCTATTCGAGGAAAAAGATGCAGATAATATAAGGAAAGTACTTTGTAAATTATTCATTCGGTGGTTTTGAAAATTTGATTTGTCTTGATAGAAGTACCGAGTCGACTGTTTTGGTTCGCTCCGGTTATTCTTTCGTTGCTGTTGAAGTGAAAGTCTAGAAATATAACAGACTGGGAAACCAGTTTGTTTCGTTTGAGGCTAGAACGCGAGCAAATCAGGCAAATATCACTGGACTTGGAACAATTGACTTCTGTTTTTAAAGCACGCCGCAAGCGGAAGGAGATTTTCGGGTCGCGAGGCGGCCCTGCTAGCGATAAAATCGCGATGAGTCTTCGTGCCACTCGCCAAATTTTAAATAAGACGAAAGACTTCTTCGAAAGTCTAAAATATTACTTGAAAATGTAAACAACAAAACTCCGTCGGCGGTGCGGTCCGGAAAGAAATCTTGTCGAGTCAATACATGTATGACAGTTCTATTGTATTTTGAAGAAAAAAACAGATGACGCTCGCGCGAGCGCATAATCGGTACACTGTCCCTTTAAGCGGATAATGCTTTGCAATGCTTTAAAGTAGCCATTGTCCTTGCAATCAAGTTCTCAAAATCTTTGTTAATGTAGAGTCTGCCAGTATTTAGAAATCGCAACGAAAGAACCCTTCTACCGATCATCAACAAGAAATCGTTTCGCTTTCTGAGAAGAAGGAAAGACCGGAAACAAACAACTCTCTCTATAATTTCCTCGTTGGCATCTCAAGAACTGACACTGAATATTCGAATCTTAAACTAAGAAATGAAAATGGCTAGATCAATGTACTCACCAAGAAATCTGTCTCACCAGCTGATCGAGAAGAAGAAGTACCAAAAGGAAAATGAAAATTGAAAAACTCTGGGACTGTCCCTGCAGTAACGAATAAAGCCGCTTGTTTCACTCAACTAAACAGGGACTGCCATTGGTTGATTCTTGGTCACGTGGCCTTGACTAAACTCAACAACAACAACAACAATTTATTAAGGTATTTCCATATCTATACATGGCATTACCCATCTAATATTTATGAATAAAGTACAAATATATCATTTATAAATATATAGCAAAATAAAAAGATTATATTCTTTTCTGAAATAACATATCATGTCTGTAACGCATACATTCAAAAACAAAAGCAGCAATTGATCTACAAACAGAGGGATCTATACTATTAAAGAGAAATAAAAGTTTTGAAGTCACATGTGAGTCCTTGAAAAGTGTATATCTATCAGATATTTCACTGAAGAATTTTAAACGTAAATTGTCATAAAGTGTGCAGAAGAATAGAAAATGAAGTTCATTTTCAACTTCATTTGTCTGACATAGATAACATATTCTTAAATTTTCGGGAGTTTTAGGTACTGTGTCTGCCTGTTTCAATATGTAATCGATGATTTCCTAGTCGAAATTTATTGAGTGCTGTTTTGTGAAGTGGGTTTTTAATCATATTTAAGAATTCTGCTTTTTTATTATCGTTCTTAAAGGTAGTATAAAAATTCAATTTTCTATTTGTTTTAAGGAGGGTAAGTTGATGCTCAGTTAGAGCATTATTGATGTTTTGCTTGATGTAAGAGGTGAAGACTTTTTCGTTGTTTTCATTCAATGTTATGGCGGTTGCGTTGTACTTGCTACATATAGTTTTTATTTTCTGCATCAAACCTGGCTGGTTGTTATCGGCCATTTCCTGGGAGAGTTGTAGACATTGTTTTGCTATGTTTTTATCTGGCATATTTTGTAAATGAATCCAAAATTTAATAATTGAGGTATCTATAGTTAATTTCAGCGGTAATCTACCGAGTTCATTTCTAGCAGCGACGTTTGGACATTGTTTATTTACGCCTAAGGACTGTTTGCAAAAATATATATGCGTTTTTTCAATTATGTCTTTTTCCCAGGCGTTAAAATCATCTTTGGTATATATGCCCCAGATTTCAGATCCATATAAAAGAATGGGGAGGAAAAGCGAATTAATGAGTTTATTGGTTATGTCAATTGGTAGTTTCAAGAAATCAAGGTAGCGTCGTATCGCAAAAAACGATCGTCGTGTTTTTTCTTTTAAGTTTATTTTACACACATTGAAGTTCCCATTTGTAGCTAAATTGATTCCGAGGTATGTATAATTGTTAACAATTTCTATTTTGTCATTGTTTATCTGAAAACAATATTTGTTAAGGACTGATTTTCTACTCAAATGTTTTTTTTCAAACTCAAATGTATCCCGATCGTGATATATTTAGCAATGTACCCCGCTCGGGCTACATTACAGCACGTGATCAAAGCATGGTGGAAAGTGGCGTGACACTTGGCGAGAAAAACACCGCCATGTCCTGCCAATTTTCGTTTTCGTAAATGGACACAATAACACAAACACGAAACCTCAAGCTAATTAAAAAGCACCGATATCTAAAGTTATCCCAGAAATTCCCAGAAGAAAAACAGCAGCTATTCGAGGAAAAAGATGCAGATAATATAAGGAAAGTACTTTGTAAATTATTCATTTGGTGGTTTGAAAATTTGATTTGTGTTGATAGAAGTACCGAGTCGACTATTTTGGTTCGCTCCGGTTACTCTTTCGTTGCTGTTGAAGTGAAAGTCTAGAAATATAGCAGACTGGGAAACCAGTTTGTTTCGTTTGAGGCTAGAACGCGAGCAAATCAGGCAAATATCACTGGACTTGGAACAACTGACCAACGTTTTTAAAGCAAGCGGAAGGAGATTTTCGGGTCGCGAGGCGGCCCTGCTAGCAATAAAATCGCGATGAGTCTTCGTGCCACTCGCCAAATTTTAAATAAGACGAAAGACTTCTTCGAAAGTCTAAAATATTACTTGAGAATGTAAACAACAAAACTCCGTCGGCGGTGCGGTCCGGAAAGAAATCTTGTCGAGTCAATACATGTATGACAGTTCTATTGTATTTTGAAGAAAAAAACAGATGACGCTCGCGCGAGCGCATAATCGGTACACTGTCCCTTTAAGCGGATAATGCTTTGCAATGCTTTAAAGTAGCCATTGTCCTTGCAATCAAGTTCTCAAAATCTTTGCTGATGTAGAGTCTGCCAGTATTTAGAAGTCGCAACGAAAGAACCCTACTACCGATCATCAACAAGAAATCGTTTCGCTTTCTGAGAAGAAGGAAAGACCGGAAACAAACAACTCTCTCTATAATTTCCTCGTTGGCATCTCAAGAACTGACACTGAATATTCGAATCTTAAACTAAGAAATGAAAATGGCTAGATCAATGTACTCACCAAGAAATCTGTCTCACCAGATCGAGAAGAAGAAGTACCAAAAGGAAAATGAAAATTGAAAAACTCTGGGACTGTCCCTGCAGTAACGAATAAAGCCCCTTGTTTCACTCAACTAAACAGGGACTGCCATTGGTTGATTCTTGGTCACGTGGCCTTGACTAAACTCAAACGTATCCCGATCGTGATATATTTAGCAATGTACCCGCTCGCAACCTCGTCCCCAGGGTCTTCTCGCTTTCCAATATGGCGGCGACAGGAGAGAAGACCCTGGCACACAGCAGAAATCACGTGACCGATTTGTCCACGGAGAGTGGAAATTTATTCAAAATGGCGGCCAAGATAAAGAGTGAGAGGATCTGGGTACTAGTTCTTGGGACTGGTGAAAAGCAAACAAAATGGCGGCAAAGGTAAACTCGTATGGCTCGGATGTGCGCTTAAATAAAGAGGCTAAAAGTAAGAAGGAATGCATGTAAAAGCAAAAGGAAAATGGTAAAATGATGTAGAAATTTATTCTTGCTGTTTTTTGACTTTCCTTTATTGTAAACCTAAACTTTTTTCGCGTAGTACAGGTACACGATTACACGATAGTCGGCTCCAAAATGGTAAAAATAAGTTTAAAAGGGTTTAGAGTTCGTCCGTTTTGTCACAGATGTACATAAAGAATTTTACTAGACTTTTTCTTACTACATATTGACTTTTCCTATACTCGCAGGGGCGTAGCGTGAGGTTTTGAGGTTTTTTCTTCGGTTAGGATAAGGTCTCTCGACCTAAGAAAGCTAGGCATTTTAGGAATTGCTTTCTTTTAAACATATAGTTTGCAACCACTTCCACATTTTTGGTCACTAAGTGGTAAATAAAAGTGTATTTTCTTTTTTTAATGGATGTGTGAAAAGGTTGTTATTTAAATAGTTATTTTCACAATCGTACAGCAAAGTCCAAAATCTACTCTCTGGTTAAAATTTCTTTCACAGCACAAATCTTCAGCCAGCTAGGCTAATCAGGCTGACTCAACATTGTAAACAGGCCAATAGTAGTTACTTACATTTACACTGACATGTACAACTTTTAACAAGCTCAAGTAGCAAAGTTGGCAGGGACCCCAAAATAATTCACCAACTCCTCCTGAGACAGTTTCTAAGGATATCACTCTCGTAATTCTTGGTGCCCACAGTCATTAACTAGGTTAGTTAATCCAATGTTACAGTTTGTTCATAGACTTCCAGTCCTTTACTGTGCACTCCTCATGGTTTTTTTTGAGTGCTATATTTCAGGAGAGGTATGACAATAAGATTTTTGCCACTTAAAAAAAATGACAGCGTTATTGTTCAGTTGAGATTTTTAACATAAAGGCTAGAGTACTTTGATGACCATGTTTCTTATCCCATGGCAATCTGTTTCTTGTGCTTTTCAAGCCATGAAAAAAACTTTTCCATGTCTTGTCCAACCAGTGGAGATAAAGTAATCTCTTGAAAGTGTTCATGGCATCTGTTAGGAGTTATGCGAAAGGGACGCAGTTTGCGTAAGTCTTTCAACATTAACATTTCATCATCTTTAGCACTTCTTGTGGTATGTGCCCGGGATGAAGGGTGAATCTTTGTTACCTTGTCAAACTGCCCTTTTATCTGGTGAATCCCAGGTGCTGCCTTGGAGGCAGTGATGATGGCATTGTTGGTCTTGTTTGGACCCATTCCTTGCACAACATTTTTGCTTGTGCAGTTGCAAATCTCCTGTGCTTTGTCGCCTTCAATGTTGTTTCCTAAACCCCCAGTCCAGTTGACAAACTTCCCCCACGTTACTCGATGTGCAACTTCTTCAGAGAGTAATGCTTCGACTTGAGCAATGCTGGTAAACATTTCTATGGCATATTTAGAAAATGAATTGAAGCGGAAAAAGTATGATAGTAGGCGCTTTTGATTGATATTGTTTCTTTCCCCATCACCTTCTGCACATGTGTCAGTCAACTGCATCAGAAAGACTGCAAGTTCGATGACGTTAAGCCCATAATATCTAAAGGAAAGATAACAGAATTGACCAAATTCTGAGCACAAAAAAATGATGCCTAGGTATGGTATATACTTGAATGTGTAGGTGTAAATGGTGGCAGTGATATAATCAAAGGGAGGTCATAGAGCTTTTCACAAGGTGGGACACCATCTGCTAGCTTTTACAGCTTTTTATGTTCATGGGAGCATTAAGTGTGGTAAACTTTGAAAATTTTATTTATCATTGTTTGAGGAAAACCTAGCCTTGGGAACAGAAAGGTTGTACTGGAGTATCACTGAATTGTTTCTTTGGTTTTTATAACTATGATGTGTGGGAAAAATCAAACAATTGCATGTATACAAAGAAGCAAAAATATGGTTTTGTATGAAATAATTGGAAAAACAAATTAAGTTAACTCAGCATGCAAAGAGAGCCAGATGAAAAAACAGTCAGTTCTCTGCATGCCATTCAGGAAAGCTGTTGCTACTATGTTCTTGCCCAAGAGTCATTTTCACTAGCCCTAGAAGTGTTCTTACTTAAACTGCAATCAGTTTGCTCTTAAAAAAATTGGAACAGATTTAAATCCAGTGACTCTTGGGCCTGCTTAAGTAGATTCTAGCTACAGCTTGACTGAATGACAAGCTGTAAAACTGACTTTCTTTGCACCCTGTTAATTAAGGGTTTCTCTTTTGAAATTTACTGACCGTACTTTGTCTGTTCCACTCGTATCTTCCTCAGTAACATCATCATCAGTGTTGTCTTGTAGTTCCCCATTGGTTTGAGATGCAGCAAAATAGTCATGGTCATGGCCCACCGTAGCTACAAGACTAGATATTCGTTGCAGTTCCTGGTCTTCCATCACGGCATCTTGGTCTGGATCTGCCATGACAAATTCATCAACAAAGGAACCAAGAACATCATCAAAGAAGGTCTTTTTTCTGGATTTTGGGAGATGCAAGATGCCGGCTGGAGGAACATGTTTTGTAGGAGTGCCATTTACTTCGTTCAAACCAAAAAACTCCATGGCTGCCTCCAGGATGTATGCTGTTCCAACACTTACAAAGAAATCTTCAGTTCCTTCGAATGACTTTGTTACCTTGTCTGGGGTAACATTTTTGCGATTTACCCTTTCACGGAAATATTTGAGGGTACCAACCTCTCTGAGAGACTCGGCTTTGTATAAATGATCAAACACAAGCTGCAAATGGATATTAGCACAAAGAGGTATCAATATGGTAAGTCACTCACTGTTATTTATGCCAAATAATGTTCCTTAAACTACACTTACTCTACTAATACATGTCAATCTAATATACTTTATTGAACTCATTATGACCCGTTGCTCTTTATATTCATAATTTTGCATCCCATTGTTTCAAATAATAATAACAATATTATTATTCCCGAACAAAATATCTAGACCTTTCATATTCACCACATCAATGCAAACAACAATGTTTCTGTGTTCTTACAGTGGGTTTACACTGTGTACTGACTTATTTATTTTACCTAAGGTTAAACTGACTTGGTCAACTTCCCACTTATATGAACAAATTAAATATATTTTCCTTCGATTTGGCCTAATTTTATACCCATTATTTTACTATGCCCTTATTTTAACCCTTTTAACTAAGCTGAAATGTAGGATATGTGCATGCACATTATTTTCAATATTAAAAACACTCTTTAGGAACTAATGTGGTCAAGAAATACTTTAACCCAGATAAAATTTGCATGACAAGCAAAATGGAAGTCCATGTATAACCAAATTCACAGTTTGTGCAGAACTTAAGAATATTGTTCTACTTGTATGTGTACCAAATATGACTTGCAAATTGGACTGATTAACCCCAAACTTGAACTTAATTTACCATATGTCATTTGAGTTTGAGTTAGCATTATTGTTCTAAATTATGACCATTTAAAAGTCAATATTTTATTTGTATGACAAAAACATATTTTCTTTGTAGGTACCTGCAGATAGGACATCTTGGTATGGAATGGTTCTACAACAAATGGACTACAATGTTCAAATCTGTCTTTTGCAGTGTGACAGCCCTTTCTGAGATCTTTTGCCCCAGCAAAGCGCACCCTGGTTAACTGGTCTCCCCCAAAAGGAACACATACATCTTTCATATGGTCATCATCATCATGTCTGGTAATGTGCGCTCCAGGCTGATCTGGTGCTGATTGCATACCTTCCAGACTTCCATTTGGCATAGCTTGTGCTGTATTTCTTGGCACGTTTATAACGCCCGCCTTACTGTAAATCTCCTCTAAGGTATTTTCATAGAAGCACAGAATGTCAACAACATCATCATATTTTTTTTCATCCTTCAGCTGGGTTGGTAGACTGACAATAGCAGATTTCTTTGCCATTTCATTGGTGTAGCGATGGGCTATGTGTTGGGGAATAACTGCTTTCAAGAAAGACAGTGATGGAATGTGAGCCACAAGTACTCTACCCACCAGGACCTTAAAATCTTCTCTTAGCTTGTCTGTTTCTGCATCATTCAACAGGAAATGGCAGTTGGGAAGTGTCTGAATGTTACGACGAGGGTAGACCTGACACAGGCCTTCACATGGCACCCTGTCTACAATTAAGTTGGAGGCAAAGTAGTGCAGGTCTTTGTTCTGATGGTCACTTCTCATGTCATGGACAAGAACCCTGATGTCCCAGTTGTCACCTGTACCCTGCAGCTTTTTCCCTTGCTTTACTTCATCAATTATTTTGTCTGCAAAGTGTCCGCCAATTAACTTCATGAGTTTCAGTTTGCTTGTGTGCCCTAGGCAAAATCCAAGACTTTGACATCTGTTGATAAGCTATCAAACCGGATCAATGTGGTTAGAATTTTTTTTGTAATCATGGCACATGAATTGACTCTTTTTGCCCTTGTCAGAAAGATTTTTTTAAAAATTTTTATGTACCATAATATTGACCAAACCTAAGATTTACTCTCTTTACTTTCCTTATTATGAAGATAAATAATGCAGTTCCTCTGATCTGCACCAGATCAAGAGCACTTGAACTATTCTTTTCCAAGTGATTCGATTTAGCGCCCTCCTTCCAATAAGTGCCCCCCATTTGTCTGAGTTTCTCACGGTAACTGAACATTGACCATATATTTAGTACTGTTACAAAGAGAAGTACAGTTTCTGTTATTGTCCCTTTTTAAATAAGTCTCAAAGTTTTTTTGGAACATTCAGTTGTTCTCAAAAAAATGAGTGCCCTGTCTTGAATTTACCAAACATTAATAAGCGGCCCAGGCGCTAAATCAAATGATTACGGTATTAGTCAATGTCATTGCTAAAATTCCCATGTTTTGTATGCGTAATGTAAAGCGTACTGTTACAAGAATTACCTCTTAGCTCAGACTGATGTCATTTAAATCATTTACTTAAAATCTGTATACAAACATGGCTGAGTTAGAACTATATTACACAGCCTCAAGTTTGATTGTGTGAGTGAAAAAAAATAATAATTTTACATGTAATTACTGGTATAAAGTGTTCTTTTTCAACCAACCTGCTTCTTAGCATTTCCTTCTGCAAGTAAAATAGTATTGATTCTCTGAATTAGGCTTAGGTCATGGTTCCGCTTCTGCATTAGTATACCGTAGCATAAGCAAATTGAAGGGATGGTGTTGGGTTTCAGTTTTGATCCAATAGTTGTTGTCATGACATCAAGCAAGAGTGGACATCTTTGTGAAATTTCATTAAGAATAGAATTCCAATCAAAGCCCGCCATGTCAGGATATTGGTTTTTTCCTGAGAACTGATGGTGTATTCTTCTTGCACAGTTCAGTACATTTTTCATTCAGTTCTTGTAAAATATTTGCCTTGAAGATTGTCTTCAATGATGGCACACTGTACATAACATCCACAACCACAGAGGGCACCCCAGTTCTCACTGCATTGGTCAGCTTTCGTACTATGTCTGTTTCCAGAACATGGGCAGCTGATTTGGTAATCTAGTAGGTAGATGAAGAGTTTTTGCTTAAACTCAAGATTCTTCAACATCAATTTTCTCCTAACAATTTAACATATTTTTAGGTGACAAGATTTAATTAAATGACAAGATTTAATTAAATTCTCTCAAGTAATTCCTTAAGGAAATATAAGATTATGAAGATCAGAGAATTTGCATGTCTATATTGGGGCTTAACAGTTTGTTTTGATTCTAAGGTTGAGTCCACTTTTTAACACTTACCCATTTAAAAAAAAGGCAAAACAAAGGGCACGTTTTTGAGTACTAATAAAACACTAAGTTTATTTTGATATCAAACTTTAGTTTTCTGTATGATATTAACATGAAATGTCTGAAAGCATTGCAGGCTTCAGGGCCCGGGGAGGTACTGCCATATATGGTCTATATAGGTATGTGCCGGGGTGAAGGGTATGGTTCTTAAGCAGTTTACTCTAGAATAGGGTATATAAATCAGAGCGTTTGGGTCTAGAATAGGGTATCATTTTTCAGGAAACTGGTCAGTTGGTTGAAGATTTTATCCAGACTAGGGATTGTGGTATAAGGTTTTGTTTTGGCTAGACCCTGGTAGTGACCTCAGTAATTTCTGGTAAACAGCTACTCTAGGATAGAGGGTATTTGGGGAGTTTACACTAGTATAGGGTAGCAAAATTCAGCTGAACTAGCTCTAGTATAGGTTAAGGGTTCCAGGATCCCAGTGACACATCCCCACCCACACCCACACCCCGGTCTTCAGGGATGGGAGGGTCCCGGTGGATGGACCCCTAAATGCATCTCATGAGCATAGAGATTGACCAAGACTATGTGCTTTTGTTAATAACGATGATGATGACAAGGATGATAACAACAATGATGATGATGATAATGATAATTTGTTAAAATAGTAATAACAAATGAACGCCCTGTTTTTGGATGCAATATACTGGCAAACTTGCCACATGAATAATATTTTTGCCTGAGTCTAAAGTCTTTGTTTGTTTGTTTGTTTTTTTTTTCAGAAATTTCTTATTTTCAAATTTTTGGTATTATTACAAAACAAAAAAAATGTAATCATTTTTACATCATAGACCGCGAGCAGTTTCTCCTTTTCTTCAGATTTCAAGGTGAGGGAAGTGCGCGCGTTGACGACGCGCGTGGTCATTTTCGTTTCACGCGCCTTTCGCTCGACGAACTAAGGAAATTGGGAAAAGGAGAGACTGCTGGTAGTCTTCGTCAATCATTTACTTACAGGTTGATCAAAGAGTGAAATTCATGGAACCGTAGCTTTAATTTTTTTGTTTTACCATCCAAGTGAAAATGAAGTGTAATGAATTGCATAGCTGATTGGTCTAATGTTATTTCTACAGAACGAGTCAACGTACCTCGGGATTTTTTAGGCCGGCTTGCGATAATATAGTATAACCACATTTCTCTCCAGAGTCAACTTCGGAGACAGGCTTTTCTAGGGCTTTTTGGGAAGCTTTTTGGGCTTTAAAGGGAAGAGATCGAGCGCTAGGTGGGTTTTTTTCCATCACTCGCGATTTTTTCTCCGGCTCAGAAGCAGCAGGTGAGAAGACTTTGCACCTCTTTGTTATTACTTTTGATTTCAGCTGGTTTTGTGTGTCGATAACCATTTTTTTGAACTCGGAGAACCGATTCAGTGCTCCTTCGCATGGGCGGCAGATTTTGTGTGGCAAACCATCCTCTTCTCTGATGGAAATATTTAAAACCTCAAATGCTTTGTCGCCTATTTTTTTCCTCTCCCCACTTATGCCAAAAATATTGGTACAATGGTCTTTCGCACCTCCACAAAATCTACAAATGTTTTCTCCAAAGTCTGAGTAGACTTTCTGAGGTGTAGTGGACATGTTCGGAAACTGAGATACTTAAGAGAGTCACTGCCTTTTACGTGCGCATTTCGCGCCCCATGCCATTTAAGGCACGCTTCTCATGGGATTATTCAGGCAAGCCAGAATTGAATCTTGTTACGTATCTTATCTACATACAGATCTCTTAGAAATTGCTTTTTCAAAGACACGTTCTCTAAAAGCGACAAAATTTTCTCACAGGAAAATTTCTTATCCTTACGAGTTTTGCTTATAATTAAAAATAAGTAACTTGATCAGCACGTCTTTTTCAAAGGACGGATCGCGAGTGCTTTGGTTGACTCAGCTGCTTTGTGCTCAGTATCTACGGGAGTTTTAGACTTTGAGTTTGAGAGATGAAGCTTACCTTGAATTCCTTTTTTCAAGCTGTGAGGTACGCTTTAGATGTTACTAGTTACGACAGCGTATTTTTGAAAGTCAAACAGTTTAAGATCCTTGAAGCTTGTATGTTACGGCAACATGTTATTGGAGTCCTTCCGACGGGTTATGGGAAGTCGGTAATTTTTCACCTTCTTCCTTACATGTGGGACTACATGTGCAATGATAAACGAGAAACGAGCATTGTCATTGTCATTTCGCCCTTGAATGCACTTATTGAGGACCAAGTCAATAGTTTGAAGGAAAGAGGAATTAAGGCTGGTGTGCTACGTACATCTCGTGCAGAAAAAATTAATGCCGCTAATTCTCAGAATGACGACAGTGGGTCAGAGGATGAAAATGAAGTTTCTGTGGTATCGGAAAAAAAGCCCAACTACTGTATCAGCGAGCCTGAACTATTCAAATGTGTCCAGGAAGGAGAATTTAAGCTTTTATTTACTCATCCAGAGGCTTTTATATCGTGTAAAGATGGTAGAAAAGTCCTTCAGTCAGATTTATACCAAAATCGCGTCGCATTTTGTGTCATTCACGAAGCTCACCTGATAAAGGAATGGGGCTCAGAGTTCCGCCCTGATTTTGGAAAGTTAGCCCAACTTGGGTCACTGTTTCCGACCGCACCTATTCTGGCGTTAACGGGTACTGCCCCCAAAGAACTTGTAAAATATCTGAAAGTGAATCTTCAACTCAGGAATCCGATGGTACTCGTGGGAAATTTAGACAGAAGTAACATTTTTATTTGTAAAGAAAAGAGAAGGCCCTCATCATTTGGAGTAGACAGTTACAACGACATTTTGGTACCCATTGCTGAGGAACTAAGGATAAAATTAATCAACTACCCCCTTACCATCATCTACTTGCCCTTGAAATGGTGCGGGTATGCTTTCAAGTTATTTCTTACCGTGCTCGGTGAGCAGAGTTTCTATCCGATAAGCGTGGACAAAAAACCCGAAAACTGCCTGTTTGCGCAGTACCATGCGCCACAGACAGACCTAATGAAAGATGAAATTCTTAAGCAGCTAACCGCGACGGAAGTTTGCAAAATTCGTGTTGTCTTTGCCACAGTAGCAATTGGAATTGGTGTAAACATTCCTAAAGTAAGACATGTTATTCATTTAGATGTTCCTCGGACTGTAGAGTCATACTACCAAGAAATTGGACGAGCGGGTCGGGACAACCAACCTGCCAGAGCAACACTCTATTACAATGGTAGTGACATAGCTTCCAACAAACCTGGGATGACGGACGAAATGCGGACCTATTGCAAGCTTACCAACAGCTGTTTGAGGGATTATGTTCTAACTTACTTAGGTTCAACACGTTCAAGTCGCCAACCAATACCCGGGCAACTTTGTTGTTCCAATTGCAGTAACAGCGAGCAACAGCACCCTAAAGAAGCACATGTCACCCATCTTAAGAAGTCCCCTGAGCAAGATCAAGACGCTGTGAGAAGGGTATCTGAGGAGGAGCGAAAAGAGATCCGTAAGCATTTATTAAAATATCGCCTCCACCTTGGCGCAAACCGCAGGAGGTTTGGTGATATTGATTCGTGCACTGGTTTCACAGTTAAACTCATTGACAATGTTGTCTCAAAGTGCGAATTTTTATCCTCAACAGAAGAAATTTTTTCCTCTTTTCAGATATGGGAGAGATCACACGCAGAGGTCGTTTTGCAAGTGATAAAAAGCGTGTGTGACGAGTCTTAGAGCGCTTACAAAAAGTGAGGACTAGCTGGTCTGATTTTGAAATATGCAGGAGAATATTTTTCAAACGTTTTCAACAAAAAACCAACACTGCTTTGCAGAGAATTTATAGAGATACACTAGTCTGGCAAACAGATCTGATCGACTTATAGAGAAATTTTCATTAGGAATCAGGGGCTTGTCCTTTGCCATTTTTGACAACTAAGCAAACGTCCTTACTTTATGGTAAACACTCTCTCGTACTGCATTTCACACTTAAAATCGAAAATTATCGTAATCTGAAGAGATTTAACCTAGATGGAATTTAGCCCAACGTGTCACTGGTCCCAGGAGGAGTACTTCAAATTTCAAGAGACAAGCTTAAGGATGATCGATCAAAGAATTTTTCTGGGTGGCTTGATTAAAGTAGGGAGATTTTACGGTATCAAAACAATGTAAACGTTCATGGTGGGAAAAAATATATATTAGGAGGATGGGAGGGGGGGGGGGTGATTTTTGCCCCCATTGGATCATCTCGTCACTTGAAATCCATAGTATTCCCCTGTTGCTCACTGGCATGGTGATTTGCTTCCTTTAATGAAACTTGACTTAGGGAAAAGGGGTACATTTACTATCCAGGTCCCAATTGTTCAAACGTTAGCTAGTAAATAGCACTTTATTCATAAAATGCTTGGGGGGAGGGGGGCTACTCAACAAATGTTTATATGGTGAGGCTCTGCCCCGAGGTCCAACCCCTTACCCTTTTATGTACCATTTTTCATGTAAAAGGCAACCCTTTCACATACCTTCTATTGTGACAAATGGTACCCTTTCACATACCTTGTTTAGATCTTTGCATCCCTTTTAACTGCTGTAAATGCACTGTCTTTTAAAAAGGAATCAATCAAAATAGAACATTTTCTCAACTTTTTTTGGCCATAAATTCATCTGTTAGTCCTTTTGGGCACTTTTACAGACCCAAATCACACATTTACTACCCTTTAATATACTTCAACTAGTTGAAGCCCTACCCTTTTGCTATACCTGAAGCCTGAAAAAGATAGCCCTTTCCGGCAGAGCCTACCCATATATATATAGGCCATCATTGGGAGTTCCCCCTCCCCCAGGGAAATGCTACGACCATTGCATTATTCAGTGGGTGTAGATTTATGCCAGGGATGGATGGAATTATCCATTGTTTGAACAAAAAGTGCCAGATGGTAAGCTTTTTATCCCTTTTAACTAGACCTAAATTACAACCAGTGATCATGACTAGCTGGCTTAGGTAATACTCACTGCTATTCTGCTCACGGATTCCCTAAAACACCTTAGCCCCCTGGACCTCATTTCAGTCATTCCACTTTCCATTTGGTGACAGCAATAATGATTTTCCCACAAGAATTTATGAGGAACTAATTTCACATAACTGTTTCAATTTATATGACCAATCTTCCCCGTTTTACACAGCTAGGAATTTTCTTTGGTACACCAAACCCCAAGAAATAATGAAAGCTTACTGTAAGTTTTTGTATTGTAGAAGGGAAATTATGTTAAAAAGTTACAACCAAAGCTTAAAAAATGGAAGGACATTTAGCTGGGTTCACCATTTTAAGCTTGTATATACAAGAGAATTACCCTAATCATTTCTTCTGGAAGCTAAAAACAAAATCCTAAGTGCATCTATCCATTAATTTGCATGTTGTTAATCCAGAAAAACTCTACTTTGAGTCATTTTCCCATTGAAGTTAGATTAGATTTACAAAATAGTGGCAAGACAGATGTTAAACTATTAATAACCCTGAAGATGTCAACATCTGAATAACAAGTCAGTAAAATCCCAAACAACACTTTATGGTACATATCATTCGTGTGGCTTTAATCTTAAAACTCAAAATTCCGATTTTATCAACAAAATAAAAACCAGTTACAAGAATCTGGGACACAGATCCAGAGAAGCAAAGGTCATGTGTAACAGGGAGGGAATAAAATGTGGGTGTGCCTCATTTAAGGCATGTCTTGCAAGTTTGTATATGATGACATATGAGCTTAAAACAAATTAAATTGTACCTGATATTAATTTTAAGAGCAAAAACAGATAAAAAAGGAAATACAGTAGAGCCTGGTAACTCGAACTCTACAGGTGAAACGAAAAACAATTTGACATAGCGAGGTTTCAAGTTAACGGGGTTGATGGCACAATTCAATTTGCCACATTAAAAATTGATAGTTGGTTATTTTTTAGCACTTCAGTGTTTAGGGCACTGTAAATTAAACTTATTAGAGGAGCTAATGGGATGGCATCCACGTGGAGTTACAAGAATCAGAGCTCGAGTTATCGGGGTAAATTTCAGTGAATTTTTGATCAAGGGAAAGGAAATTTAGTTCCAGTTTGCGGGAAAATCGAGGTATCCGAGTTCGAGTTGACCGAGTAAAAATGACTGAAAAGTGAGGTGAAATCCAAGGGAAATAGGACAGGAAGTTCGAGTTATCCGAGTTCGTGTTATTGGACAGTCCCGAGGTCTTAAAAGAAGAAGAAGCAGAAGCAGTTCTAACTGTACTGCCGGCAGCTGAGTAGTCGAATTGAGGAACATGATCACCACGGAGAAGCGTGAATTATCGGCGATCTGTCCTTAAATGTTGCTTACTGCTTTTCAGTTACTTCTAACTGTACAGCAGGGTTTAAAAGAAGACCAAACAGGCATCCTTTCCACTTCTTAAGCCTCAGACACTGTTCTCAGTTTCCACGAAGAACCCAGGTAGCCACCATTTTTGTTTTGGAAGGAATAAACCAATGAGAGCGAACGTATGATCGCGCAATGGAATGCACCAATCAGCGATCGTTTTAGTTCGCTGTGTGCCAGGGTCTTCTCTCCTGTCGCCGCCATATTGGAAAGCGAGAAGACCCTGGGGACGAGGTTGACCCCGCTCGGGCTACATTACAGCACGTGATCAAAGCATGGTGGAAAGTGGCGTGACACTTGGCGAGAAAAACACCGCCAGGTCCTGCCAATTTTCGTTTTCGTAAATGGACACAATAACACAAACACGAAACCTCAAGCTAATTAAAAAGCACCGATATCTAAAGTTATCCCAGAAATTCCCAGAAGAAAAACAGCAGCTATTCGAGGAAAAAGATGCAGATAATATAAGGAAAGTACTTTGTAAATTGTTCATTCGGTGGTTTTGAAAATTTGATTTGTGTTGATTCGATAGAAGTACCGAGTCGACTGTTTTGGTTCACTCCGGTTATTCTTTCGTTGCTGTTGAAGTGAAAGTCTAGAAATATAACAGACTGGGAAACCAGTTTGTTTTGTTTTCCCTCGATCGAGTCCTGATGTTTCCCTTGACTTTGTCTTGTCTTGCTTATCAAATAAAATGCGTTTGCTTGACTTGACTGGGGCGTCGTAAATAAGGGATGCACCATTAGAAATGTGAAGGGGGGGGTAGGACTTTCTGGAAAGGCATGTTATTTTTTTCACAACCAGCAGGAGTGCAGGATTTTTTTTTCAACCTTCAAACCCTTGCACGATTTTTTTTTTCCAAAATGACTATGCCCTCTTTTGGTCTTGTTTTACTAGACTGTTTCAACCGCGCAAATGTTTTTTGTTGTAGTGTTCCAACAGAACACGTTTGTTTTAAGTATATTTTTTTCATACTAATTGAGATTTTCTATTGAAATTTGGCGTGTGAAAACCCTGTTCAGGGTTCGCAGCCAATCAGAATGGCGAAACGACTTTCACACACGTGAAAAAAAGCGTTTCGTCCAGTCACAGATGTTTAGTACATAATGTAATAGGACACCTAAACACGTGCAGTGTTAGACATGGACTTTTTTCGCATTGTATGTCAGATAAATCTCTCTCGCTTTCTGGATCTCACTCGCAAAGCCTTGCTCGTTCAATTTCTGATGCGAACCAACTCGTGCGTAAATACCGTACGCCCGCGCTGCCCATGAAGTAATCTATACGTTCAAACGTCCGAACTGAGTTCAGTGGCAGTTGAAACAGCTACACAAGCAGATCAAACGGTGTTTTACCCAAAGTAAAGTATTGCGAAGAAAGAGGAAGAAGAATGCTCTAAAGGAAAATAAAGAAAACAAAAGAAGAAATTTCAAGCAGGCGAGGACTGGAACACAGAGAAAGAACCTGAGGGAAGACAAGAAACAGAGAAACAGAAAGAAGGAAAGCAAGCATCTCAGTCCTTATCATGCAAGGACTGGAACACAGAGAAAGAACCTGAGGGAAGACAAGAGACAGAAAAACAGAAAGAAAAGGGAAGAAGAAGAAGAAGAAGAAGAAGAAGAAGAAGAAGAAGAAGAAGAAGAAGAAGAAGAAGAAAAAAGAAGAAGTAAAACTGCAGCCAGCATGTCAGTCTTCATCAGGCGAGGACTGGGATACAGAGGAAGAACTTGAAGAACATTTCCTCTAAATCCTACCATATGTCTGTGGCCCATATGTTTAGGTTCAAGTTTTTATTAGAATGCACCATTTCTATTTATGGTTTTGCAAAGCATTCAAAATATTTTGTGTTAGTTTGGGTAAATAATATTCTTAATACTTTTAAATGCAGCGGGATCTGCAGTGTGATTGGTGTTTTTGGGACATCTACTTTTGTTTATAGCTGTAAACTTTATGGATTCAAGTAGCAACGCATATTGTACAACACCAACTCCATAAACTTGCGTGCAAGTGGAACTATTGACGTTGTTAACACAATCTCACTTTAATCCCATTAAAACAAAAGTATTTCAATAAAAAAGTTTATTTAATTTATAAAGTTAAACAATTATCACCACAGTCTCTTAATTTAATACTATGGCAGCTATAGAGATCAAGGGCATCAGAGTTGGTTCAAATTGAAATCTCTATTTAGCCAGTAGAAATTGTTTTTTCTGCCTGAAATGTAGTTTGACATGAATTTAGGAAGTTGGGGGAAGGGGATTTCCTGTTACAGATCACAGATTTATTTTTCAGACTGTGTAATATATTGTCGCAGTCACATTGGTTATCCAAGCAGGATATTTTTTTCTGGTTTCGTTGCAATGCAGGATTTTTTTTTCTTAAAATTTTGTTTTGCAGGATTTTTTTTTTTGTTTTTGGACTCCCCCCCCCCTTCACATTTCTAATGGTGCATCCCTAAGACGCTCATTCATGCTAACTCGATCTCCTTGGGAGATGATCTCGGGTTTCAATTTAACGGTCACGATAAAGAGAAAAGAGAATTTTCTCTTCTCGTGGCCGTTAGAGGAAAGTTAATAGTTATCAATATTGGAAAGTACAAACATTAACCACAAGGGACTGCAAAGGACCCCAAACGAATATGCCGAAGAACGTAGGATCTATAAAGACCTGATCAGCAAAAATAATAATCCATAATAATGTAGACATGCTAGCGTCCTATTTACGACGCGCCAGACAAGCAAACGCATTTGACAACCGGTCAGTGTAAAAACGCAGGCTGCGGACTGCGGACTGCAGACTGCGGACCAGGGGTAAAATGCAGACTGCAGACTGAGAGTAAAACGCAGGCTGGGTGCAAAATGCAGAATAAAGACTGTAGACTTTTTTAAACATTTGTGCTCCTTCTTCTCCAAATCGGTGAAATAGCTAGCCGGTATCAGTTACACACTTCGCTTCTTAGTCGACGTGCATTGCACATTCGCCAGAAGGTTCAATGAACATCCGAACAGCCGGCCGAACAGCGAAAGTCTGCGTACCGTTGATTTGCAATACTTTCATAGAAGTTCATCCAAATTTCCTGGAGAACATCTTTCTTTTTTGTTGAAATGATTTACTCCCTTTTTTATTGCAATAATTCTTCCTGTACAGTATTTTGTAGCCTGAGTATCAGGCGTTTCTGGGGGAGAAGGGGAAAAATGGAAGTGATCTAAAATCTTCTCTCCCCAAGCCCCTTAAGAAGGCCTGATACTCAGGCAGCTTTCATTTAAGCGTAAACATCGTGGTGTTGTACCAGTTCACGGTCCCTGGTCAGGTATATCGAAAACTTCGCATCTAAAGTTGAAGCGCGAAGTTTCTCGGACGGAAAGAAGGTTCAAGATTGCGATTATGTTTTCGGGTCGTCGACGACGTTCCAGAGAAGAAAGGAATGGATTTGTGAAAGCAGATGTTGTCAAATAAGTGTTCGTTTACATGTATTTGTGGGATTTTTTTGCCCTTAAACCCTTCCACGACTACAGTTTATGCTCGGTCTGCATTTTACCCCAGCCTGCGTTTTACTCTTAGTCTGCAGTCTACATTTTACACACGGTCTGCATTTTACCCCTGGTCCGCAGTCTGCGTTTTACACTGACCGATTTGATAACCAGCAATGTTAACCGTCTCTGATCGGATTCGAAACCCTTTTAAAACGACTCATAAAGACACAGGAACACAGGTACTAAATACATCTTACATACATCTTTTTTTATTAGCTAATAATACAGCGTAAATACATTTAATTATTCTATTAGCTAATACAGCGCTCGGGTCCCCTGTGGCCTGACCTAGAACTCTCAACACCCACAGAATCACGCCATACCACACCCAGACGACACGTGGTATGGCGTGATTCTGTGGGTGTTGAGAGTTCAAAGTAATAAAGGCCACAGGGTCCAGACAAGTTTCGTGTGAATAAATGAATTACTTATTTAAAGTCTCACCTTGAAAAATGTCTATACCTGTACGTTAGCACGATCAATTATCCCAATGGGATTTTTATGAATCTACTGTAAATAGCCTGCGTAGCAAGCGTTTCCGTTTGGTTTCGGAGCAAAGAAATACCGAGGAAGGGGACTTTCGGTTTTGACCGCGCGAGAAATGAAACGAGAGCCAAAAAGTGAAAGAGGGGGGAGGGGGAGGGGAAGGAAGGAAACGCTTGCAGACAAACCCCTCGATTTTGAAAACCTGCGTTCGCCAGTGAACGCAGCGCCTGATTGGCTCGGCTAGTCGAACAATGTTGACATGTGTCGATCAAAGGTTTGTTTCATACTGAGAGGTCATGTTTGGTACGTGACACGCATATTAATTTTCTGTGGTTATTGTTTATTCTGGTCGGCAAGTATGGCGCGCCGTTTGTTTCAAAATTATTTGCAAACGTATTGTTTAATGTGGTTGTGACATATCCAATAAAATGTTCCTGTGATAGTATCAACTAACCATTGTTATTTTTCACCTTGATATCATTTTACTGCCGTGATGCAACATTTTGTACCTTGATTATCATTTTACAGCCGTGATGCGACATTTTGTACCTTGATATCATTTTACTGCCGTGATGCGACATTTTCTACCTTGATTATCATTTTACTGCCGTGATGCGACATTTTCTACCTTGATATCATTTTACTGGCGTGATGCGACATTTTCTACCTTGATATCATTTTACTGCCGTGATGCGATATTTTCTACCTTGATATCATTTTACTGCCGTGATATAACATTTTCTACCTTGATATCATTTTACTGGCGTGATGCGATATTTTCTACCTTGATATCATTTCACTACCGTGATGGAACATTTTCTGCCTTGATATCTTTGTACTGCCCTAATGCAACATTTTCTACCTTGATATCATTTCACTGTCGTGATGTGACTTTCTCTACCTTGACATCATTTTACTCCCGTGGTAGAACATTTTCTGCTTTGATATCTTTTTTTTCAGCCGTGATGCAACATTTTCTACCTTGACATCTTTTTACTGCCCTAATGCAACATTTTCTACCTTGATATCATTTCACTGTCGTGATGTGACTTTCTCTACCTTGACATCATTTTACTCCCGTGGTAGAACATTTTCTGCTTTGATATCTTTTTTTTCAGCCGTGATGCAACATTTTCTACCTTGACATCTTTTTACTGCCCTAATGTAACATTTTCTACCTTGATATCATTTCACTTCCGTGATGTGACATTCTCTACCTTGACATCATTTTACTCCCGTGATGCGACATTTTCTACCTTGATATCCTTTCACTACCGTGATGCGACATTTTCTACCTTGATATCATTTTACTGCCGTGATGCGACATTTTCTACCATGATATCATTTTGCTGCCGTGATGCGACATTTTCTACCTTGATACCATTTCACTACCATGATGCGACATTTTCTACCTTGATATCATTTTACTACCGTGATGCGACATTTTCTACCTTGATATCATTTTACTGCCGTGATGCAACGTTTTCTACCTTGATATCATTTTACTGCCGTGATGCAACAGTTTGTAGCTTGATATCATTTTACTGTCGTGATGCGACATTTTCTACCTTGATACCATTTTACTGCGGTGATGTATGAGACCTTTTCTGCTTGGCTGAGTATTTTTATATTGTTTTTATACAACCGTGATCAGAACTAGTTTGTCTTTATTTTCAGGAGGTCGCTATAGGCTGTTCTCGGCTACCTTGTATTTTTTGTTTAAAGATTGTCCACCTCGCGTATGAAAAAAGTACTGACCCTAGCGTAGGATTGTGGGGTTAGGAAAAAGAGGAGATAGGCTCCCTTCCGCCTCTCACTCCGCACTCGCTATTGCTCGGTGTGATTGTCGATTTGTGAAAAAAAAGGAAGAAACAAAAAAGCAATGAAGTCTGTGTAACTTCATTTTAAAAATCGTGTTTCTTGTGAGCAGCAAAATAAAGCACGAAATTTATGTAACAGAAATTGGTGATTAGAAAACATATTTTAGCAAACACCAACCCTTTGTTCGGTTGAAACTTTCACGTCTAGACAGAAGAAAAAAAAAAGCTTGCTGTCAGGCAACATGTATTCGTCGTCAAAAACAAAAAAGATAGACGTGAAAAATACAAATGTGATAAAGTTTTATACAACGACGCCCCCCCCCCCCCAATCCCGCCTTACTTGGGGGGAAACCTATATAAAATGGAAGTCCTCGGATAAACAAACTATTTCCTTTAACCCAGCCAAAATCACAAAATAAAATGTATTGAACAGAACCTCCATTAAACGAAATCTTCGTTATAGGCTAACAAATTAACACAATCAAGAAGGGCAAACTCTGGATACACGAATAAATGTTAACATGTGTCTGACCAAAAGAATTCGAAACGGAAACGCAAACTTCCCTCCGCGTATAAGCCCCTCCGAAAAAAAAGAAAACAAGCGCGGGCGTGGAGCCCCTCTTTTTTTAGCAATGGCTTTGTGAGGAGCCTAGGATACGCGCAACGCAATCTGCTGTTCGTAAGTAGATATCAACACCAAAATTTGTACTATTAGACAAGGGGTCAATCTCTCCTTTCAAAATTGACATCTGATCTTCAGAAAGAGGGCACTTAGGTTCTAACACAGTCACAGTTTCATTGTCATCGTTGACACACAAATCTGTGCTGTCCCTTCCTACTCCATACACTGTCAAATCGGGGTTCAATATGTCCTGGACTGCGGTGTACCCCCGATAGGCGTCACCTATCACGCCAGCTATCCATATCTGATACGGGGTTTTATTCCCTTCCGTTCTTAGGCAATGATGATTCCTGCCCAGGCGAAATCCTTCCAATGCTCTATGGATGCGTGGAAGAAATGCGTAGTGAAGGCAGGAAACATCTGTGTCATTAGAAAGATCGAGAATCCCTTCGTTCTCCATGTGGTCGAACACTGTGTAAAAGCTAGAGAGACAACACCGTGTAGTGTCCCTGTGCAGCCTCTCAATACGCTGATTGTGCACAGACGAACCTTGTATATGTGAACCTCGATCTCGCCCCCTAATCGACTCCATGAATCTGCCGACATCAGCGTTTTCCCCTCCGTGATCGGAGCGAAAACACGACGGTATCCCATACCTTCTTGTACCGTCCATAAAGGTGGACATGACAGTTTCTGCTCGATTATTCGTTGCACATTTCAGAAAAACCACAAGCCTTGAGAAGGCGTCAATACCCCCGTGAACCACAAATCCCCAACGAATAAGTTTGTGTAATCCATCTATGTGCCATAGTGCGTTTGCATAGCTCGCCAGCGAAGAGCTGTGTTGATTGGGTCAATGCGACCAATGATATCTCTTACGCGATGTCTAGGAACGTGTATACCCCTGGAACGAAGGATGCCAATAACCATTCTCTCCCCAGTATTTTCAAATTCTGCTTTTATGCCAGCCACTTGTTGCTGGAGATCGATGTCAGAAATAATGGTAAATCTACTTTCTCGGAAATTATAATTAACCTCTTTCAGCCGCCTCCATAGTGTAGTTCTTGCAAAACATAACCTGTGGCATATCCTTGTCCATGTAAACTGCCAGCTGCAAAGATAGTCTATCTGAGTTAAGTTAATGACAAGCTTAGGTCTCCCAACCGAACCATTACGATGTACGAGAGTTTCCGAAAGTATTGAAGATCTATAAAAGGTAGAGTCAACTGATTGTAACTGTCGCTCAACATCATCAATGAGATGCTGTATGACATTGCTCAGCCGCTTGACGTTTCCTTGAACATTCTCAGAAGCAGTAGTATCTACTCCAGAGGCAACAGCAGCTCCGATTAACCTTTCGCATGCAGTTCGTTTTGCCTGAAGTCTGAATAAAAAATCTTGTAACGTGTTTGAATCAGATAATTGTATCCTATGCTCCACTTGCTGACATAAAGCCTAAACAGATTCGAGGAAACTATGCCTATCGAAACTTTCGCTCATGTTTGTTCCAATCTTAAAAAAAGCTGCAGATTCAATTGATTGAAAAGTAATAATTTTTTCATTCCCGACATGAGAAACAGGTAAGGCCTTACAAATGATCTAATAAACGCCCCCTCTCTAATGAACGCCTCCCATCTTATTAACGCCCCCCCTAAGGTGACAAGTTTGTATTAAACGCCCCTCTCTAACAAACGCCCCTGTCTAATTAACACCCCCCTTCCCTGAAAACCACACATAAACTGGAAACAGATGTGTACAATACAATCAATCAATCAATTTATTTGCGTTCTTGCTTAATTAACACCGGTGTGCGAGTTGCGTCTTGCTCAATAACAACTACCACTACGGTACCCTTTTACGCCACTTTGAATGTACCATATACCGTTATGGATTTGTAGACAGTCTAGAATTATTAGCGGACTGACTTGATAGTCTGCTAAAGCTCTGTCATTTAGATTATTATAACACCGTATTTAGGTTACCATGTTACAGTTATTAGAATAAACGCCTCTCTCTTTTAAACGCCCCTCATCTTATAAACCCCCCCCTTAGACCCTTGAAATTTAATAAACGCCCCCGGCGTTTATTAGATCATTTACGGTAAATCCCTAGATTGAAGATTGCACACTTCCGGATTAAATCAGAAACACTCACGTTGCTTACAGCTGCTCACTAGTGCAAGTATAATAACAAAAATGACCACCACGTATAAACTAATTTACTTCAACTTACTAAATGTTACAGGTAGAAAATATTACATAACAAAATTACAAAAATGTTCCATAACGGCAGTAAAATCATATCAAGGTAGAAAATGTTACATCACGGCAGTAAAATGATATCAAGGTGGAAAATGTCGCATCACGGCAGGAAAATGATATCAATGTGGAGAATGTCAAATCACGGCAGTAAAGTTATATCAAGGCAGCAAAATGTTCAATCGCGGAAGAACAAAGATATCAAGGTCGAAAATGAAACATCACGCGGCAGTTAAATGATATCAAGGTAGAAAATGTCGCATGACAGCAGTACAGAGATATCAAGGTAGAAAATGTCGAATCACGGTAGTAAAATCATATAAGGTACAACAGCAGTAAAATGATATCAAAGTAGAAAATATCGCATCACGGCAGCACAATGATATCAAGGTAGAAAATGTGCCATCACGGCAGTAAAATGATATCAAGGTAGAAAATGTCGCATCACGGCAGTAAAATGATATCAAGGTAGAAAATATCGCATCACGGCAGTAAAATGATATCAAGGTAGAAAATGTTGCATCACGGCAGTAAAATGATATCAAGGTAGAAAAAGTCGCATCACGGCCCTAAAAAGATATCAAGGTAGGAAATGTTGCATCACGGTTGTAAAATGATATCAAGGTAGAAAATGTCGCATCACGGTAGTGAAATGATATCAAGGTAGGAAATATCGTATCACGGCAGTAAAATGATACCAAGGTAGAAAAGTCGCATCACGGCCCTAAAAAGATATCAAGGTAGGAAATGTTGCATCACGGTTGTAAAATGATATCAAGGTAGAAAATGTCGCATCACGGCAGTAAAATGATATCAAGGTAGAAAAAGTCGCATCACGGCCCTAAAAAGATATCAAGGTAGGAAATGTCGCATCACGGCAGTAAAATGATATCAAGGTAGAAAATGTCGCATCACGGCAGTAAAATGATATCAAGGTAGAAAATGTTGCATCACGGCAGTAAAATGATATCAAGGTAGAAAAAGTCGCATCACGGCAGTAAAAAGATATCAAGGTAGGAAATGTCGCATCACGGCAGTAAAATGATATCAAGGTAGAAAATGTTTCATCACGGTTGTAAAATGATATCAAGGTAGAAAATGTTTCATCACGGTAGTAAAATGATATCAAGGTAGAAAATGTTCCATCACGGCAGTAAAATGATGTCAAGGTAGAAAATGTCACATCACGGCAGTAAAATGATGTCAAGGTAGAAAATGTCACATCACGGCAGTAAAAAGATATCAAGGTAGAAAATGTTTCATCACGGCAGTAAAATGATATCAAGGTAGAAAATGTTTCGTCACGGCAGTCAAATGATATCAAGGTAGAAAATGTCACATCACGGCAGTAAAAAGATATCAAGGTAGAAAATGTTCCATGACGGCAGTAAAATGATGTCAAGGTGAAAAATAACAATGGTTGGTTGCTGCTATGACAGGAACATTTCATTGGATATGTCACAACCACATCAAACAATACGTTTACAAATAATTTTGAAATAAATGGCGCGCCATAGGCAAGTACTTCCCTCCAATGCAAGAGCATTTTATTTAACTTCTTTTGAAACACAAAGCTCTTCTTGCGACTTTATAATGGTTTCAGGTCGTTTTATTTGTCTCCTGGATCTGAATATTTAAAGGCGATTTTCTTTTGTCAGGGAATACGATGGTTTCCTGCAATGTTTTGTTATGCTGGGCCCAGCTCGTTAGTGTTTTTTTTTTTTTGCGGGATGTTAAATTCTCTCGGATAGTGATTTACAGATACAAATTTTGAAGCATGGATTGCACCTTAAACTGAAGCTACATCAACTATAGCCTGCGTAGCAAGCGTTTCTGTACGGTTTAGGCGAAAAGAACGAAAAATCCCCTTCCTCGGTATTTCTTTGCTCCGAAACCAAACGGAAACGCTTGCTACGCAGGCTACATCAACTAGGAAGACCTGCATTGTGACTCAGTCAAAATTTCTGCTTGGTTCTCCACGCGAACTTTCAGTTGCCGGGTTAGCTTTGTTCTAGGATGCTTTTACAAGAGCACTCTAGTAGTCTGTGCCGTGGCGAGAACGGTAAGCCGTTCTGTCTAGCTGAGCTAGACTTGAATGTTTGTCACATTTTACCACTTCAAATCCAACTTTCTGGAGGTTTAGAGTAAAACTTTTAAACTTCATTCACTCTCGCGGTCCTTCCTTTTAGACGGATTAAGAAGACAAATGTACAAAGCCTGCATTGATCGTTCGGATTCATTGAGATTTCACCATTAACGCCGTCCACGCGCTCCAAAATACAAAAAAAAAAAAAATTTTGGTTTCAAAAACGCGTCCTCTAAAGTTTAGACTACGAGTAGTGTACAGTACCGCAAATGATCCCCAACCGCAAATGATCCCGAGACCACAAATGATCCTCGACCGCAAGTGATCCCTAAAGTCGACCGCAAATGATCCCGTGAAAACTTGAGGAATGGAATGGATTTTTATGCGACTGATTGCAAAAAAGGACTGATTATAAAAAAGAAACCTTTTTCTCTCGCCTTTTAAAGAAAAAGGGAAGGAGGACGCTACATCTCAGGTCAATTTATACCAGGCGAAAAAAAAAAATGGAATAAATCTGAAAAGGAATGGTATTACAGTCAAACCAGGTCAAGCGTTCCCGTCGCTAACGAACTAATGAATTCATTCACGGAAAAATGATTTCGTTTGTTGATTCAATAATCCATTCATAAAATGAACAATCCAATAGTCATATTTAGCCTCGATTCCATAATCGAATGTTGATTCGATTACTGTTTTTTGAAAAATTACACTTTCCACAAGTTGACCTCAGAATTTTGTTTTTTCCTCTTTTTTTTCTGAGAGTCGAGTGTTGGCGAGTTCTGAAGTTCAAACCCAAACAAAATGTTACATGTACGCCAGTTTGCTGCCAATAATCAGTGCAACAGACCTAGGCCTGACCTCTTAGAAAACACGACGGTCAAACTGAGGTCAGTGTATGTGCGGTGATTGGTGGATTTCGATCCTCGGCCTTTGTCAGTTTCTTTGCGTTTGCGGTCTGTCTATTCTAGCTGTTATTTTGATTAAAGGCAATGAAAAACGCAATCGTAAACGGCAGGAAAAGGGAAGCAAATACGATTGAACACAACAGACAAGAATAAAGAACAGGTAGATTTTGTTCATAAACCAAATCAACATTTGATTATTGAATCGAGGTACAATTTGACCGTTGGATTATTCATTTTATGAATGGATTATTGAATCAACGAAATCATTTTTCCATTAATGAATTCATTAGTTTGTTAGCGACGGGAACGCTTGACCTGGTTTGACCGTAACCGTATACTTCTTCCTTTGTCGATTGCTTCAATTTTCTTTCAAGAATGTTTCGTCTTTTGAAAAATTTAAGACAGGCAGGACGTTACGCAGAAAAAGCTCTATTAT